GTTGTTTTCAGAAAGGATAGAAAATGTGATATCATTAACGAGCAAAATGGTGGTGGTGTTATATTAGCATTGAAGAATTACATTAAAGCGGAAGTAGTAGATGTCTGAGTTCTAGATGTCAGCTTTCCCCTGATTGATATATTAGCTTGTAGATGTTGGATAGGTCAGATAAACTTTTATGTGGCTGTAATGTACATTCCCCCTACTATAACTAATGACGTGTTTGAACAGTTTGTAGAGGAACTAGAACAAATGATATGTTTCCAATCAGGTAGCGTCATACTGTTAGGTGATTTCAATGTTCCAAATTTTCAACTTGTGGGTAATTTTGACCGTAAGAAAAATGCTGTAATAAGTTTGCTCACTGTGTTGAACCTTAAACAATGCAATACTGTTTTGAATGATAATGGAAGGCTGTTAGATTTAATATTATCAAATGAAACTTGTTCTGTTTCTCGAGATACTTTGCCACTGGTACCTGAAGATGTCACCCATCATCCAGCTCTTGATATGTGTTTTGAAAATATCAATGTTAACCCTGACGCATTTCCCTTATTTTGCGATATTAACATGTATAATTTCCGAAAAGCAAATTTTACAGAGCTGTATAATGCTCTCCTCATTGCAGACTTTTCTTTTTTAGATAACTTCTTAGATGTTGACTTAGCTATTGCTGAATTTTATAAATTTTTATACTCTATCTTTGATATTTACGTACCCAAATATATATATCTTTTAGTCATAAGTACCCTTCGTGGTACACCAGCGAAATTATTAGGAAAGTCAAGCATAAAGCAAAGTTATACAAGAAGTACAAAAAGAGTCACAATAACCATCTACATGAACAGTACAAACGTCTTAGATCTGAGGTAAAGCGTCACATATCTGTGGCCTATAAAAATTATACCCGTAATGTTGAGATGTCCATCTCTCAAGATCCTAAACATTTTTGGAGCTTCATGCATACAAAAAATCGAACTACTAGGATTCCTGGTAAAATGAAGTTGAATGACGTCTCACTGAACGATCCTTACTGTGCTGTCAATGCATTTGCAGATTTTTTTAATAGTGTTTTTGTTCATCCATCTACTCCTAATGATGTTATTGAAGGCAGGAATCGTACTAGTCAGGTTTACATATTTTTCAATAACATTCATGAAAATGAATATTGCTGCATCCAAAAAACTCAAGAATAGAGTAACGGCCGGCCCAGACAACATCCCCTCGTTCATAGTCAAAGATTGTATTCATGTCTTTTTTAAGCCCTTATTAAAAATATACAATCTGACTATAGAAACCAACACATTCCGTGATATTTGGAAACTTTCTAGAGCTACACCTATTTTCAAATCAGGGGATAATACTGATATTAAAAACTATAGAGCGGTGGCAATATTGTCGAATTTCTCCAAATTGCTGGTTCTTGCATAAACTACTGCATAATCAAATTGATGCTAATGAGATTGTGGCTCAAATAAACTTTAATGCTCGATCTATTAAAACTCGTACAGCTGAAACATTTTATTTTGACAGGGCTCGCACAAATTTGTTTTTGAAGGCACCCATATATGTGATGTGTGAAGCTTTCAATCCAATATCAAATTATTGGGACATACATACTGACAGTTTGAACAGCATTCTGGTAGTAGCTAGAAATTGCTTGGATAATTTATGATATGTTACTCACCTGAGTGAAATATGTTTTTTTGCTTCTTTTTCTTGTTTGTCTTTTTTTTAGATGCTTTCTGTTCTTATTATTTTGATTTAACTTAGGATTGTCCTGTAAATGGTTTCCTTAACTGTTGGGCAATAAACGCTATTTATTTATATTTATTTATTAATGTGAACTTGTAGAAATCACAAAATTCGACGCAACAGTAACAAGACAAAAAGTGGTGAGTTCCGAAGAAAAAAAGGCGGTCACGATACAGGGCACATTTGACATTTAATGTTCTGCGGATATACTGCAGCGCATCCGCCGGGGACATCTGCACATGACATATTTTGACATTATGTAGGTTTTTCTACAAGATGTTAACTTGGCACTAGCTGATTGATACTTTGTGAACTCGTTTTGTAGTTGTACGTGTTGCCTAAACGTCATGAGGCTTCAGTTATCAATGTTTGGCTCTGATGTGATGTAAAATCTGCTTCAGAGATGGCATTACTGGAGGTCTAAGCTGAGGCATGGTGAGGATTTGTGTGCTAATAATGCTAATTTCATTGGATTCTTGTCTTAAATACACTTATTCAAGGCTAGAAATTAGTTGCGCATCCACTTTTTCTTATCCATTCTGGAAATTACATATGCAAATTTGCTGAATTTCAAAAATGAAAGAGATAAGAAATAATTATATTCGCTGTACACTGTCGAATTACAAGACATATACATGCTAACAGTAATTACACGCAACGCGGGCGCGGAGGTGATGTTTTGTAATTCTTCTCAAAGTTTTTGAAGACACAAAAGAAAAAAAAACGGGAAAAATCGTAATGTATAACTTTGAACATAACCTCTCTTCAGAAAAAACAACACAAATAACCCGTCTGGCACAGCTGATAGTTATACTTCATTGGAAACAGAGTCAGTAATAATTTTCTCTCATAGCAAATATCACAGATTTTATACACATGCAGACCAATACAATCGTCCAGATGCGGTCTTGCTGCTCAACCAATTTCGTTCTGTCACATTTTAAATACTACAATTTGTAATCTACAAAGCGGCTGTCTGCAACCAACAATCCATACTTGTACAGAGACGAGCATGCCGTATCGTTCATTCATTCCTCCATAGATGGACGCTTTGGATCGTGCTCACAACGATCCTAGTGAGCCAACGTGGAATGACAGTTTGTACCCTAAAAACTACTTATTCTGCAAGATTACATCTTATAGGTTTTTTTTGACGTTTTATAGGTTTGTTACATAATACCCGTGCCGAGCTGCGTTGTTATAGAGGAATCTATTTTATTCTTTGATAATAGGAGCTATTAACTTTTTACAGTCTCTCTTTTCTCGATGGGAGTTAAATAAAATATTCACCTAACCATTTCAATGCAAACCAGACTATACAAAAGTGACATGAACATAACCGTAATGCAACAATATAATTTTTGTCGTATCGCTCGATCATAGATAGACAGATAAATTAATATGCTTCATTGTATGAAGAATAAATATTTATATATATATATATATATTTATATAAATCATTTTCTTAATGACAAAGCTGGTAGGTGATTTGTAGAACTCGCATATGGTATAATGCGGTTTACATATCAAACGTTTTCAAGATCACGGCGGAATATCTTTAAAATTCAGTTTTGTTTTCAAAAACAACAATTGCCGATTCCAAAATAAATAATGATAAGACTGTCATTATTTTTAGATTTACAAATAAATGCTTGCATGCAGCTGTAGGATTGTTTTTAGTTATATATCTAATAGCTCGTTTTTGTACAATTACTTTTTTTGAACAATTTTGGGAACTGTCTCACCAAGAGGGAATGCTACATCTCAATCTGCTTTCAAATAAGGCAAAGTGATTGCCTAAGCCGTGCTTTTCCCTACGTTGTAACTAATTGTTCTTATAATAAAGGAAATATTTGCTAGTTGAGTAAGCAATTGATGTAAATGATTAGTAAAATCTAATTCATGGTCAATAGTCAGTCCCAAAAATTTGATGGTGTCTGCTTTGTGTATCAATTTATGATTTAAAGGGTCCGACAACACGCTTATGGAAAAAGTGGTTTCGGTTAATTTCGCTGAATTTTTTATATCTTATGCGTCTTAGCATCTCCAACATATGTTCTATGGGTAGGGTCCCCCAACCTAAACGGGTCCCAAGATATAGGCCGTCCAAGTCAGTATAAATGGGGTAACAGCCCTACTCGAATATCTGCTTGGAGTGGAAGAGTGTTTCAGTTATTTTCGCTAAATTTGTTTGTTTGTTGAAGATTTACAAAGTCAATTTTGTATAACTATTCGCTTACACATTTTTCTTCAATCCATTTTCCGTAATTTTACATTCTTGTCTGTTAAAATTAAATCACCACGCATTTAAATTACATAAATTTCGTCTTATTAACATTGAAAGTCAGGTAATTGTTGTAACACCATTTTTTGAGTGATAGTATATCACTATCAATTTTTGTGTTGATTTCATCCAAATCTGTGTCTTGCCAAAGAATGGTATGGTCAGCGAAAATTACCTACTTACTATTAAGTTTACCAAATCATTGATATAGACTAAGAATGGGATCGGGCCTAATTTTGAATCTTGAGGTACCCCCGCGTTTATATTTAATTCATTGGAAACGTAATGTCTTGATACTTTTACAATTTATGATCGATTGTTTATTTAAATATGTTTTAAATCAATTGAGTGAAGTTCCAGTACAATTTAGAATTTTTACCATGCCGATCGATGTCGTAACTATTATATATCCTGGAAAGAACTTGTAAAATAGCAAGTCTGACGACAGTGAATGAATAAAGCCCAAAAGTGCGTTGTCAAGGACGTCTCCGAAAATAACTGATTGGAACGTTCCAGGAACGTCCCCAATGGGACGTTAAAAGGACGTCCTATTTAGGGATGGGACCTACCGACCCAAATTGGACCTGAATCAGACGTTCCAAATGAGCTATTAGGGTGTATGTACAATAAATTCCCCCGGCAAATGATACCCGGTCATACTTTCTACCAACGAATGCGAATAGACTATACGGAGTCAAGTTTATATTGCATTGTTCGTCGCAGTTTCGTTGCATACTTCTGACTCATTTGTCTACCAATGGGACATTGGGACATTGTTGTATGACCATAATAATAAATCTTGCCTGTGGAAACATCTTTCTACATCAGGCTTGTGCTGATCTTTGCAAATTATGCAATAAAAAACACGCCTTGAAATCGTCTAGACCACAATTGCCTGCACTCACATCTTTTAAAAATTATCACTAAAACTTCGTTGCTATCTATAAATAAAACACCCAAATATGACAAGACAAAAGAATTTATTGATAAAACAATCATGCCAACTAGAGTAATGACAGGTCCAAGTTTCACTTTATTTCGTATATGGCTATGGCTGGCGGTTCGCACCGTCCACACTTAGTAACAGCATAAATTGTAATTTGAATGGTCGAGGACAGATCCAACGAGTGCACCATTGCACTGGTTCGTCCGCCACTCATGACTTTCGATTTGTTGAGACCATTCACGAAAATGTCGTATCCAGTGATTAGGTTAGTCTTTGGGGGTTTCCATTTTATGATTATACTATCGTTGGTTATCCTCCGAATGTCGATCACCTCAAAACCTAGTGGAAGACCATTACACGTAAAAAACGGAAACATCGGAACTCAGCAAAGCTGAACAGACTTTAGAAGCTTTTAGTGGAATGTGTTTAAAATATTGTATATCAAAAGGTGATTCTTAATTTTGCGCTAGTAATCCACGATATGAGTTCTTAATTTTAAGAAGAAAAGTTTAATATGAACATAATATGTCCGCAATAGCTTAATTTTGCTGCAAGATGTTGAATTTAATTTAAATTTTATATCTTCGAAAGCACTTCAAGTATTTTTATTATTATAAGAGGATATAAAATGATTTCAGTGTAAAAAGTTATTCGATTGCGCTACCAGTGCCGTCCCTGCAAACATTTTTTACTAATTTGAATACAAAATTAGCACACATATTTTTCAAAGTGAATATTTTTTCTAGGTAGTTTTATCGATCCTCTTTAAAAAACCCCTTCCCCTAATTTGTCCTCATATGCACCGATTTTTATCAAAACGACAAAACATAAACAATATGCACCTGACAAGTATCAGTGGCGAACCAATTCTTTGTTAAAATATATCACAAGTCATATTTATATTTGCAGGACGCCATTGGTGGCGCAATAGAATATTTTTTATACTAAAATATGTAATTCTACACCCTCTTATGATATCCTATAATTGAAAATACGTTTTAAAGCTAAAGTACTTTCGAAGCTTGAATATAAAAACGCTTTTTTTTCTTATAAATTCAACATCCCATACTAAAAAATGTAAGCGATTGAGGCACATGTTCATATAAACTTGTCTTGAGGATATTAGCACGTCGTTATAAGAACACGCTATAAACTAATAAGTTTTGTTCGTTTTTTTTTGTTTTTCAATTTATTCGGAAACGGTTTTGTCTAGATCATACAATGGAACCAGTGACATGCTTAGCTAAACACAAAAGTACCAACTTAAGGATCCCCCACACCGACGTGGTAAGGCGATAGTGATAATCGCACCTCTGTCCATGCGGTGCTCAGTTTTCAGAGCTATAACTAACACCGATGAGCCGATCACACCAGCGCAGAGCGTTTTCCACGATGACCACAACGGCGAAATTAATTGAACAAGTTAAGAAGTATTGTACGATTTAAGTCAAGAAGAAAGAAAGAAAAATTGCAGGAAAAAAGATAAAGTATGGGATCACATTAAATTCAAGATTTCATCAAAACCACCGGGATTCATTCGAAAGTATACCTGTACGTAAAAACGTTATGGATCTCTAGTAATTCGGGCATTAAAGTACGATATTCTCCACATATCCTTCTTTGTTTATTGATATCATGTATCCATTTTTTCTTTTTCCTTAAATACAATTATTAATTAATATGAACTAATACTTATCTTTTTCGCCTTTTATCTTCTGCTAAGGCCAATAATAATAATATACCCAGTGACATTAGAAGTGTTACACCCAGAAAACTAATTTCTTCAACTTGTTTTTTTTTTGACAATGAGGTAGTCTTACATCAAGAATGAAACATTTTCACGAAATTTTATCGACAAGTAATAAGACAGAAGACTAATAATGTGTTGGGCGACCCCGCAGCTGAATACACTCCTGTATACGTCTAGGCATCAACAACAAATCCCATATCACGCCGTTCTCCACAGCGGCGTCTTGCCCTTCTACGACCATAGTGCGTACCTAAGCAGAATCGCGATTCGTCGCTGAAGATGACATTATGCCATTCTGCCTCCCGATGTTGCCGTTCTCTGCTCTAGTTCAGACTTTGACGACTGGTTCGCAGTCAGAGGAAACACTTACCGTGGACGGTATGAAAAAATACCAAAGGCTCGAATGAGGCGATAGAGTGTACCCACGCTAGCGCTGCATCGCGTCGGTGTGGGGAACCATTAAGCTGTAATATCAGCTTCACAGATAATGGTGTCGAATATAACCAAGTTAATCCCCCGTTGATAGCTACTGTCAATTCAGAGGATTTCTTCTAGATCATTATTATAGATGTACAGGTATATATAAAAAAAGGAAGAATCATGTGGGGAAAGGTATATAACAAAAAGATAAATAGTGGGAGAAATCCGCAAAAAGAAGGAAAGTGGATTCTAGCAAAAAGTAGGATAGGTAACCTGAACAATGAGTATTTCTGCCTGTTGGCTTTATTATCAGGCCCGAAATAAATACACATATGCAATTACAAAAATAGACACACATGCCCATACATCAGAATACGAGTGTAACCTGAGGAAACGAAGATGGGGGGGGGGGGGGCAAAACAACACACAAAGTCACCCACAAGAGATAACCTACACTTTTGTAGTAAAATGGCCAGAGGACCTCGAGTTTTCAAGGCGACATCTAACCACAACTACGTGGCCGGTTAGTGACTTCGTGTGTTGTTTCCTTCCTCTCCATCTTCCTTTCCTCAGGTTACACCCGTATCCGGATGTAGGGGCATGTGTGTCTATTTTTGTAGTTGCATATGTGCATTCATTTCGAGCCTGATGAAGGGAATAAGCAGAAATACGTTACCTATCATACTTTCTGCTCGAATCCACTTTCCTTCTTTTTGCGGATATTGCCCATTATTTTCCTTTTTGTTATATATATTTTTTTATACTGGGTGTAAAGTTAGTAGTTGCTCAACGGAAGTCAGGTGATAGAGGGCCTCAAAATCTATCGAATGAACCCCTATAGTTCAGGAGATAATTGCAATTTTGTGAAATTTCGAAAAAAAACGGGATTACAACTAAACCATTAGGTTTAGGGTTGTGATTTTTTTTCTGAGATGAGCTAAATGGTTAGTTTTAGCAATGGTTGTCACTTTTTAACAGAGCTAATTATAAATCAGCGCAAAAAATCTTAAATTCATTTTGTTTTGTGAAAAATCTCTTCCATACGTCAACTTTGGAGGGCTGTAAAGAAATTGAGGTTGTATTTCAGTATTTATTTCATTGTAAAAACTATTTCAATCCATGGAGAATAAACCCTGAAAATTAAAGTTTGCTACGATGAGTGTATCATGTCACATTCGTTGTTATGATGCGATAAACGCAATAGAATTCTTTCCACATACAAGTACAGAACCTATTGTGTTTAGCCACTCTTTATGGCGATTTACCGTCAAATGTGGAGGATAATTAATTTATCTAACTTTTAAAGAACATGTTCGAAATGGCGTCCATTATTTTCTATACACAAGCGACACGTTCTAATAAAATTGTCCTTTAGTCTTTGAAATTAATTTGTCTTCCATGATTTTTATTTTTGCTTTATCAATTTTCTGGAGCAGTTGGTTGTAATTTGTATATTCAGATGTATAGATAATCCCGTTATAAAACCCCCATATAAAAAAATCTAGAGGACTTAAATCAGGTGACCTTGGAGGCCATCGTATGTGTCCACCTCTAGCTATCCAATGCCCAGGAAAGGCACTGTCTAAATAATGCCATACAACCCGTGCAAAGTGGCATGGAGCACCATCGCATTGAAAATACAGGCTGCTTCTAACGTCCAGCAGCTCATGCAAATTGCTTTGTAGAAAAGCAAGATTTAACTGACCATTCAACCTGGCGGGCAATTCATATGGTCTAATTAATTTCTTGTTGAGTACTCCAGCCCATAAATTAACGCCGAACTGACGTTGAAAGCTGTGTCGGCGAATAGCGTGTGGATTTTCCACGCTCCATGAATGGAAATTGTGCATGTTGAATATTCCATTTCGGTTAAAGTTGGATTCATCTGTCCATAAGATGCAGTCGAAAAAAGTTTTTTTTCGAAATTTCACAAAATTGCAAATATCTCCTGAACTATAGAATTTCGGACCACACATACAGGGATTCATTCGATATGTTTTGATTATAAAAAATAAAAGATATAGTTATTGTACTGAAGATGATCACCTTTGTGATTGAAACATTTACAGTAAAGAAGATCATGTCAATACATGTGGTTCTATTGGCCAGAGATATCGACATGTAAACCACAGGATAAGTTTGATATCTTGAATCATTTTAAATATATTTTGCCAAAATCCTTCATAGTCTATTCGGCATCCCTGGGTTGACGTATAAGCCTAGAACTACGGTTACTACGGTTGCGAATTCTGGCGAAATTTAGTCCTAGTTCTTCTGTGGACTGCGGCCCAATTTGGTTGGATATCTTTGAAGGAAAGATCTAATACATTATGCTCTAACCAAACTTACGCTCTTTTGTTGTATTTCAAACGCGCAGATGATTTATTTCGAAATCTCAATGCTAAGCTCATATGTCATTTTCTACACAGAACAAACAACATATACTAAGTGACATATAAATCCGAACACCCAGTTTAAATGGTTTTATTTTAATAAAATTGGTGAATGTATTTATCTTACTGTAAATAACATGTGAAAAAATTTTCAGCCTTATCAGTTGGACATTCCGGTTTTTATACTGCTTTTTTTGAATTCACTAATGCTATAAAAATCACTATTTCAGCCGCAGTAAAGAATCAACGTTGGCGGATTTTGGTTCTTGACGTCCTTTACGATCGGTTACGATGCCTAGAGTACGGAGACCTGTACGATTTCGTCAACTTAGTGAGTTTGATAGGGGCCGTATAGTGGGACTTCGGGAAGCTGGACTTTATTTTCGGGCAATTGCAGTTAGAGTGCAAAGAAGTGTAGACACTGTGGTTAGGTGTTGTCAGGCATGGCTTCGAGAAGGCCGTACGCAAAGAGCAAGGGGCACTGGACGCCGCCGTAGAACAACAGACCGTGAAGATCGCCGCCTAAGATTATTGGCCTTAAGGGACCGTTTCTCCACTACCAGGTCCATTGCAAATGAATGGTTTGCAGAACACGGAAGACCTATTGGCATGCGAAGTGTTTACCGACGAATGAGAAGTTTTGGCTTGTTTTCATACCGGCCACACTTTAACTCGAGAACACCGACGTAATCGCCTTGACTGGTGCAGACAACGGTCACTCTGGGATCAGGAATGGAACAACAAATGTCTTTAGTGACGAGTCTCGATTTTGTTTAGGCATGCACGATGGTCGTGCCAGGGTTAGAAGGCGACGTGGTGAAAGGAGGAATCCACAGTTTTTTGTTGAAAGACATGTTCATCATACTGTTGGAGTTATGGTTTGGGGTGCTATAGATTATGATTCCAGGTCGCCTTTAATCTTCATCAGAGGTAACATGATCGCGCAGTGTTATATCCACGAAGTTCTAGAACCCCATCTTTTACCCTATCTTGACACCCTGGCAGATCCAACTTTCCAACAAGATAATGCCCGACCACATGTTGCAAGAGTCACAATAGACTTCTTTCAACATAATGATGTCACATTGTTACCATGGCCACCAAGATCTCCCGACTTATCCCCAATTGAGCACGTGTGGTATATGATGGGTAGAAGATTGCTCAATTTGTAACGTCCTCCTCAGACTCTAGAAGCACTTCGAGAGGAGTTGGTGGTTGCCTGGAATGAGATACTACAGGAGGACATTGACCACCTGATCAGAAGCATGCCTAGGCGCGTTGGAGAATGCGTAGCACATCGGGGTGCATCCACACATTATTAAAGGTCAAAGGGCTTTAAAGCAGTGCAAAAATTTTGAAATTTTTATCATTTACTTATTATGCTTCATTAAGTACTTGTACAACATTTTATTAAAATAAAACCATTTAAACTGGGTGTTCGGATTTATATGTCACTTAGTATAGTTCCCTTTAAATATCTAAGTACTATTTCTATCGTTTCTAATCCATAAACAATACATTTGGAACATTTTAGTTGAAGATTATTATAAGAATTAGCCGATGTGTTACAACAGTTTTAGAAGGGTTTTCGCTTTTTTTTGGAGAGCTTTTTTCGTTTTCATGACGATGGATGACGGTAACATATCTGGTAAATTGAAAAAAAACGACAGATAACCTTATGATCACTTGTCGTCTTGGAGTGGGGGTGTGGGGATGCCTACCCCAGGCGATCCTGGGCTATGAGGGTTTTGCATCGTGCCATCTTAAAATTTGGAATGATGGCTTCGCGCAATCTCAGAATGTTACGGCTTCCTTCACACTATCGTATACATTTGGTTTTGATTGCCCAAAGAAATATGGAGGAGGTGCATGTTTATTTGGACGAATTAGTCAGAAACAAACTTCAAGAGAATTCGCATCGATAGTAACCGTAGCCTAACGCTTTCCACTTATGTACATACGGATATTGAAATAATTGAGGATGAGCGAGCTGTTTCCTGAAAGTTAAAATCACCACTCACACGTACTTTTGCCGTTAAATAACTTGCAATTACCGTATAGATTTAGTTGCTTAGATTTGTAAGGGGTAGATAATAACCCAACTTTTTCGCGGGAGTTCCCACCGGCCACTGTAGACAGAACAGACACTTATCACTTTGGACCATGCACAAGTGCCGTCAATTCAAAGGGTTCCCTAAACTATGCGGGAGGTAACATTCAGGCATAAGATCGTAAGACGAGTGCTCTTGTCGTTCGACATCAACAAAGCTTCTGGTCCGGACTTGATTCCTGCCGTTGTACTGAAGAGATGTGCAGCGGAGCTTACTCCAGTTCTTTCGCGTCTCTTTCAGATATCTTACGAATCCGGCACCTTCCCAGAAAACTGGAAATTTGCTCATGTCCAACCCATCCCAAAAAAAGTATCTAAGACCGACCCCCCCAACTACAGACCTATAGCTCTGCTTTCTGTTATAAGTAAGGTGATGGAGAGGTGCATAAATCGCGAGCTTCTTGATTACCTCGATCGTCACAGCTTGACTAGCGATAGGCAGTATGGTTTCCGGCATCAAGGATCCACAGGGGACCTAACTTACGTCACGCAATTATGGAGTAAACCAATCCAGTCTTATGGTGATGCTCATGTCGTTGCTCTTGACATCACGAAAGCGTTCGATCAGCTGAGGCACGCTGCCCTCTTAAGCAAACCCATCCTATGGCCTCCCAGAAAAGATTTGCAGATGGGTGGCTGACTTTATCTCTGGGCGCAAGATATCCGTCGTAATTGACGGGTTCTCCTCTTCATCTCACACCGTCAACGCGGGTGTTCCTCAGGGATCAGTCTTGGCTCCAACACTGTTTCTCTTACATATCAACGACCTCCTTTCCTGCATGATCAACCCAATCCACAGGTTCGCGGATGACAGCACTCTACATGCAGGAATCCAGAGTGACAAGCCGATCTCTGCCGCTGAGCTGGAAAAAAGAAGACTAGCGACGACTTTCTCTCTGACAAGAGACCTGGAGGCTATCACTGCTTGGGGACGCAACAATCTTGTACAGTTCAATGCTTCCAAAACACAGTACTGTACTTTGACGAACAAAAAGCGTCCTAGCGCTCATCCAGTTTCGATGGACGGCCGATTTCTGCCAAATCGTCAATCGTCAGTAGCTGCAGGTGCTGGGAAAAAGCTAGGCTATTTGTTTAGGGCTAAGAAGTACTTTTCTCCGCATGACCTCACTCTATACAAGGCCCAGATAAGGCCTAGCCTCGAGTATTGCTCACACGTTTGGGGTGCTGCCGCCCCGAATATATTATGAATGCTCGATGCTGTCCAGAGGAGGGCGGTCCGGCTGATCGATGACTCTTCTCTAACAGGCAGTCTCGGCGGGCCGTCGGCGATCTAGCTCTTTTCTATCGCTACACCAACGGGATTTGCTCCTCAGAGCTCTTCACCTTGATGCCGCCGCGCGATGTGCCTGCCAGACAGACCCGCCTGACTTTGGCGTCCCATCCTAACCGTGTCGAACTTCGTACATCCAGAACTGGCCGATACGACCGCACCTTTGTCCCGAGGGTGTCGAGATTGTGGAACAATCTACAAGAGGAAGTTTTTCCCAGTTCTACTAACCTTAGACAGTTCAAAAATCGTATTAACAATATTTCTTTGGGGTCATCATAGCAGCCGCGGTGTTCCGGCATTTAGGCTTCTGTCTACGCGGCTGCTTCGATATATATATATATAAAAAAAGGGCGAAGAGAGATCCAAACTGCCTCATGTGGTGGGAGGAGGGCGAAACAGCGGTCCCCTTTAGGAACTATTGTATTGCCCCACGTATTGTAAGGGCTGAATTTTGGAAGTTGCTTACTCAGCGGGATGGTCGGATATACTTCAATGGAAGATCAGGAAGGTTCCACAGATTAGTGAAATGACATGTGAAGAAGAGTCTTGGTACACACAGTATCGGCAAACAGGGCCAAAGGCGGCCTGCTTGCCTGGCTGCGCCTCCTCACTACTACTACTACTACTACTGTGCAGATCGTTACGAAGTTGAACAGGAAAACCATGCGTGAGATCCCGTCGATATATATCAGTATATGAATGGGGAGCTTTAGGGTACTCCACTGACCTGTCAGATCTACCTGGTGCGAGTCTTTCTCTTTGTCCTTATGGTTTTTGCCGCATTTGCATCCTTTAGTCCTTCGTTTGTGTTTGTGTTTTTCAGTTGCGACGGCCTTCGATAGTTTCACGTCGAAGTCAGTGTTTTCTTCATTTACGGTGTATAAGACGTTCGTAGATGGCGCTGGGGTTTTTACATCACCTCCCTGAAACTCGACAAAAAATATGAGCGCTTTTTCAGGCTATAGATAGATAAGCTTTACTGTCTAAAGTTCTAAAGAATACAATCATTCTTAATGACAAGGCTAACTTAAAACTAAGCTGTAACATGATTACATGTAAATGAATTGTAGAAATCACACCTGATATAATATGGTTTACATATTAGAAAGTTTTTAAGTTCACGGCGGAATATCTGTCATTCTTTTGATAGCATCGGAGAGATACGTACACTTTCAGATCATTGCAAATTATTGAGTTTTGCACACGTGTTGATTTAGGTACTACTAATTTAAGATCTTGTTTTCGACTATTATCATAACTTATATCTAATGTTACCTTATTTAGATTTATTTGAAAGAATAGGAGTTGCCATTTTTAAAATTAACAATGATAAGGCAGTAACTATTTTAGGACCAGTAAATAAAAGCCTGTGTATAGCTCTAGGTTATATATCTAATAGTTCGGTTTAGTAGAGTTAAACAACTATGGGAACAAACAGACCAAAAGGGAAGGCTATATGGAAGCCTACGTTCAAATAAGGCAAAGGCTGTGATTTTTCCTACATTGTAACCAATTTTGTTCATATAATAAAAAAAATCGTTGCAGAAAATCAGTACTTTTGAGAATGCACCATTTTTTCTGATGTGAAAAAAGCTGAAAAATTATTCCAGCAATCAGCTAACAAAAAATTTCGTCTATTTCAATTCAATCGAATAATGTACCGAGGGAGCTCTTTTTAATACCGAAGTAGCAGCGCAGGCAGAAGTTTATAGTATGAGAGGATTAAAGAAACCTTGTGAATTTGACTTTTGCACCGCCTAAGGTTAGTAGAATCAGGAAAAGCTTCCTCAGATAGATTGTTCCACAATCTCGATACCCTAGGGACAAAAAGACGATTATATCAGCCAGTTCTGGATGTACGAAGTTTGGCACGGTTAGGATGGGAGGCCGAAGTCAGGCTGGTCTGTCTGGCAGGTACATCGCGCGGTGGCATTATGGACGAGAGCTCTGAGGAGCTAAGCCCGTTGGCGTAGCGATAGAAGAGAGTTAGACTGACGACGGCCCACCAGTGCGAAAGACTCCCAAGAGTGTCTGTTAGAGAAGAGTCATCGAACAGTCGGCCGCCTCTAAACAGCATCGAGCGTAGATAATGTAATCTGGGCGGCAGCACTTCAAACATGTGAGCAGTACTCAGGGCTAGGTCTTATCTGGGCCTTGTATAGAGTGAGGAGGTCATGTGGAGAAAATTACTTCTTAGTTCTAAACAAATTGCTTAGCTTTTTCCAGCAGCTATTGACAAGATCTGTACGTGCCAGATCAAGTCCTCGGTGATCTGGATCACAACCAGCCGAAATGAACGGCTCTTTGGTAGAGCTCGACCATCTACCGAAACCGGGTGTGCGATTGTTAATCAAGGTACAGTACTATGTTTGGAAAGCATTAAACTGTACAACATTGTTGCATCCAAAAGCAATGATAACCTTCAGGTCTCTCGTCAGAGAGCGAATCTCTGCTAGTATTCTTTTCTCCAGCTCACCGGCAGAGATCGGCTTGTCCCTCTGAATTCTTTCATGTACAGTGCCGACATCAACAAAGCTGTGGGTCGGTTAATCGTACAGGAAAGGAGGTCACTGATATATAAGTGGAACAATATCGGAGCCAAGACCAATCCCTGGGGAACACCCGCGTTGACGTTGTGAGATGAAGAGGAGAGCCCGTCATCTACGACGGATATCTTTCGGTCAGAGAGAAAGTCAGCCATCCAGCTTCTCTGGGAGGACATATATAAGAGTTTTAAGGTACGCCCGGAGGACCCGACCCGAAGGTATTTTTTTACACCGAAGGAGACTGAATAGGAGAGATGCCGTTCCGATGGGTTCCTTTACACATAATCAAATGAAATTTGACATTTTTTTATCATGATTCGTAGGAAATGTTGTTTTAGTTTCCCCAAAGAAATCTCTGATAACCTGCGCTGCATCTGCAAACTTCTTAATTTCTTGTCAGCTGAATATTGCTATATTCGTCGTTCCTCACCTTATCATAGTCTGGAGCGTCACAGTTCCGAGCCGCGATAATATGATCAAACGTTTTGCTGCTGATGCGTGTCTTCAATTCCCCGGTCATCGCCTGGATCAACTTGTCCTTGGCCTTGCACTTGTCTTGGAGGTTGTTCAATGCCAACTTCAACCCCGACATCGTCTGCCCGAACGCCGAGGCCTGTTTGACCAACGGATTTGCCCCACCGCCAACTCCTTGGGTCGCCGTCATCTGCACACATCAATTCATCAATTTTGCCAGTGGCAACTCATCAGGATACCAAAGAATAAGATTGTTGCGAGCCCAAACTATTTTGCCGCTTGAGAAATGTGGCAATAATACGAATGAATGCAGTACATTTTATTGCGTTCGTAAGGTTATTCTGTAGCCACAGCAATTTATTATAAGACGTGTATTATTTCAAACGTAATCATAAACGAATGTCAAACTACCAAAGCCGGAACGAAGATGTTTAAAATTTTGAAGTAATCAAGTAAGTGACAAAGAATGGCCATAATATTAAAAGTGCAACTGGTCGTTTGTTTAAGGAATTTGATAATGCAATGGATCGTCATGGCCGCCGCGTCAAGGATTAAGCTCCCCATTCATAACTGTACTGTCCTACGAAAGACGCAACCACAACCAAAAACTATTCACGAACCCTTGAAAGGTTCTGACCAATGTATGTTATCGGAGTAAATACACAACTATCGTTAAAATGCAACGTCAAAAGTGCGACTATTTAGCGTTCGTGTAACATCTGCTTCTGAATGGGGTAAGATAGAAGCATTTATGTGTAAGCCCGTTTATGCACATGACTTGTGTTGTGCGATACTATCGTTCTACAATACGTATACAGGGTGTTTCAGTTTATTGTTGCATAACTTTAAGATTCGATAGAACTTTTAAAACTAATGCATAAAGTCAATATATACATGGATCGAAAAATGCGTGGCTTCCGAAATACAGGGTGTTTAAATTTACTTTCTAAAATAGTTTTTTTTAAATATTTCGAACAATATTTGATGTATAATAGTGAAAATTGGTATACAAGGGTTTTTGGTACCACAAAACGAACCATGGGCATAGTTTTACTGTAGCCGCTAGAGGGCGCTCTCTACTGTACCTGTAGTGTATTAAAATGACAGAAAATTTTTTCTTAGTGCAATTTTTTTCTTTTTGAATAAAAAAACTGATTCTTCGCACTTTTCAACATAAAAAAGCTTTCTTGTGAGTTTTCGTTATAGGTAGCCGTTTTTGAGATATTTCGATTTTTAAGGTTCGACGCACTTTTAATTATTTATGGGAAAATAACATTTTTTTTACATTTTCGATTTGGGCATTACAAGTAATTAAGATGATCGTTTAGATTGTGTTTTTAAACACAGCAATAATTCCTAACTCCAAATAAACACAAAAAAATCAGAATATTAATTTGTTTAACTTTCCAATATTATTTTTAACAAATTAAATTAATTATTTACAACTAAAATGCTATTGGATAGTTAGGACAAACATACAAAATCTAAAGTAGTTGCTCGAAATGTAAACCCAATTGTTCAATACACAATTCACATCTACGAATGATCGAACCTGGTATAGCATTATTCAAATAAGGACTTATTTCATCACATGAATTCCTGATTCTGTCTATTAGCATATCTCTTGTGGTTACGGGAGTCTGGTACACTTTTTCTTTCAGAAATCCCCACACAAAGAAATCTAATGGATTTAGGTCAGGGGATCGTGGAGGCCAGGCGACTGGTCCTCCACGGCCGATCCATCTTTCTGGATAATATTCGTCCAGCCAGTTTCTAACTATTCTCGAATAATGAGCTGGACAACCATCAAGCTGGAACCAGGCCAATCTTCTTAAATCTAACATAACATCATCCCACATATTCGCATGTTCAGCCTTTAAAAATTCCAAGAAGGTCGCAGCATTTAACCTTGCAGGCAAAAGGTAGGGTCCAAATAGTCGATTACGGTAGATACCAATCCACACGTTGATTATGAAAATTTTCCACTCCACGTCTAGTGAAGCATGACTCATCGGTCCATAAAACGTTACTTAAAAACTGCCTATTATTATCAGTTCTATCAAGAATCCACTGACAAAATGTTATTCTTCGTTCTCCGTCCCCTGGCTGTAGTCCTTGCACAGATTGCAAATGGTAAGGACGTCTATGGTCATTTCTAAGAACACGGTGAACATGGCTTGCTGAAATTCACAAGGCACCAGAAACTCTCCTAACACTTGTGGTCGGATCTCTATCAAACTCACGCAGAATCATACGGGTAAATCTGCGCTGCCGAACATTTATGTTTTGATCCCTTTGGAGATTTCCAAAACCATTTTCAATTATTTGGCGATGTACTCTTACAAATACTGAGCGAGTTGGATGTCGTCTGTTCGAAAATCTTCGTGCGTATTCTCTGGCTGCTTCTGCTGCGTTTCCATTTACACAGCCATATACAAAATGAATATCCGCTAACTCTTAATTGGAGAATAAAAATGGCATTTTTATAAAACTTACAAAAAAAAAACACTTAAAAGAAACTAAATTTCGTGCATTCTAAAAAGCAAAAAAACGTTTCAGGTTTCAACAGACAACAAAACTAACTGTCAACTAATTGACGTTTAACCTTATTCTGCTTTTAATTTCAAAAATATTTGCAGGCTCAGCCTACTTCTAAAAATTATCGAGATACCGACTTTTTAACGTTAATTTATCATAAATAATTAAAAATGCATTAATTTTAAAAGCTCTATCGAATCTTAAAGTTATGCAACAATAAACTGAAACACCCTGTATATATATATGTTTTTATAATTAGAGACAGAATGAAACGTACCAAATTGTCGAGTGACATTATCAACCGACAAAAGGGACCTTCCCTGTCCGGCAGGGTTATTGCGTGAAAAACCTTTGGTCTAACACTCCATGAAACAAAACCCTAGAGGAAAATCTATTAGAAAATATATTTCTCACTCCCATGTGAATGGGCATCAAGGAAATGCAGGGGTTGGCGGACACCTGTTCCCAGGGGTCGATAGGTGGGTCAATATGGACCTCCCAAAGACAATCCTGTCGCTCATGTTTTGGGAGGGAATGATAGAGAAGGAGCTGCCAATATCAAAGTCCTCTCTTTCCACGTTGCCCACCACGTCTCAGATCGCCTCTGCCCGATGTGGGAAATCGTTCGCACATATTAGAAGGAAAAAACAAGCGTAAACCATTAATAATCAATTTTTCTTGCATACTGCGCTAGGTTGGCACCAAGTTGTTTATTAAAAAATATATTTATAGGACAACTGGTGACACAAGCCCAATGGCATCCCCTTAGATGAACGGTTTTCCATACCCAGTAATACTGGGTGCACGAGTATCTGAGAAATGGAATGGTTGACGGGTTGTGGTTCCCGAGCGTCTACTAGTGGGTCAATATGAACTATGAACCTTCAAAAAAGACGGTCCCGTCGTTCATCTGTTAGAAGCATTTTTGGGATGGAGTGATACAGACAGGCCTGCCAATGTCAAAGCATGCCGGGTTGGCTGACTTACCCCCCTTCACGTTGTCCGCCGCGTTTCAGTTCGCCCTCCTCCCATTATAGGAAATCGGAAACACATGTTACGAAGGAATAAACAAGCAAACACAATAGATTATATTATCAGTTTCTCTTGGATACCCACCGCGTTCTACTGTTTTGTGTCACCGGCCTACCAATAAATATTGTTTTTAATTATTAAACACCTGGACGCCAATCTTCTGTCAACCCATAACGGTATGCAAGAAAAATTATTATCTATTGTTTTTGCTTGTCTTTTCCCTTCTAACATGTGACTTCGACTCCCATTCGCTCGCAGGGAACTAAAACAAGGTGGGTAAAATACTGCTTTGTCCTATCAACCCAGCGTAGTATGTAAGAAAAATTGATCATATATCGTTTATGCTCGTTTTTTCCTTGTAATATGTAGAGACGATTCCCCATGTGGTGGAGTGTCTTGAAAAGTTACATTATGTTGATTTTTTGACATTATATAGGCTTTTTGTAACATTATGTAGGTTTTTCTACGTGTTGTTGTACACTTGCTGTGTACCCGTACCGTAGCTGTACGTGTTGCCTAAACGTCATGATGCTTCAGACGTCAATGTTTGGCTCTGATGTGATGCAAAATCTGCTTCAGAGATGCCATTATTGGAGGTCTAAGCTGTAAGTGAGGATTTGTGTGCTAATATTCTGTGTTGATGACAATTCCATTGGTTTCTTGCCTCAAATACACTTACTTGAGATGTATGCAAAGCTAAAAATTATTTGCGCATCCGCTTTTTCTAAAAAAGACAGCGATAAGAAAAGAAAATCCCTGATTGGTGAAATATACTAAAACTAACAGGTGAGAAAATATGGTACATACAGGAATATTTATGATACCTAAAACATTTATTACATTTTACAATAATTTTTATTTCCAGTTATTTGAATTTTAGAGAAATTTATTTTACGATTTCAAGATGAAAATACAAATCAGCGCCTAGATGTGAGGCAGTGCGAAAATGTTTTGTATGTGATTCCTGATTTTCTGTAATAAATACGTACAATGCGGGTGCGGGCCTGATTCCTCTTAATACTTCTCAAAGTTTTTGAAGACGGAAAAATACGAGGAAAATCGTAATGTATTACTTTGAACATAACCTCTCTTCAGAAAGGACAACACAAAATAACCCGTCTGGCACAGCTAATAAATATACTCCATTGGAAGCATATTCAGTAATAATTTTCTCACACACTAAATCATCCATGATGTAATTTTGATACTCAACCAACCACACAGCATGGTGGGAAAACTGACTTGCAGCTTCCAGTACGGTCATTGAGCGTGTCGTGTCCTTGTTATTCCTCCATAGATGGACGCTTTTCATGATGCTCACAGCGCGCATAGCGAACAAATGCGGATTGCACTATCTGCACACTAGGAACTATCTGGGCAGCAAGTTGATATTTTGTCGTTTTTGTGTCACGGACGCTTAGGATGCTATATAATGTCAAAAATCGATAAAATGTCAACTTGGGTACTTGGTAGCCGCTAGTATGCTGCTAGTTAACTCCGCGCTTGCTACAAGTGAGCATGAAGTAAATGTTATAAAGGCAAATCTATATATTGTAAAGAACCTACATAAAGTTAATGAGCTCTTTATGCTCTAAAATGATTGAGTTAAATCTGAGAATTTTGATCAACCTTCGGCAGAAGCTTTGTTTCAGTGGTTGATTGCGAGCAATAGAACGTACCTTTTTGAGTCGTAGCATAAAAAAATGAAAAATATTTATACATAGTATGTAAAAATCTGAATGATGGGAAGTGCCATTCAAACTACTACAAACAATTAAAAAAAATAATAAAGTGAAGTCGGTGGAATGTTTGCTAGTCAAACACTAAAAAATAAGAGATAGTAAAGGATTATTAGGTAAAACTAGTATGAATCGAACTTATGAAGTATTATTCACCTGACTGCCCTTAATTGCTTTCATCTCAGCTTCAGTACAAGCGCACTTGATCTTCGTTAGCGCCTTTTTGATCTCCTTGATTTGCTCACGACATTTGCAATTCTCTTTTTTGTCAGTTTGTATCTTCTGCATCAGAGCGGCATCGTCCATTGTACCGATAGCACTCATGCAACATTCCGGGCAATCACAGTCATTCGGATGTGAACCCTGCATCAATATGATCATGATCAATAATTAACCCCAAGTCTTTCCATGATATATCCGATGAATATTTAGAGTGATTCGAATTTCAGGCAACGGTGACGATTTTTCTTCTCCCTTTGTTTTTATAAGGTTTATATTTTGAGGAAGTAACGAAGCCTATGCGTGTCTCACTTTCTAGAATTCGACGTTAATGTCACGTGACATGCGCTTTATTGTGAAGTGAGCAGTGTCACAGAGTATACGTTGTTTTAAGCTGTTTTATAAAAGGTTTATACATTTCCAATCATGGTGAATGTGCATATTAAATAATACCTAGTACATTCACCATAATTATAAGGCTTCGCTTAAAAATACGGTTTTTTGGAATCTTTAGCTAAAGAAATATATATTTCTCAAAAAATAGTTCTAGATCGAATAGTTCTGGCTAGAGACGTGCTCAAAGTTTGTGTATTCATAAAAATGGGAATTTTAGTGTTTTGGCGACTTTTCCATTTTCTCACTACTCACTACTCACTACTCATACAACCTCTAAATTCCGTTATAATACTTCGTTCAGCAGAATTGATATTTTCAAATTTTTTCACTGGCTTATTTATCGGACAATTCGAATGTATTCCGAAACAAAAAAGCACAAAAAAATATTATTATCAATTACATGTTGTCATTGTTACTTATTCTCTTCTTCTACTAAATGGCATAGTCAAATTTTCAATAGGACATTTCGTCTTTCGACTTCCATCACAAACTTTGTTTTCTCTTATGGACGCTATTTTGGTACATTTAAATTGAATTTTCAGCCCTGAATTCAGTGATGTACTTCCTTAGTTAGCCATGAAATTGTTGTAGGGTGAAAATTATAAGGAAATAGACTGGTATGGTCAAACCTGAACACAAAATAAAAATTTTATTGGTGGTAATTACAATAATATTCATGAATAAGCAGAGGTAAAGCATAGCAGATGTTCAAAATGTCCCTTATTTTGTAGGCAAAGCCTGACTCTACTCACTACATTGTTCGATTTGGTTCTCTTCTTCTTAGTCTTCCGAACTCTGTTGCTATGTTCAATTTGGCGTCTGGTCTGGTATACAAAATAAATAAAATCTGATAATATCAAGGCCTACCTGGGAACTTCTGCTTTTCTGGAATAACTAAGGCTTGGCAATGTCAATGCATGACACATCATACATTTTTTGAAACAGAATTGAAAATTTCATTCATCTGTGGTATGAGGTGTCCATAAGAAAAAATAAAGTTGATGCTGGAGGACAAGAGAAGGAACGTCATAAAAAAGTGACAATGTCAATGTGCAAGTTATTTTAAAATCTCACTACAAGTAAAGTCAGGAAAAAACAAAACTATTTTGGAAAAATTTGTTTTTTCCGTCTCTCACCGGAAATACTCTGAATTTTGAATCTTTCTAAGCGACATTTTGTTGATTACCTAAATACTTAACTTTGCCTACGTTTGAGCGACTTCGTATATGTTTCCGAGATCTCAATGCTTAGGGAAGAATTTGAAACACCCCAAGGTGAGGAACGGGACTTCAAAAATGGTTATAACTACAATGTTGATTAAATGAGAAAAAGGGTACATAATGTAAGTATCTTTCACATGCAGCTTACGAAATTCGGTTGCCATTTTTCAATTTTGAGTTATTTGAAGAAAATATAACATCGAAAATTTGCATAATTAGACTCTTTTTCAATAAACTCAAAATAAGAAGGCAGACAAACTTTGTATACTTTGTGTGGGAGGTAATTATATTACGCACTTATTTTCTAATTTGAACAATATTGTCGCTCTCAGCGTTTTTGCGATCGTAATGCTCACCTTGGTCATACTGTTATTCTGAATTATTAGTTTTTTTGCAAATGTCTCTTGTCAGCTGCGTTATCTAATGGACGCTAAGCATTTTGTTGATGTACTCGTATTTGTAATATAATTTATATATAATTACTACAAATCTACACTGAAAACCAGATACCACTGAAGTCGTAATGTGTACGAGAGAGAAGCGCGAGAAGCGTGCAATGCGTGTGTTAGAAAGAGATAGTAGCACCTCGTCGCCTAGCAATCCGAAAGACAAGACCACGGTCGCCATCGGGCACCCTTTCCAACATATATATTGGACGCTTCTCGCACTTTTCTCTCGTAGTTATTACGACGTCAGCCAAATTTGAACCTTTAAACGCATTTCCAGAGCGAACCGTTCAACACAGAAATTTGAAATTTTACAAAAGTCATGCTCCCATAGGTTTTCTGCAGCAAACAAAATAAAGCCCGATGAGTAATGGCCCGCCCTTCAGTATCATGAAAATGGTGAATCTTGGTTAAAAATATCGAAAATTGGATCCAAAGGCCTATCCGACCAATTTAAAGGCACTTTAAAGGCACACAAAATTTCATCTATTTAGGAGGATAGACTGCTCCATCTCCTTTACGAAAAACAATTTTGTACCATTTTCCGTTTCGCAAGGTATTCTAATTAATAGTGCAATAAACCAGTGAATATTTACGCAAGAATCACTTTTAACTAAAATATCTGCCAAACAAATTATCATATTGCAATTTACATTATTTTTGACTTCTTGGACAATTTTACTTGGGAATGTTGGCAAAATGTTAAAATTTACATTTCTGTTGAACCTCCAAACTATGAAGGGTCTTCTATCTTCTATCGAAGCGCCCGACCTAGGACCCTGAAATTTTACAAAGCTTTATGTCTCCACCCTCTAGGTACTCTCTAGGAAACAAAATGAGTCCGATCTGAGGTATGACCCGCCAACCAAGTTCGTGGAATTTTAGTTTTGACCTAGGTTAATAATAAGAAACATGGCATATATAGTCCACTATATTCGTGATTGCACAAATGACAAAATTGCCTAAGTTCGAGTTACCCTATTTTTGATACGTTCGATGTTATAGTGTATTCCATACCGAGAATGTATGGTGTAGTTTGTACTGGTAAACGCTAGATCAGATTACCCACTGTCTGTATGTGAAATATGAGCCCCTTCCCACTTCAGTTGGCCCATTTGAAGATTTGTACCAAAAAATGCCTTTATAAACTAAACATGACGAAACTATTTACTTCTAAAACAATTTATTTTCTCAAAAACATTTTAGATACACTCTAGTCGTAAAAAATACATATATGAAATCACTTAGACCTATAACTAATAGAACATCTGAACAAATAAACAATGTGTGAATAAATGCGCCAAGGTAACAAAGCAACAATTGAAAGATTACCATTGGTAACATCACCTTAATTTTTTATTACGGCTGAAATTCTTTGGGGCATAGCGTTAACCAAGTTTTGGCAAACATTTGGTGTAACACAATCCCATATTTCTTGAAGCTTTTGTCTCAGTTCGGTGATTGTACGAGCAGGATGTTGTCGTAGAACCTTTTTCATTTCGTGCCACAAAGTTTCAATAGGTGACAGATCTGGACTGCTAGAAACCCATTTCAAAAGTGGTACATTATTTTCTTCCATCCATTTTATAGCCTTTTTTGAGGTATGGCACGCTGCACCATCTAGCTGAAACACAAAATCTTGACCGGATGTCAAACATTCTTCCATCACTGGTAAAAGCGATTCTTCTAAAATTGCCAAATATTTGTTTGTATCCACATTTCCATCAATAAAATGAAGTTTTCCTAGTCCTTTTGATGACATACTGCCCAGACCATAATGGATGCTGTAAGGTTCACTTTTCTCTTCAGACAGTCACCACGGAATGCTTCATTTTTTTGCGAATAACCCTACTGCGACTGTCACCAACACAAACTTCGAATCGGGCCTCAACACTCCATTGTATTGCACACCATTGTTGAAGTGTCCATCGTCTATCTTCTTTAGCCCATCTAAGCCGATTTTTCTTTTGCAGTGGAGTTAATAGTGGCTTTTCTTTGACCTATAAACAAGCTGTGCAACTTTATGGTTTTTACTTCACTTTTTTTTTATAAGAAAACTTACCTTGCAAGTGCTAAATCCCAGTTTGTGGGCCTCTCTATGAGTTGTGGACCTCGAAATTCTGCTTCCAACCGCGTCACTCCACAGAGCACTTAATTGTAAATAATTGCAATGCCTGTTTTTCACGATTATTCTTCTTAATGCTCTTCGGTCGGCATTTGTGATATTACTTTTTTTCACATATCGTGGCTTAATATTAGCTGAACCAGTTACGTTATATCTTCAAAAAATATTTCCTCACACTGTCTAACAAAGTTGCAATTTCTGAGTTTGATTTCCCAGAATTAAAAAATTTAATTATCAGTAACCAAATTTTCTCACTAATAACCTTTCCTCTACCCATTTTGAAAACCTTAACTACCCAAAACTATTTTAAACGTATTCTGACAGCTGTGATTAATAAAAACAATTGTCATGGCTTTTATTTTTCACAGCCACCTATGCGTTATAGGCTTATTTTGCATTGAAATGAAAATAGGTTAATATGCTGAAATTACAACAGGCGTTATTTTTATGCTGCAAATTTGATAAGGGAGTGATAAATTTGGTGTTTTCTACTATATATTATCATAATATTCATTGTTAATATTTTAAACCTATAACACCCTGTTACATTTTAATTATTTGTGTTTGATAAGAAAAACTAATATTTCAATAGTTGGGCCAACTGAAGTGGGAAGGGGCTCGTATTTCTATGCATCGATGGGTATAATATTACATCTGGGTGTTTGAATATATTCCGTTTTTACCTTGCTTAACTCAGAATATCCAGAATTTTCAGTGCCCACCTTCTTTGAAGGGTATAATCCCGAAGCTTGGTTTCTTTTGCCGTCAAGAGGTTTCTCACAGATGCACGTGTAGCAATCGCATTCAAGAGGATGTTGAGATGCTTGACGAGACTGGGAAGGTATGGCATCAGCTTTACCGCCTTTGGATCTTGGAATATTGTCATCAAGACAAGGTTCATACCTGGCAAAAGCGAGAAAATACGTCCAAAGGATGCATGTTCAGTATGTTCTAAACCATGATGCGATTTAAGCATGTTATTGAATAAATCAATAGTAAATACAATTGAATGAAAAGGACCATTATCGATCCCTTCAGGGATGTTAGTTTCAAGACGTGTGATGGATATTTGAAATAAAATGAGTAAAATACTTTATCATCTCATGAGATGTGATTTGAAAATACTAACTTGCACACGGTACAATCACAACCAGCCGGATGACTTACTGGTATACCGGATCCAGTTCCTGTAACAAATAAAAAATTCGGATGAGTAGTGAATCAAATGAAGACGCAAGTGAATAAAGTTGTCATGCAACATTCTTTCATTCTATGATTACTTTGTTGCAAAAACAAGATAATATTAAACAAATTAAATTAAATAGGTATTTAAGATTTCAATAAAGTAAAAAGTTGCAAAAAAATTTCAATGTCAACTTTCTCCATACAATGATTTTGTTACATGACACCTTTGTCCACTTGTGCCTTCAAGTACACCTATAAACCGTAATTCTACGGTTCTAGCTAGACTATTGATTCCCAAAGTGGTCTATATCGACCCCTAGGGGTTTATGACAACCTGCAAGGGGTCTACGTCAGCGAAAAAAAATTTGGGGGTCCATGAAATGAATATGGGGGTCCACGGTAGTGGATCTCAACACATACACTGATAGTACCTATTTACTTACATCATACTATCTTATAATATCAAAACATATACATTATTTATAAAAGTACCTATGAAGTGAAAAAATTATTATATATGTTCATAAAATTGTGTAAGTTGTAGGATGTTGGTATTCGCTTTGTGGTCGCAATACATTTTGAACTTGTAAAAACCTGAAAGTCGCAGTCTCACAGCTTCGCTACCTTGCACTGACTTGTTCAATTCGTCACTCTATAAATACGAATGTGGGACAAATACGTTTATTCGTTTCCTGAATCTTGAAAAGGAAAGTGCTAAGAAAATATTTTAAAAAATATAAACTGATATTATATCACACAAATTATAGTGAGTCAGTGTTATTTTGTTTGAGAGTGCTGGAGAAAAGTAAGTACGTTATTTTTTATTAAATTTTAGTTTTGTACTCGTCGTTAGCAAAGATAGATAAATTACGCCAATCATGATTTTAGTTATTAGTAGTTAAATATTCAATCATGCAAAATTACACGAGTACTCCTCAATAGTTTCTTTTGAAAGTTTTAGCAATCGGTAATATAATTACAGTGCAATCTCCGTAATTCGAGCTAATTGTTGCAAGAAGCTGTTCGAATTATGGAATGTTTTCAGAAAAATCAAAAAATATTTTTAATATACAGCTGCTGGATTTTCTGTCTTATTCAAATAATTTAATTTTGCCCACAGATGACTGATGCCTTGTCCGAATCTAAAAAGAAATGTAGACAGTACAGTGTTGATTATTTGATTATTTGCCTTTTATGCAACAAAGTTTTGGGCAATGACGCTATGAAACCATCTAAACTGCAAGATTATCTGAGAAGATGCCACCCTGATAAAACAGAGAAAGATTTGAAATACTTTCAAACACTCAAAGATAAATTTCAGAAGAGACCTACACTGGACAGAATGTTCGCTTCGACGTCACAAAGAAATGATGATGGTTTGCGGGCGTCTTACAATATCTCGTTACTTATAGCAAAATTCGGAAAACCGCATACTATCGGAGAGAAGTTAATTTTGACAGCCGTTGAAGAGGTTTTAAAAACTGTTTTACACAAACCTGCATCTTATATCATTAAAAGAATTCCCTTAAGCAATAATACTGTTGAAAGACGTATTGATGAAATGAGTTCTGATATTGAAAGCTTCTTATGTAATTATTTGCAAACGACCCATTTCTCTATACAACTGGACGAGTCAACTTTACCTGATAATGCAGCATTATTATTGGCAAATGTTCGTTTTATTATGAATCAAGAAATCTACGAAGAACTTTTCTTCGCAAGAACTTTGATAACAGACACTAAAGATGAATCAATATTTCATGTTTTGAAGGATTACTTAATTGAAAAAGCAATTCCTTTATCAAATATAATATCAGTAGCTACAGATGGAGCACCTGCCATGGTTGGACGTTATCGTGGATTTATAAGCTATTTAAAACAAAATGTGTCAGGGGTGTTAGCAATACATTGCGTCATCCATCGACAACATTTAGTTGCTAAAAATTTGAGTGTTAGATTGCATGAATCACTTCATTTAGTCATTGATGCAGTAAACCGAATCCGAAGCAACGCGTTGAATACGCGGTTATTTGCGCAGTTGTGTGAAGAAAATGACGAACACTTTCATCAATTACTCCTTCACAGCAACAGTCCCATAGAACGATTACATTCAACTCTCTTAGAACTCCTAAGAATTCTAAAAATCAAATTTCCAAAATTATGTCCAAAAGAACTAATGCAAAATGCAATTCTGGCATATAACACGTCAATTCACAGTGTTACAAAACAACGACCATTCGACCTCATAAATGGCCGCTTTGATGTCCTGGATCCATTTAAACTATCAGATGAGATCATTGTCAGCCAATTTATTGAGGATAGACGTGAAAGACTAAAATTTATTTACACCAAGTAACAAACGCTCATAAAAAGAATATTATAGAAAAGCGTAATGAAACTAGAGAGGATCCATCCAAATTTCCCCAAGGTTCAAAAGCACATGTCAAAGATAAAACCGCTCCTTGGAGTAAATTAAAACCACGATTCACAAAAACTGAAGTTAAGAAAGATTTAGGTACCAAAGTATGGACTACAAATAAACGTAAAGGTTTAGTACACAAATCTCAAATTCAAAAACCTAAAGCTTATTCTTCTTTTCCGCAGGATCATGAATCTGGAAATCAAGAAGATTCCGATAATCATTCTATCCCTTCTACTAGTCACGACAATCAAAGCCAATAATGACGCAATTGTCACACCCTTAAAAGCTCCGCTTTTCCCTTATTCGCTAGGTAACGCTATTATTATAGAATCGTATCATACTTTTATTCACTTTGTAGAAACTACTTCATTAACAAGACAGATTACGAATATCCAAAATTACCACGAAAGACTCCAAAATACTCTCAAGCCTTTAAATGCTGATCATTCAGACTTGCACTTTGGATTATCAAATCTCCTTAAGCATACAGAATTTCTGATACAAGAAGCTACGAAAAAATTAGATAGCATTGTTCCACGTATTCGTCAGAAACGAGGATTGATTAATCTCGTAGGAAAAACTTCAAAGTTTTTTTTTATTACAATGGACTCAGCTGACGAAATCAAAATTAATAATGCACTTCATGAATTACAAAAGAAGGCAAATTCTGTGCATAGTCAACTGAAACTTCAGACCTCACTCACTAAAGAATTGCTAGATATATATTATTATAATATTAAGTTCTAATCAGGTACAAATCAAAGCGAAATTGTATCATCTGCAAAATGCGATGAATGCAACTACTGTAGGAAGCTTGACTGCTTATCTTCACGCTGAAAATATTTTGCAGCAACTTAATCCAAATTGTCAAAATTTGATTACATTTTTAGATAATTTGGAGGACGCTATTATGTTTTCAAAATTGAACACTTTACATAGTTCTATCATATCAGTTACAGACATAAAGTATTTAGTAAAATTATATGGTAAAAAGAAAATACCAGACTTTCAAAATTTACAATCATACTATTTAGTAGCTGATCCACAAATTACATTTACTGATAATAAAATCTTGTTTTCTATAAGATTTCCTATATTATCTGATGAAAAATTCCAATTTTTCCGTCTATACCCAGTTCCTATTAGAAATTCAACCATTATTCTAACCCATTCCTTTTTGGCTCTTGGAACAAGTCATCAGCAATTTGAAGAAGAAGAAGAATGTCCAGAAATTGAAAACGTCTACTTCTGCAAGAATCGACAAGAACCCATCCAAGGTTGTCTAAACGAGTTACTGAAGAAAGCAGAATTTTCAAAATGCCAATTCACAAAGTTACAAGTATCCAGTCCTATTGTTGAAGCGATATCAACAAAACACATTTGGTCATTCCCGCTGAACAACCAATCACAGCAGTCAAGTTGTGTGGTACTCAACAACCACTTATTTTAGAAGCACCAAGTTTAGTCGAAATACCCGAAAATTGTGGAATACAAATCAACTCATCCAAGTTTTGGAACAAGAAAGATCAGGTCAAAGGAAATAAAATTTTGGAATGCATGATTGAACTTTGTGTCCAAGAAAGCTTTGATCCTCAAGACTATTGACCTCGGCAAGATCAAAGAGATGCAAGAAAAAGCAAATTTTCTTCAAATGCAAGAAGAAGCCGCTTTTAATCCCCTAATCTGGTTTTCTTGCAGCTCAGTTTTTACTATTTTTCTGCTTGTTGCAGTAGCAGTAACCTTTTGGTATATTTTGAGAAAACAAATCCAGAAAAAAAACGATATATCCCAAAACACGAAAGATGAAGAAAATCCCGAATCCAGTGAAGAAAGGCCTAAAAACAGAAGACGTTCCTATTCAGTTTTCAGACTAGGTGGGGAGCAGTTATGATGCAGACAAGGATGCACGTGGAAGAAGAAAATGCTGAGGAAAGCATCCGAGCCGGAGATGATAAATAGAGGTTCTCCATGCTTTTCCAAAGATTCCTCGTTTGTTCATTTTATGTATTTTAAAATATTAAAATAAGTTAGTTTTGTAAAGTAAAATAAAAATTTTTTAAAACCCGAACGGCCATTTCGGCAAAATATCTTATATATATATATGTATATATATACAGGGTGACTTCGAAGTTGAGTCATTTATTTAACAGTGATCTGATCAAAAGAAATGTTTTTTCCTATACCATTTTTCTGGTAAAATTAAAGTAACAAAGTTATAGCCCTTTGGAAGTTTGAGTACCGCCCTGTCTCAATAATAATATTATGTGCTCGTGTTTGGAAACCACGGATATAATCCGCCTTATCGGTTCATCGCATCGGAAACAAAAAAGCGAAAGAATTTGGAACGATGTTTTTACAATTATTTTATCCAGTTGAATACAATCAGTGTCAATCGGTAACGCGTGAGTGAATAGTGGTGTCTGTTGCGTGGCTCAAACGAAATAAAAAATGGGACATGTTTATGCGGATCGGTTTCCCAATCGAGTGCAACCAACCCCTCGTGCCTTTGTTAATGTAGTACAACGGGCTCGTGAATCAGTTGACTTAAGACCTCACAGGGGACGGCATGCCGGTGCTCCAGGACCTCACGATCAAATACAGGTCCGCACTGAAATACTTGTCGGGAGGATACTTTTTAAAACAAGGTAAAATTTTTTTTTTAATTTTTTTTTATTTTTACACACATTTTGGTTTATCTTCCTTCTACAATCATTATCTGAAAATTAATGACAACTTCAAAGTCAAGTGTATATATATATACACATGCCTGCGAGGAATTTAATTTTGTATGTAACAAATCGTATTTTCTCCAAAATGTAGGCCGCATGAATGTCCCACCTCAAATGTTGGTCGAAAAGAATTAAATATTTGGTAAGATATAAGGTTAGTCATTGAACGTAAAAAAATTACCGTTTATATTGTATAATTCTGAACTTTCGAATAAATTCGTTTAGCGAATCATCGCAAACGCTTCAGAGTAAACAATTTTGAAAAGGGCATACCTTTTGTTCCTCCATTGATTTTTCCTCTTTTCTTCTTGGAAGTACAGCACGTGCAATCTCCAGAATCCTTTTTGTCGGGACCGCTACCGCCACCTTGTTTACTGGCATCAGCACACGGGGTGCACTGGCAAGCAGCGCAGTCGCAACCCTAATCATATAACGTTAAATGGATTATTAGGACTAGAATAGGGCTGCACTCATTGAATATCTAAAAACATCACGTTAGTATCTCTTTTGGCTAAACAACATGGCGGCGGGGAGGAGGCAAGGATGTCACATTTGTATCATACAGGCCCAGCGTTAGTTTCACACCCTGTAAAGATAAGTAGCTTTTCACCAATATGCTACTTGACTCATAACTAATTTCATAGAATAAATTAGTACTTATAGTATTTGGCTTATGAAAACGAAACACGATTTAAATTTTCAAAAGCCCAAGATATATACCAATATATATGTCCAATGTTACAAAGTATTTTTTATTCTTTTATGTGAAACGGTGAAAACATTATCGGTCATGATATGACGTCATACAAATTATAAACAAAAAAATGTCACGGGTGTCTCCACTCATGGGCTAACGCATTATAGAGGGTGTCCAATAAGTACACGACAAACTTAAGAAGGAGCTAGGCTGTGCACTGATCTCCCAAATAACAAAAACTTACCTATATTAAAGTGTCACCGTTTTTGAGATATTGAATTTTTTCTTCAATTTAAAAAAACGAACCCTTTCATCTGTGGTCTTTAGCTGCATGTACAAATAAGGTTATACTTTGTTTATTTTTTCTATAAAGTACTTCTAGATGGTTGCTTTATCATATACAAATGCAATGTAGTTAACAGGTATTAAAGAACCATGATAAAATAAGGACTGTTTTGGAATGTATAACCTTCTGATATTGTTTCCTCAACTTTGATCCTCCGTGGTGAAACAAAAATGTACTGAGCTAATACTGCATTTATTGAAAAAAAAATGCTCATTGCATACAGATTTCAGAACGGCGCCACCCGAACTATTTGGAATAGAAAAATAAGTGATATTTGTAAGTGTCACACACTACAATGTAATTATTGGATTTAAATTTAAGTTACCGACCAATGACATGCTAAATGGCACAACACCACAATATAATGCAGTTATAGCCCCGTACATTTTTGTTTCACCACAATGGTCAAAGTTGAGGAAAAAATATCAGAAGGTAATAAATCGCAAAATGTCCTTATTTGATCATGGTTTCTCAATATTTTTTAACTACATTGCATTTGTACTCGTATATGATAGATGGGCTCCCAGATGAGGCGGCCCTTCCCAGGTACATTGACTGCTACCTCTCTTGAGGGGCAGCCATCTTTGTCTGCGAGGACGAATCCTCTAGTGTATGGTTGGAGGCCCACGTGGAGATCTGCGGCCGTGGGAAGGCGCAAGGCTCATTACGATGAGCTTTGGAGACCTTCCCATATACCACCGCGTGATGGCCTAGTTCCCGGGTCCCAACCTGAAAAACGAGGTCATCATGAGAAGACTCAGGAGGCACAATCCTGGGACTTTTCCCAGCGCGTGGAGGCTACTTGAGAGGAAGGAGGAACACAAAGGTGTCCGACTTGTCCTCGCAGTTGATTCCATAAGCTGGAAGGTAATCGAAGGTAACAGCAACAGGCTGTTGCGGTGGAAGTTCGGAGGTGTTTACACTCCTGAGCAAGAAGAAAAATATTGGGGCGACACCTGATGGAACTGGCCTGGCTCCAAACCGGGAGTCGGACCAGCCCAGACCGACGGGGGCTGTGGCGGTAGACCAGGCTCCTTCACAGGGGATGGGTCGGCCGGGGCAGCTCTCGCTGGAACCACCGGAGGTTATGGACGTGGAGGCGGCGGGTCCCAGCGGGATATCCGCAGAAAACATCGCGGCGGGCCCTGCGATGGATTGATCCCCAGAGGGCAATGATAGCGACTCGGACGAGGACGGAATCCTGAACCGAGTCCGAGAACTCCTCCGTGGAAGCGGAGATGAAGGCGGCTGCTACAGTTAAGACTGCGGCGGCGACGGCGGTACGCCCGAATAGGGGACACTTACCGTCATTCGGGAAGGTGTAGGAGGGGCCTCTCAACACCCATGGTAAGTCTTAATTTCATTCAAATTAACTTACAACACTGCATAGCGGTTTCGAGGGCACTTACTCAGGAGATCACTCGAGGCCGACGTGAGGTGGCTCTCATTCAGGAACCCCGCCTGAGAAACGGTTCAGTAAACGGGCTTAGTATACCGGGCTATACGCTTTTTAGCGATACTCCGGACACTAAGCCCAGAGCTTGCGTAATGACTTCGGTTAACACATGGCAACTTAAAGAATTTACCTTTAGAGACTTAGTTGCAGTCAGAATTAGATATAAGAAGGAAGGCAGTGACAGGGACTTGGTCCTATGTTCGGCTTACCTTCCTTACGATTCAAGAGAGCCTCCTCCGTCCAAGGAAATGGGGGACCTTGTCGCATTCTGTAGGGATTCTGGACTCGACCTCGTGATTGGATGCGACAGCAATGCCCATCACGTTATGTGGGGCAGCTCGAAAACCAACAGACGGGCGAAGACCTCATGGAGTTCCTAGGGGCATCGAACCTTGAGGTTCTGAATGTCGATAACATGCCCACTTTCAGCAATAGTGTAAGAGAAGAGGTTATCGACGCACGCTTAACTTAGCTCAGGATATCAGGGACTGGAAAGTGTCTCTAACACCTTCTCTATCGGATCACAGGTATATACTGCTTAAGGCTGATGGAGAGATTCCGGATAAATATGCTCGGAATCCTAGGCATACTAGATGGGGGTCCTTTAGGGGAGACATTGACAGTAAGCTTGGAGCGGTCCCATACAGACTTTGTAGGGGCTCTGACATAGAAGTAGCTGTCGAGTCTCTGAGCAGGGACTTGACGGCTTCATATGAAGAGAACTGCCCGTTACGCAAAGTTCAAGGTAAGGGCAAGGCAACCTTCTGGACCAAAGAATTAGAGTATAGAAAATGAGCGGTGCACAGACTTCTTAGCAAGTTAAGCACAGGAGAAGTTCTCCTCTATGGGAAGACTACAAAAAGGCATTGCAGGAGTACAAAAAGGAGATTAGAAAGGCCTTCAGAAAATCCTGGAGGTACTTCTGTCAGTCCATAAACGACATTCTTGCTACTGCGAGAATACACCGGGTCCTATGCAAAGACATTAAAGCAAGATTGGGATCTGTGCATGATCCCTCGGGGGGGAATACTACTTCTGAGGAAGGTACTCTGAGGCTGAGGCTCTGAGACTCAGGGGAGGACTGGCGCACGGCTAGGGAGATTGTCACCTTCGAAAGGACGGTATGGGCAGTAGATTCGTTTGCTCCATAGAAAAGTCCAGGTCTGGACGGCGTATTTCCGGCCACGTTACAGCAGGGACGGAGTTCGATTGTTCCTCACCTGTTGAATGTGTTTCGAGCATGTGTGGCCACGGGCTTCACACCTAGAAGCTGGCGGCAGGCTAAAGTGGTATTTATTTCTAAACCGGGCAGAGCTAGATATACTGACCCGAAGGATTTTTGTCCGATTACTCTTTCATCTTTTGTGCTTAAGACACTGGAAAGGATAGTTGATAGATACTTAAGGGATGGCCCGCTGGAAAGGTGTGTCATTCATGCAAATCAGTTTGCATACCAAGCTAGAAAATCGACTGATCTGGCCTAGTCGGCAGGCTGGAGAAGACTCTAGATCAGCGAGAAGTGGCACTCGTGGCCTTTTTGGACATTGAAGGTGCATTTAATTGCACCACAATCGACTCTATCAGACATGCCTTGGTTAGACACGGGGTTAGATCAATCCTAGTAGATTGGGCCCTATCTACTCTGGAGGGTCGGGTAGCAACAGCTATGCTGAATGACGTAAGCTGCAGCGTGAGCGTAGCTAGAGGCTGCCCGCAGGGCGGAGTTGTGTCACCCCTACTGTGGTGTATCGTGGTGAACGAACTCCTCGTGAGGCTCAGCAGTATGGGTTTCTACGTGCAAGCTTATGCTGATGACGTAAGCATAGTAGTTAGTTGGCGTTTTTGTAGAACAGTCTCAGAGATTATGCAGGGCGCTCTGCGCTCTGTGGAATCTGTGGAATCGTGGTGTAGGGAAGTCGATCTTTCTGTTAATGCTGAAAAGACCGAGCTGATCCTATTTACTAGGAGAAGAAGGCTTGACGGGCTGGTCATGCCGACCTTCTTTGGGACTAGATTGATATTGTCCCAGTCAGTGAAATATCTGGGAATTATCCTAGATTGAAAACTGAACTGGAGAGAGCATGTTGAATACAAGGTTAGCAAGGCTCGCAATTCGATGTGGGCCTGTAAGACGAGTTGTCGGTGTAAGGTGGGGGGCTTAAACCCAAAGTGGTATACTGGCTCTACACGAAGATAGTACGTCCATATCTCTTGTACGGCTCCCTGGTCTGGTGGCCTTGCATTAGAACTGAGAAAACTAAGGCCAAACTCAATAAAATTCAGCGTTTGGCCTGTATTAGTATTACAAGCGCAGTGCGAACAACGCCATTGAGTGCAATGGAAGCTATGTTGGATCTTCCACCGTTGGATCTGGTCATCCGCGGTGAAGCGAGTGTAGTCGCTCATCGACTGTGGAGTCAGAGCAGCTGGGCTTTCTTGAATCCTGTCAAGGGACATACTGAAATCTTAGTCGAATTGCAAAGGGAGGACCCTGTCCTTCTAAGCAGGGGTGATCGTATTACCCCTAAATATCGCTTCAACCGCAAGTTTATTGTGGAGTATCCAACGAAGGAGGAGTGGGACGCCGGTAGCCGGGGACTCTCCGGAGTGAGCGGGCAGGTCTGGTACACGGACGGCTCGGTCACCGAAGAGGGCTCAGGTGCTGGGGTTTCTGGGCCTAGCTCTAGGCTATCTCTGCCTCTCGGTGGATGCACCACTATTTTCCAGGCGGAAATCTTTGCGATTCTGGCTTGTGTATCTCACATTCTGGAGCAGGGTGGGCCTAGGAGAAGAATAACAATCTTATCCGACAGCCAGGCTGCAATGAAAGCACAAGTGCCTGTAAGATTACTCTTCTATTGCAATGCATGGAGGCTCTGGATTGCTCGCAGCGAGGCATCCGGTATCGTTAATGTGGGTACCTGGGCACGCTGGGATAAGAGGCAATGAGACGGCGGACACTCTGGCGAAGACAGGATCAGCCAGCAAGCTCGTTGGTCCTGAGCCAGCTCTAGGAGTATCCGCGTATAACGCTAGGAGGAAAAGGGAGACGTGGGTTGCAAGGCAATACTCTCAGAAATGGCGAAGTATCTCCAGACATCTCCGCCAGGCACGGGAACTCATTGAAGGGCCCAGTGCTAAGGATGGACGCTTCTGCCTATCTCTGGATAGAGCCAACCTAAGGTTACTGGTGGGACTGTTGTCTGGCCAAAACACGTTAAGGCGTCACCTACACGTGATGGGGGTGGCTGAGGATCCCTTGTGTGAACGCTGCGGGGTAGAGGAAGAGACCTCGGCGTACGTTTTGTGTCGCTGTGAAGCTCTGAGCTACTATAGGCAGACTATACTGGGGCCCATTACTTTGGACCCTCAGGACGTCAAGGAGCTTGGACTCAAGGCGATTCTCAACTTCGCTAAAAGGGCGAGGCTTGTGATCTAAGGATTGTAGAGGTGCATAAGGGCCCGCTTAAGCGGCCTATGCACTGGCTCCTTATGGTGGCCGGAATGCCTCTAATTTCAAGATTCATTCATTCATTCGTATATGATAAAGCAACTATCTAGAAGTATTTTATAGAAAAATGAACAAAGTATAACCTTATTTGTTCATGCAGCTAAAGACCACAGATGAAAAGGTTCGTTTTTTAGAATTTAAGAACAAATTCAATATCTCAAAAACGGTGACACTTTTATGTACGAGTAGGTAAGTTTTTGTTATTTGGGAGGTCAGTCCAAAGCCTACCTTCTCCTTAAGTTTGTCGTGGTACTTATTGGATGCCCTTTATATTTCTAAAAAAGTCCTCATTAATGTAAAAAGTTATCGTTTTCTCGTTTTATGAAAAAAAAATATGCACGTTGGACTCGTGAAAGTAGCTTATTGCCTTCAACCCATATTTCTGGTCTGCTCAGCTGAAAAACATTAGGGCTTTTATGAAAGTACAGTGCATCTGATATAATGATAGACGTAGAAAAAAAAGTATGGGAGACCGGGGCTGGTTGTCACATGGGTTGGTTGTCACAATTGTTAAATCTCAGCAGCTCCGCAAGATGTAGTTGCCTGGCGCGCTACACATGTATTCAGTACGAAAGTTGTTGTGTTTTCAAGACTATATTTGATAATAAAGAACTGTTGAATCTATTTTGCTCTTCAATAATTCGAATACGACTACCGTAACTATTGACTTTGAATTTGTTGATTTAGTGACGCTATCTAACCTTAAAAATTAATTATCTAGTGGGACAGGTTGTGTCAAATTAGCGGGGGCCTCTTGTCACATGTGACAACCAGCCCCCACACGATTAGCTTTGCACATCATTCTACGTAGGTATATGTATACAATGTATTTTTTTAATATTTTCAGGTTACATAAGCATGGTTCGAAATTTCAAAACGAAGACTGAGAAGGGCAAAGCGCCGGCCGACGTACTTTTAAGAGCTGCTAGGTTAGTGAGATTAGGATCCTCAATAAGAAACGCGGCAGCTGGCTTCAATGTAAATTACTGTACTTTAGCAAGATACTGTAAAAAAATTCCAGAGTCTCAATTACTTGATGATCGAGTAGTTGCGCCGTCAATTTCAGTTGGCTACATCAAAAATCATTTATTATTTGAGCCTGAACATGAAAATCATTTAGTGGAATATGTACTCAAAGCATCTGATATTTATTTTGGATTATCACCCAAGGTAGAACGTGGACTGGCATATGAATTTGCTAATGCTATTTCCTTGAAAATGCCGGAAAATTGGAAGCTCCATAAAATAGCTGGTCCTGACTAGTTTAGTGCGTTTCTGAAACGTCGTCCTGTACTGTCTATTAGCAAAACGGAATCAACTAGTTTAGCAAGAGCCAGTAGTTTCAATAAAACGGACGTCAACGCATTTTTTGATAATTTAGCTTTATTTATTTAAAAATATAAATTTGAGCCTCACGAAATCTGGAACATGACGAACCTGGGATTACAACTGTCCAAAGACCCGACCGCGTTGTTGCCAGAACAGGATTCAAACAGGTTGGTTCGATAGTTTCATCAGAAAGAGGAAAGTGCAGCATCAGCTATTGGAAATTCCATACCTCCTTTTTTCATTTTTCCACGGGTACATTTCAAACCACTTTTTTTAAATTCGGCTCCTCCTGGCTCACAAGGTTCAGCAAACCCATCAGATTGGATGAAAGAGTCACATTTCTTGGAGTTTCTTAGATTTTTTCACCTTCATGTAAGAAGTACTGTGGAAAGACCGTGCCTGCTTTTACTAGATAACCATGGATCACATCTGAGTATAGAAGGACTGAATTTTGCCAAGGCAAATGGCATTGTCATGATCTCTTTTTACCCTCACTGTTCTCACTTCAACCTCTTGACCGCGCCGTTTTCAGCCCTTTTAAGAAATATGTAAATACTTCCTGCGATGGGTTTTAAATAATCCCGGTAAGACCATGACTATATACGACATACCTTCAGTGGTCTCTATTGCATACCCTCTCGCATTTAGTCCCAAAAATATACAGTCTGGATTTCGGGTGTGTTTCCGTACAACAGAGATATTTTCACGGATGATGACTTTCTTGCGAGCTATTTTCCAACAGCGCGTCAAATGAAGACAGGGTAAAATGCTCGTCGTGTAATGGTTGGTCTCATGATACGTGCACTGATGGACGCGAACTTTACATATGGTAACTAAATACCAAATCTTTATGTCTGATGTCTTATTTGTAATAATAAATATGTTTAAAAGTATGATATAAATTATTAATGATCTAAAATACACGTGACAACCAACCCCAAGCAATGTGACATCCAGCCCCAGCAAGGGGCAAGTTGCCACACTTGTTTCTGTATTTTGAAACATTTTAATTTAATATTGTGAATTATTTTACAGCCTTATCGATTTTACATAGTGTTTCCAAAGGATAAACCATATATGTTATGTACCAAATATGTGCATATAACGCTTCAGATCGAATAAAAAAAACAATTACTGAAATTGTGACATCTAGCCCCGGTCTCCCCTAATACACTTACATGATCTTCCTTTTCAGAAGTCGTTCAATACTAAGCTCATATGTCATAGCCTCTGAATAATTTTATCGAATATTACTTGAATACTATTTCTTCTCACACATCTGCAATAGAATTGAGCGATGATGGTGCCGTAGGTTACGTCCAAATTAAGCCAGACGATAAAATCTGCACAGTAGAATGAAAAGTACGCCCCGAACTTAAGGTATACTCCAACCAATGCATAGAGTTGCAAATATTTATTTCGCTGGGCACTCTAATTCACAGCATTGTTTTGGTTTTTATTACCATAACGATAATTACAATATTTTTCATGTAGACTAGTAGAAGTCATGTTAATATGTTTACAAGTTTAAGAGGTTATGCTGCTGTTAGCTTCTGTTTAGAAATGATATCACGTCAAAGCACAATACTATATGGGCGAAACATGGCGGAGCAAAGTTTTCGCCTGTCTAAGAAAAATATATTTTTAAATTAAAGTTAGACGGTCTTCCAGATTTCAAAAAATATGGTATCAAGTCTTAAGGTCAAATAGAACAGATATTAACTGTTTGTGACTTATACTGACTTATACAGAGTGGGCCATAAAGCTGTTGGCAATTTCAATATTCAATTAAAAAATAACTACGTAATATAAATGAAAAATAAATGTATTTTTAAAAAGTAGAAAGATAGCAATTTTTAAAACTTAAAAATAAAGTTGTTCAAATGACTTCCTTCGGCTGCTTGGCACTCTTAAAACCTAAGCTGCAGATTTTAAAACATTCGATGAAAAGTTGCTCTTGGTATTTTGTTACTTTCCTGAACAATATTCCTTTTCAGCTGCTCTAAATTAGTTGGATTATTCTCGTAGACTAACGATTTGAGGTAGCCCCATCGGAAATAATCCCATGGAGAAAGATCGGGGCTATGTGATGGCCATTCAATACCCTTCTTTTCTAAATGAGTTTTCCGGGAAAGACATTTTTCAGCAGCTCTACAGATACCCTAGCTGTATGACATGCGGCCCCATCTTGTTGAAACCACATTCTAGAGGTATTGCCTTGGAGTTCTTGAAAAAATTGGCACCAAAAAGTCTGTTATCATATTGCAATAATTGTTAGCTTTAACTGTTAGCGGTTGCCCTCTTCCGTCCTCAAAAAAGTATGGTCCAATAATACCGTGATTCCAGCCCACACGAAGAGCTTAGGGCTGTGAAGTGGGCGTTCATGCAAGCGTCGGGGATTGGTTTCGTATCAGAACCGACAATTTTGTTTGTTAACATGGCCATAGAGGTGAAAATTGGCCTCATCAAGTTGCTAAAACTGTTGAATCGGTCGTGCATCAAATTGACAAAGTTAAGTCGGTTATTGGCATCATCTGGTTTTAATTCTTGGACTAGTTGAATCTTATAAGCCTTGAAATGCAAATGACGCTTCAAAGTTCACCGCAAGCTCGTTCTTTTGATGCCCAAAGCCTGACGTGTTGACTGTTGTGGATTTCGCTGAAACATGAACCCGCTCTACATTGCTCTCAAATCGCTTAAACCTTGATCATGTCGAAACAAACGTCGTGCAGTAATAACCGATTAAGCATCCCACAAACCGGCGCGAAATAATCGCGGCGAAGTATTCGCAACGAAATTCAGAGCGAAATTCGCAATCTGTTTCGCCTGTTTATTCATACCAAAGCGTCCTATTCGCTCCGCGAACGTGAAGGTTTCGACAGGTTGCGTACATTTTATTTTTGCCTTTTGCACTTCTATTTCTTGCTTTAGAAGAGGAACAAAATGCATGGTAAGTTATGTTTATTTAACGCCATTTGATAGTTATGTATGTATTAAGTTTAACGAAGTACATAAAACAAATATTTTCAATTTTGTTTAGGAAACGAAGGAAGTGGGTACATGATATTAACTTGGAACGAAATAAATTTGGGGAATACCATACCTTGATGCCACAACTTCGGCTGGATGAACAGCGCGTATATTTTAGAATGACTCCAGAGTGTTTCGATGAAATATTGAACTTGGTGAAAGATGAAATACGAAAATCTGACACAAATTATCGTGAAGCTATTTCGCCAGAAGAACGACTTGCTATTACACTCAGGTAAAAAAATTATATGTATTAAAATTAGTAGGCTTATCGAATACGAAAACTTCAGGGATCGTGAAATAAATATTTTATTGTAATAATTGGACTACATGTTGCCACTAGGATTAAATGTTGCTAAATAATTCGAGGCAGAATTTGCCTCCTCTGTTGGGTATATTATTGGAGTAAACCCAGTGCCGCTTGGGAAGGACGACATACTACTATCATGCATACTTGCAGAATTCTGGGTAGACGCTGAAGACATTTCTTCAATATGTTCAAATTCTTCGTGCGCTATTAATTCGGCTATTTTTAGTTTTATTCGGGCTTGACGCTTTAAGGGAAGTGTTTTCACAGTCTGTGCATGTGCCAAGAAAAGTGAATCAATGGCCTCGTTCTCTTTTTTAGGTTTTTTACCTTCAAAATAATTAATGAGCTGTTGTACAGACGAAGATGGTGGTTCATAGCGTTTTCTGCTCGCTTTATATTTTGGTGCAGTCTGCGGAAAGGTGTGCCCTGGAGTAGTCACTGCTGTAGTGTTCAATGAAGAAGGTGGTGCTGTCTGTGTTGCCGAGGCGTTCTGTGCATCTTCTGCATCTACATCAGCATTTTCATCTTCTCCATGGCCACTGTCTTCCCAATTTTCGGTTTCTACATTTCCAGCCCTTTCCTGATATATATTTGAGTTAAATTCGGCAGTCTCATAATGTATGACGTCAATATCTTTCACATTAGACGACGTTTTGGCAAATGCCAAAAAAGGACGGAAAAATTCCATGTAGTCAGCCCACTGCCATTTTTTTATGTTGCCCACTGCTTGGCCGGTCTTTGGTTTGGTATATTTTATATATTTTGCAAATGTGTCTCTGATATTCTTCCACCTTTTTTTTTACTTCATCACCTAAAAACGATATTTTTTATAGATTCCTTGCCACTGGTGACACCTTCTATACCATTGGGCATAGCTTTCGAGTTGGCTTTACAACAGTGAGTGCAATCGTAACCGAAGTCTGTGAAGCGATATGCAGACATATGGAGCATATATATTCACCAGAACCAACAGAGAATATATGGAAAAAATGTGCTGAAGAATTTGAAAATAGATGGGGATTTCCCAATTGCATTGGCAGCGTGGACGGTAAACATGTAACAATCAAGAGACCTAACAACAGTGGCTCCAATTACTGGTGCTATTTACATAAATATTCAATAGTACTTATGGCCATTGTTGGCCCGGACTATAAATTTATATGTGTTGATATTGGTGGTTTCGGAAAAAATAGTGATGGGGGTATTTTCGAAACCTCAAACATGGGAAAACGATTTGAACAAAATTTAATGAGTGTCCCTGCACCTAGATTTCTTCCTGGGTAAAATGAAATCTGCTCGTACGTCTTAATTGGTGATGAAGCATTTGCTTTAAAACCATACCTTATGAGACCAATTCCTTATAAGCAGACTTTAACAGACGTCAGAAAAGAGAAATACAATGTAAGACTTTGTCGAGCTAGAAGGGTCGTGGAAAATGCGTTTGGTATTTTGTCTCAAAAATGGCGAATATTTTACAGGCCATTAGAAACTAAAGTAGATACTACTATTCTAATTGTACGTACGGCATGTGTTTTACACAATTTTTTACGAAGTAAAAGTGGCGATGACAAATATTTTCAATTCTTAGATCCCCCAGAACCCGTGCTTGGAGCTTTTACTGATATAGCAAATGATCCTCGGCGGGCAGCAAGGCTAGCATTTTCTACTCGTCACAAATTCGTAAATTATTTTAATTCTGATATGCCTATGCCCAATATATAGAATGTTCGTTTTCACATTTGTGTAGACTGTAAATTATTTAACAAGTTAATAAAAAATAGGTACATACCATTTGTATTTAATTCTTTTCCTATTTCCATCCAAATCTTGTCTTTCTGTCTCACATTCCTGTATTCATAGTTCGACAAATCATACAAACAAGGATACTTTTTCACTATTTCTATCAATAATTCCGTTTTTGCCATTGCGAATTTTTGAAGAACGACGTCAAAAACGCGGTCAAAGGCGAACTGAAATACGCCGCGATAAAAACGCTGGAACAATCGCATTCGCTTCGCACAAGTCTGAGCCTGTCCGTAAACCGCCGCGTTTTAATCTGATCGCGAATTCATCGCCGCGAAATTTTCGCAGCCAGCCAAAGCGAATATTTCGCGCCGGTTTGTGGGATGCTTTATTGTTTTCATAATACGCTATGACACAAAATGCATGCTGGGATCCCGTGCACGGCTCCATGACGACTAAATTTCCAGGCAACGGCGCGGCTGACGGCTTATCCCCCCCAACCCGCGCCCCGCGTTTCCAAAAATTTAAGATTTAAATCGCCAACACTCTTATGACTCACCCTGTATAATGCTTTTATGTCTGATAATGTTTAAAATAGGAGATACCGTTTGGCAAAAAAATGAAATATGTATTGCATCAACTGGCAATAATTAATGATATAATGCAGAGTGTACGAAATATAGCGCCAACACATTTTTTTAGTAACATTAACTATTTAAGACCTACTTAAAAAAGTACCAACTAGCCTGAGTCTTAGTTTGGTCCCGCATCATGTGTTTAGAATATACTAATTTTTGAAACGTTATGCCTGTCGATTTCTTCGTATACACATCAGTTCGTCTACAGTGCATTATCGAGGCACAAGAAATTTCCTTGCAATAGCATACAAAATAACGACAAAAATAGTGCAAGAAAAACAATATTCCCAAGAAGTGCGCAGGCAGAAGCCTAAATGCCAGGGCACCTCGGCTGCTATCAGGAGTCCAAAGAAACCTGGACAGATTTGTGCTATAAAAGCTTCGTTCTGACTCCGTGACCAAACGCGTTATGCCATATTCCCCCGAGGTTATACACCTGTCAGTGATGCAGCCATATTACTCTTGGTCACGGAGTTAGGCCCGGATTCTTAAAGTATAAATACGTATACAACTTGACCGGATTTTTCTAGGTGTATTTTTAGCGGACTATTTTCACCGTTGTCTTGGATGTGCTGTTGCAAAATGGTCTCTTGTGCCCTGATGATGTAAGTGCTCCGCGGTGGATACCAAGAAATCGTCAGGCATACCGTTTCACAAGTTAGTATATTGTAAGCATTAGAAGCCGAATAGAACAGAGGCATTTTTCAGTTGCTGGATAGCTGATTATACAAAGTGTAAAACTTAAGTTTGGTTATGATGTGTCATCCATTTTATCCTCTCCTTGACGGTGCCGTTGAGTATATTAAGGAGTAAGGATTTCCCAACATTCAGCCCGCACTGATGAGATAAAAATTTCAAATTACATACAATCGCATCCGTCAACTTTCCACAGCATCAATTGGTTGAAATTTCAGAGAGCAATAATGTATACCGTCACTGCCATCCATCAGCGTGGATGGTCCCTAATTGTTTCTTGAACGGTCATATGGATGATTTCACAGTGCTTTTTTGGATTTGGTCCCTACAACGCATCTTAAGCAATTTTAGAAAGCTACATGAAGTTATTTCCAATTCCTAACAGTATTCTGATTCAAGTATTTTCTGGAACTTTGACTGTTATTTGATCTGTTTACAGCTGTTTTGGCAAGAATAGAATTGTAATGTAACATATTCCTGTTAAGGGGTGATAGATTAGGTCAAGAGCAACCGATTTTGTCCTATCATGTCTTATCCAAAAGTTAACCATTTTTGAGTTATTTGAATTTTAAGTTTTTTATTTTGTATTCCGATTTCAGACGGTTAAAATTGAAATACAAAAAACTGCATGCTTGATTTTGAGTTTTTTGTTATCGTCGCATAGCAGACATTCCAATAGTTCATAATAAGTAATAAAATGTTGAAAAGCTACAAACGTTTTAAAATTACGCTTTTTTAATGTATCATTTTCTTTTTTTTACTAACTTATTCGATAAAAAATGCAATTTTCTGTAAAAAATCTCCTAGTAATGAAATGTGCAAATAATGTAAATAATATCTCTATCTAACAAGCTTTCATTTGAGGTATTAAGCGTTCAATTATCTGAAGTACATGCAGAGAAACAACAATGACACCCACAGAGGCTGGATTTTTAAGGAACTTGTATTACCTGTTTGAACAAGTCGTTACTGTCCTCAAAGGACTCGCATGCCATGATTGTTTTATGCTGACTTAGTGGAGGAGTCAGAGAGAGAGAGCTGTTATTATTGATCATTGCCATAGCGAGCACGGGCAAACTTTTACAAATGAAGAATACGCAGACATGATGTTCTGTTATGGACTTTGTAACGGCGATTCTGCAGCTGCCCGCCGTGAATATCGGCAACGTTTCCCGAATCGCCGAACACCTAAAGACCCCGAGTCTATCCTCCTGAAGATGAAGAGGAAATCCTTCGAGTGTTTCAGGAAGACCCTACTACGTCTACGCGTATTGTGGCTGCTCAGTTGGGTACATCACAATACAAAGTATGGTTTACTGTGCATGTGATTGAAGAGGGCGATACTGCAAGACGATTAGATTTCTGCAGGTACATGTTACATGCAGATACAGAAGATCCAGACTATTTTAAGAAAATTCTGTGGACCGATGAATCGAAGTCAGATAATGCTCATTACTGGGCTGATAAAGAAGCTTTAAACCCCCGAAAAATAAGACCGACGGGGTCTCAGAGCCGGTTTCCAGTCAATGTGTGGATGGGCATCATTGATGGATATTTAATTGGACCTCATTTTCTGCCCGCCAATTTAAATGGAGAAGTGTATGAAGAGTTCTCGAAAAATCACTTGTTTCTAATAATGGAAGACGTCCCATTGGTGACGAGACAAAATATGCGGTTCCAGCACGACGCCTGTCCCGCACACTACAGTAGATTAGTACGGGCCTATTAAGACTCTAAATTTCCAAATCAATGGATTGGCAGAGGCGGGCCCATTGCCTGGCCAGCAAGAAGCTCAGATCTCACACCGATGGATTACTATGTGTGGGGGCATATGAAAAGCTTAGTGTGCGATGTTTCGCCCGTACCAACGCGCGATGATTTAATTACAAGGATAATCAGTGCAGCTGACCAAATAAAAAGCCGCTTAACAACTAGAGTTACCAAAAGTGAATTACGTAAGAGAATGCGGGCGTGTATTCGTAACAGGGGATTACAATTTGAGCAGAATCTGTAAAATATTAAAGGAAATGTAACTAAATTAAACTATACTTAAAATAAAAGCCTTTTATTTATCCTACGTAATTATCGTTCGTACAACTTTACTCATCTTTTTTTATTATTTTTATTTTCATTTTTACAGAAAATTGCATTTTTTATCGAATAAGTTAGTAAAAAAATAAGAAAATCATACATTTCAAAAGCGTAGTTTTAAAACTTTTGTAAGGGTTCAACATTTTATTACTTATTATGAGCTATTGGAATGTCCGCGACGATAATAAAAAACTCGAAACCAAAAATGTAGTTTTTTTCTATTCCAAATTTAACCGGCTGAAATCGGAATAAAAAATAAAAAAAATAAAATTCAAATAACTCAAAAACGGTTAACTTCTGGATAGGACGACATTATAGGACAAAAGCGGTTGTCTTTGACCTAATCTATCACCCCTTAACAGGAATACGTGACATTACAAGTCACCCTGTATGCTTCGTAAATGGTTACCTGGGGATGATCCGAGGGTGATATACCACCACCACCACCCCCACCGCTTCCTCCCTTCTTACTAGGATCTGCGCACGGTGTGCACTGGCAAACACCACAATCGCATGCCTTGGGATGACCAGAGGGTGATATCATGCCACTACCGCGCTTGTTGGTGTCCGCACATGGGGTGCAGGCACATGCCGTACAGTCGCACGGGATGGGGTGACCTGTGACAAAAGTATTAGCAGTAGCAATCCATTTATTTAAAGAACTTTATCAAAAAACTGTATGGCACAGTTATTTACCACCTCTAACACGATAAAATTAATGAACTGAACTGAAACTGAGCTTTGACTCCTTTCCCTCCACCTAAACTAACTACCCTTGCATGGATCAGCACATGGAGCACAGTAGCATTGCGGACAGTCACAGGCCGTACCTTGACCTATCAAAAATGATGCCCGAAAAGCAAGATATTATTTGTCGTTTACCTCCTTCTTTGTTTGAGCATCTAGTAACATGTAAAATATATCATACCATCAAGTAACACACAACAAAATTTGCATCAAAGCCAGTCACATTTTATAAACAAATTACACTAATCTTACCTAACTGCGCAACAGGTAGTGGCAAGCCACTAAGGGGTAATAGCACGACAGCGACAGTAGTTAATGTTGGGTATACCATTCTTTGTGACAATGTCTTTAATCTCTTTACGCTATTTTCGATCTAAATCTCTTACCAGTTGCTAGTAACAGTTTTTATTGTCGCGACATTTTCGCGTCGTACCTTCTCCAGCGTACATACCTTTCGCTCCTCCACCATCACCAGGGTGACCAGACGGCCTTATAATCCCCCCACCACTGCCACCGTCCGGGGTGCAGTTGCACACGGCGCAGTCGCAGTCGTCTGCTGCTCTCCCTCCGCCTTGTTTGTTGATATCAGCGCATGGGGAGCAACGGCAATCTGGGCATGTGCAGACGGGCGGATGACCGGATGGAGCAAAGATCTTTCCGCCGCCGCCATCTGGGGAGCAGTCGCAGGTTGTACACGTGCAGTAAAAAGGGCAACATCGCAACACGTGCACAAAGTAGTACCAGCATCAAATTGGTGAAATTTTTTAGTAAACATTGATCATAAACAGATTATCGGAATTCCATGATTATTATTAATATAGGCACCTACTATAAACAATAGATGTACTTATACTAAATAGGATATAACAAAATGTCCTAAGAAAAACGAACGATATTGGAAAATGTGAGTACTTAAAATTTATATAATATCCTGATGTTTTCTGATTAGAACGATGGGATTGAAGTATGCATACAGTAAAGAATTTCTGCTAGCTTGACTATTACAATAGCTATTGCCTGATGAGCTAGGGCAATATTAGCATGCTAATGTAATGCTGTCCATTCTGGAAAATTGAACAATTGAAAAATGGTTGTTTAATATTTTCTGACATGTATAATTGACAACCTTTATACAAAGGGTACTATAAAAGTTTTGCAATACAGCCTTATTTATTGACTTCGTTTAAAGTAATTTCCACCACATACAATACACTTGTCCATCCGCCAAAACCAGTCCTTAAACCAGCTGTGTCAAGTTTTACCCGGGAGTGCCAAGCCCTCAGAAGGTGCTCATCGCTAGAAAACCGTTTTCTTTTAGCTTCATTTTCACATGCGGGAGCAGTGCAAAGTCGCAGGGAGCACGATCTGGACTGTAAGGAGTGTGCTCAATAAGTTTCAGTAAAGTAGTGGTCAAACACTTGGTGCAGGCTTTGGCGCGGTTGTCGTGGTGGAGGTACCAAGTGTCCATTCTTCACTTTCGCCGCAGGTTTTTTATAGACTATGACTTAGGAAAGCACTGTTCCGTGTACCACTTAGCTGTGACTGCCTTCTGTGTGTCCAAAATGACACGCTCCACAATCCGGCTCGATTTGAAAAATACAGCTTCATTTTTTCCTTAACAGATCGCGATTTTCTGACAGCTACGGGTGTATTCTCATCATCAAAGACTCAAACTTTGCTTTGAGCCTTGATCGGCCATCGTAGTAATAGAGCCAAATTCGTCACCTGTCACAATGCTGTTCACATACCGAGAGTCTTCAGCTCTTCCGTCAGACTATGCTGTACTCAGAGAGAACAGAGTTTCCTACGTGTAAATGGTCATGCAGAATTGAATACTGGTGCATGAAGGTGTAACGTCTCCTGTATCTGTTGATATGTCACTCTCCGGTCTTCGTCAAGCATTTTTCTCACAGCAGTAATGTTTTCCTCTGTTACTGACGTTCACGGCCTTCCTTCCCTCTCAGCGTCCTCGAGAGTGAAATTGCCCCTTTGGAGTTCTCTGCACCACCTGAAAATAGTCGTACAATGAGAACAATCATTCTTTAATTGAAGCGTCATTTCTTCTAAGCACTGGTCTATGCTTAAAACACAAGTAAAGTCATACCCTGATCTCACTAACTGACCACGATGCCTTAGTCCGCAATCTACACTGTCAATACGGCTGAACAAAATGTGCTGCTGGCGGATAGTATGCACTCATGGACATGTCTTAACATGCAGCCTCTTGTATCCGTTTCTCAAGTCATATTGCAAAACTTTCAAGCACCCTTTGTAATGCCAAATTTCAGATGAAGAGCTTTTAGTGAGGGCTCACGCTTGATAACTCTTTTATATATTAAAAAAGTTTATTACAAAAATTGTAACCAACAGTATGCTCTTCAACTTGTCAGCGGGTGTGTCCAAGATCCTGATACACAGATTCCGTTCACTCTGATACGCTATGTATGGTATTCTTCACGATTATTCATTACGTTTTGAAAACTCACAAAAGCGACGTCTTAGTATCAGTCTAACACGTTGGCAATAATGAATTTCAGGTCCGTATTCAGAGCTGTTGATCACTTATCTGGATTACAGTTGTAAGTGACGAAAATGTGAGAATAAAAAGCACGAAGTAGATATATAAAAATGTTTATTAGAAAATTATTATAGTTACATCTTGGATTTATTGATTGCGATGTAAGTCAATAGAACAGGTTGCGTTGTCTTTTCCAGAAGCTTTAGTTTTATCTGTAAAATAATATAGACATCTTTTTCTGGTTTATTGTCCGTCTTCAGTGTAACGTAATTCAAACACAGGTTAAGTATGTGCAGAACCTATCATAAAAATGGATAATGTGTAACATATTACTTACAATTTTCTAGTTTCTAACTTGTTTGAATTACCTGAGTAATGTTCAGACCTAATTCAGGGAATCGAACCTGTATCAATTCGGTCATATACTGCTACATATTTTGAATTAATTGTATGGCTGTTGCATCGTCCCTAAAAATCACATGGTGTTTCAAGTTCTAAAAAGTAGAGATGATTAACATAGTCAAAAACTGTTTATCTTATTTTATTCCTACTTGACTTGAAATGTAGTCACAATCTTTAGTAGCCATTTTGCTAGTAGCGTTTTTTATATGTAAAGGAACTTTTCTAAATGATAGAGCTGTCAGCAACTACAAAATGAATCTGTAGTGTACAAAAAACCACAACAAAATACGGATTTGTCTACCTGGCGTTGACAGATCTCCAAGCATTAACTATGTGTCACTTGTCGATATGGGGAGTTTTGAAATATCACTAGATAATCAACTGTTGTTTTACCGTGATGGATACTCGTGAAAAACACCCTAGACGGAACTCATTCTGCCGGATCCCAGACATGATTTTTTTTTAGTAAAAAGCATTAAATTTTATTGCATATTTCGATATATCCTTATAAACGAAACAATAGGGTCCTATTTCCAAATTATTAATCTAGATACAAAGCTGTGGGAATGTTAATAAAATTTTTTATTATTCATCCATTCATAATTATACTTTTTAAGTCTTTTGTTATGTGCACAGAAAACTAAACAAATATCAAACCTCTGCAGAAATACACACTCATGCACTACGAAATTTTAATTACCTAAGAAATCCACCCGTCATTGCAAATACAAAAACATAATTTGTAAAAATATATCTAATCGCTGATTCTTAAGGTTTGCTGAAAACATTGCTCAACCTCTGTTTCTATTCATTTGATGAGTACGTTGATGCTACGACGTCACTCGGATACATAATAAAATAGTTTGTAAGACATCACGTCTACATTGTATACAGAGAAATCCGACAAATACCACTGACGTCATAATGCGTGCAATACGTATGTTATAAAGAGTTCGCCCATGGTGACGTGACAAGAAGCAGCTGCGTTCGTGGTCCCGACACTCGGGTAGCTAAGCGTGGTAATTCTATCTCGTTCTAACATATGTATTGCACGCTTATGGCGCTTCTCTCTCGTACACATTACGACGACAGTAGTAGATGGATTTCAGTGTAGGTATATACATAATGTGGTCAATAAATGGTATGGTATTTAGCAAGATTTTAGATAGATACCTGGAGCTCCGCCTCCTCCACCACCTCCATCTAGACATGGAGAACACTTGCATACCTGTAAATAATTGACATCTGTAACGTACTCTTATAGTTAAAACATGTATTTTGGGATGACGTTATATTACCATAATATGTATGTTGAACATTCGAACGCCAGTCTGATTCAAAATGTTGTTCCTCAGGTAAAATCAAAAAATGTTTAGAAGGGATCATTCTTGTTGAAAGATCATTTCTAACTTCCATCGGTCTTTGTTTTAAGAGGTATTATTCAAATCTTTTACATACCACACAATCACATCCTACTGGTATCTGGAGTGGCGGCGGCATATATGCTCCACCACCTCCAAATGGTGCTCCGCCTTCTGATGGTTGACACTTACACACTTCACACGTACAGTCGCCAGAATGAAGAGGCACACTGGATAAGTAAGAAAATAGATTCTTGATAAATATTTTCACGTGAGGTAGCGCGAAAGTAGAAACCCAAAAAAATGCGGTGCTCATGTATTATACTCTTCAATACTTTTTAATTCTGGGAAATAATAATGGAAGCAGCCTAATCTCATTTGACCATATAGATGTATAAAGGTAAACTAATCGTCGTACCTTGGTTGATATTGGACCTGGAAAAACAAAAGGCAAAAAAGAAAACCTTTGTTTATGCAAATTAATATACTAAGTGACATATAAATCCGAACACCCAGTTTAAATGGTTTTATTTTAATAAAATTTTGTATTAGTACTTAATGAAGCATAATAAGTAAATGATAAAAATTTCAAAATGATTGCACTGCTTTAAAGCCCTTTGACCATTTATAATGTGTGGATGCACCCTGATGTGCTACGCATTCTCCAACGCGCCTAGGCATGCTTCTGATCAGGTGGTCAATGTCCTCCTGTGGTATCACATTCCAGGCAACCACCAACTCCTCTCGAAGTGCTTCTAGAGTCTGAGGAGGACGTTGCAAATTGAGCAATCTCCTACACGTCATATCCCACACGTGCTCAATAGGGGATAAGTCGGGAGATCTTGGTGGCGATGGTAACAATGTGACATCATTATGTTGAAAGAAGTCTATTGTGACTCTTGCAACATGTGGTCGGGCATTATCTTGTTGGAAAGTTGGAGCGTTAGTGAATTAAAAAAAAGCAGTATAAAAACGGAATGTCCAACTGATAAGGCTGAACATTTTTTCACTTGTTATTTACAGTAAGATGAATACATTCACCAACTTTTATTAAAATAAAACCATTTAAACTGGATGTTCGGATTTATATGTCACTTAGTATAAGTATCAGCATACCATAATCCATTAATCAAGCCTTGTAACATGCGATTACATCAACTACCCGATTTATTTTAGTCCAGAAAGTTTAACAAATTTTATACTTATTTCTTGACAACTATTGTGTCTGCTCACTTAGATAAATAGATAGATAAATATGCTTTGTTGACTGAACAACACAATCATTCTTATGACAAAGCTAACTTTAACTACACAATATTACATATGTGGACTAATAGTATTTTATTTACCTTTTTAAGGTGTTGATGGCACAAAGTGATAGATATACAAGATAGGCATGTGTTTGTAAAGTTGCAAAATAAAGATAAGTAATATCCCTAGTTCCCTACTAGTATGAACAGTCAGAGAGTGTGGATGTTTGTTACTGTATCACGCCAAAATGGCTGAATAGCAGAGGTATTACGTCTCTTGGAAAGTGACATAATGTCAGTTTTTTGACATTATATAGATTTTTTGTGACATTATGTAATTACACACAACGCGAGCTTGGTGGTGCTTTCCCGGAATGCTTCTCAAAGTTTTTGAAAACACAAAAATCGCGATTTAAACTATAAACATAACCTTTCTTTAGAAAAGACAATAATACAAAGAGCCCTTCTGGTACAGCTAACAGATATACTTCATGGACAGCGTATTCAGTAATAATTTTCTCACATAGCAAATATACTAAGTGACATATAAATCCGACCACCCAGTTTAAATGGTTTTATTTTAATAAAATTTTGTATAAGTACTTAATGAAGCATAATAAGTAAATGATAAAAATTTCAAAATGATTGCACTGCTTTAAAGCCCTTTGACCTTTAATAATGTGTGGATGCACCCTGATGTGCTACGCATTCTCCAACGCGCCTAGGCATGCTTCTGATCAGGTGGTCAATGTCCTCCTGTGGTATCTCATTCCAGGCAACCACCAACTCCTCTCGAAGTGCGTCTAGAGTCTGAGGAGGACGTTGCAAATTGAGCAATCTCCTACCCGTCATATCCCACACGTGCTCAATTGGGGATAAGTCGGGAGATCTTGGTGAAAGAAGTCTATTGTGACTCTGGCAACATGTGGTCGGGCATTATCTTGTTGGAAAGTTGGATCTGCCAGGGTGTCAAGATAGGGTAAAAGATGGGGTTCTAGAGCTTCGTGGATATAACGCTGCGCATTCATGTTACCTCTGATGAAGATTAAAGGTGACCTGGAACCATGAGCTATAGCACCCCAAACCATAACTCCAACAGTGTGATGAACATGTCTTTCAACAAAAAACTGTGGATTCCTCCTTTCACCACGTCGACTTCTAACCCTGGCACGACCATCGTGCATGCCTAAACAAAATCGAGACTCGTGACTAAAGACAATCCTGTTCCATTCCTGATCCCAGAGTGACCGTTGTCTGCACCACTCAAGGCGATTACGTCGGTGTTCTCGAGTTAAAGGGAGGACCCAGTTTCGCCGGTATGAAAACAAGCGAAAACTTCTCATTCGTCGGTAAACACTTCGCATGCCAATAGGTCTTCCGTGTTCTGCAAACCATTCATTTGCAATGGACCTGGTAGTGGAGAAACGGTCCCTTAAGGCCAATAATCTTAGGCGGCGAACTTCACGGTCTGTTGTTCTACGGCGGCGTCCAGTGCCCCTTGCTCTTTGCGTACGGCCTTCTCGAAGCCATGCCTGACAACACCTAACCACAGTGTCTACACGTCTTTGCACTCGAACTGCAATTGCCCGAAAAGAAAGTCCAGCTTCCCGAAGTCCCACTATACGGCCCCTATCAAACTCACTAAGTTGACGAAATCGTACAGGTCTCCGTACTCTAGGCATCGTAACCGATCGGAAAGGATGTCAAGAACCAAAATCCGCCAACGTTGATTCTTTACTGCGGCTGAAATATTCATTTTTAGAGCGTTAGTGAATTAAAAAAAGCAGTATAAAAACGGAATGTCCAACTGATAAGGCTAAAATTTTTTTCACTTGTTATTTACAGTAAGATAAATACATTCACTAACTTTTATTAAAATAAAACCATTTAAACTGGGTGTTCGGATTTATATGTCACTTAGTATATCACTGATTTTATACACATGCAGGCCAATACACACGGTTATCCAGATGCGATTTTACTTTTCTTTGTCACATATTCATGCTGGGAACTGAGTTGCAGCTGGTCATTGAGCATGTCGTCTAGTGATTCCTATAGAGATGACCATTTTAGTGGCGGTCACAGCGGTCATAGCGAGCAATCGCGGAATGAACTAGTTACACACTAGGAAACTATCTAGTCAGCAAGTTGACGCATTGTCGGTTTTTTGACATAATATAGGTTTTTTACGGTATTAACCTGCGGACCTAGATGAAGTTTGATAGAAAGATAGATTAATGTCTGGAATAGCACATAGACTATTTTTATCCCGGGAAATAACGTTGAAATATGAATTTCACGAACTAAGTCCCAAACGGCTTAATGGTCCGACCAAAATCAATGAGGGTATATAAATAGGGAATTCACAACGTGCAGTTACTCCATTCTTTCACTATTAATGCGAAAGTGTGTGTTTCAATGTCTTCACGCCAGAACGACTGAACCGATTTTAATGAATGTCAGAGCAGCTCTAGAGTAGATCTTGGAGACAAATATAATCTATCTTTTGCTGTGAAAATAAAACTTGAACGGGTTGAAACAGGGGGAGGAGGTTACTGTGGGAAGCTATTACTCAATTTGGAGATACAAATATGGGTTTTGAATGTTCGGTTCTTTTATTGAATGTAAACGGGCAATTACAAAGACATTTTGCAAATTTCACCTCGAACGGGTGAAGTGAGGGTTGAGCCTACAAGTAGGCGTATGTTTTGATATTAATGAACAATTCTAGAAATTATGTTCTTAAGATGAGGTTGATGAGAGGGTTGGATATCTCTATGGGGAAACTTGTCACGTTTTGAGTTTATCGAGTTTATGTTGAAAACTATTTAACTTATAAACACGAAATCTAGCATTAAGGTATTTCACGGACAAGACATGTCAGCATAAACTGGATTTCGCGACAGGGCTGGATTAAGGGGGCCAAAAGCAGATATATGGAAAAGTGTCTCGAAAACTATTTGGCATATGAATATGGAATTTGGCAGAAAGGTAGCTCAAGGACGGATTTTGCGAAAGCGCCGGATTAAAGGGGGATAGAGGTAATTATAAGTTTGTACGAAATTGCTTTGTTTCACTATTGGAGATAATTTGGCAAAGAGGTAGTTTATAGGCAGTAGATGTCAGTTAAGAACGGATTTTGTTACAGGGCCGTATTATGGGGTTAAAGGGCACTCGAGCGTTTGTTTGAAAATGCTGCCAGATACCTTAAAAAGGCAATACTATAAAGATAGAGTAGACTTGAGCTGAGATTTTGTGGCATGGGCCTTTTCTAGCTAGAGACTAATCAGACAGGTATTTTACACTGTAAGTCGAATGTGCTAATTCCATTCTATTTAGTTATTTTAAAAACTATACGCATACAAAGTGTCGGGCACTAGCTGGTTCCTAAATAAATCTCGAACGTTTCGTTTATTGTCGCATGATACGAGAAGTTTCGTACGACATTTTAGCTATCTCGCACGTGGCATTGACAATTCGGCGTTCGAAAACACCACCCCCCTCGTTCTACGAAAATGGTATCATTGCAAATTACCTGACTGCTTCTGCTCCAGGTGGAGGTGGTGGCGGGTTCTTGTTGCAGGTTTCGCATTCACATGTCGCGCAGGTGCAAGGCAAACGGGTAGGAACTTTGAATGGTGGCGCCTCATCAGTTGCATACGGGGCTATTTTCTGTGCTGCTCCGCCACCTCCACCACTGGCAGGGGTTCCACTAATAATGAAAAATCATTCTTGTGAATATATATTTATAGAGGAAGATCGTGTCAGACTCTTCCAGAGCAATATATATCTATGACCGGACGGAAAATATAAAAATTTAATTACCATTTTGTTAAAAATGTATACAATAGAAAATATGCATATAATTGAAATATTGGCTAATAATTTTTATATTGAATCTATGCTGCTACAGAAGAACGTCACCAGCGCCGTAAAATAAGGGGATGAATGGCAAAAATTCACGGTAAATCTAAAATATCGAAACACAGCGCTACTAGCGCGACGTCACCATTTACCACTTGTGACTAGGCAACTCATTGTTGATTGGTCAGTCCGATTTAAAATGGCAGGCTTTTCTTTTCACTGTCATTGATTGTTATCCTGCCAGTTCGAAATAATTATTCATCGGGTTGTTTTTATAACTTTCTTTTGTACTGTAGACCACAGACCGACTCAATTCTCGAGATACAGCCTTCCTCAACAATGACTGAAAGTTGTTTTCAAAAGCCCCGGTCGGATAATCTTATGAAAATAGACGCTTTTGTGACACGATATCCATAAACCTATATTTGGGAAAAATGGTAGTTCTGTGTTATGTACTTACAACAACATTATTTTCACAACAATATGAATTCAAATATCCATTATCACTGTTTGTAATTTTACACCACTTTTCTCTTAGTATCTCGGTGAATATGAAAAAATACTTTTTCCTACGCTTTCATTATCGTATGGTACAATACACTACTTATAATAAGGTTTCCCTTCTCCATGCTTGTTTTTCTTTTAATTAAAACTATACACATAAGCAGAAAGTACCAGGCACAAAACACATGGAAAATGGGTCCCAGTCGGTTTGCTCAAAAATTATAATATGATATATTTCTTGTCATCCGGAATACAAGTGTACATGGCACCAAAGCAACCCTATGATTAGTTTCTGAGAAACAGGAGGATGAAGTTTGAAGAAATTGTGAATGTGCCAGAAACTCGAAGAAATATTTTATTAAAACACCTTGTAGGAAGATGTTGCGAGGTATCGTCTTGATGGTGACCATGCCTTAGCAGCCTTTTTCGTACTACAAAACAAAATAATTACATACGTTTATAAAATTGGTAATTAATTTGACGATGACGTTTAATAACATTTCAGGTAGCAGAGTTGCTTTGTTTCAGCCGCCGATGTAAAATATTAGGCAATCTTTGTTTACGGGTGCTGAATTTGATTTCTTCTTTAACACAAAAACCGGTTAACAGTTCTTCGACATCAACAACATTGTGTCATTGAGATGTTGACGTACCATTAATTGCGTTTCGAATTCATGAACAATGCAAATGCAGCACTTGAAGCCGAATTGCTGGATAGTCTTCATTTGCATCTAAAACAAATGAATTCTGTCTCCTGGAATAAAGATGTAGATAAACAATAGCTACTGTCTAATTAACTATCGATTTCATAAACTTGTATGCCATTAATTTATTTCGGTTTTTCGAAAAATGCTGCCGAGGTAGTCGAAACGTCAGTCCATTTACCATCTGTGGTTTCATTTATTGGCCGATATTATGGGAGTGAACAAGTTACAACTTAAAGCAATGTTTGCACATGTGAACTTTTCTTTCACCTTCAAAATCAACGTGACAGGAAAAGAACCACGACTTTTTTGTGCCCTTGAAAAGCTACCTATACTATTGAGTGTCCTGCATTATCGAGCAACTCTACGACATAAACATATAAAAATATACTTGCCCTGGAACTGCCCTTAAAAAGATAGTGATCACGATCACGACACCTCCCAACTCTTCCTACACGGCGTTTAAAAGAAATATTTACTGACTTTGGTCAGAATTACAATCAGCACATTCACTATTTCTGCAAATCAGACTGCCTATTTCTCAGAACCTAATCATTGAATTGCTTTGGTCCCATGGACATTGTTGTTCGGAAAGGCAAGAAATATATTCAATTTTTAGGTGAATCGACTGGGACCCGTTTACCATATGTTGTGTGCCTGGTCCTTTTTCGACGAATTGCGTATATCTTCAGCAACATATTAAATCAGTTTCTGATCCTTCTGGTTGGCGCTCGCCCCCCAATGTATTTTTTGGACAGTTACTCCTAACTTTCAGCCTACAGAGCATATAAAGAGTTACCTTCAACAGATCATGGCGGTTTTAGCGACCTTTTACGGTGATGATGACCGTGCTCCGTACTGACGCTTACGTTCAAAAGTTTGTCTTATATCAACTTACATGATTCAGAATGTGGCCATCAAAATTACCTGACGTCCTGTGGTGGTGGTTTCGGTGCATCTCGATTGCAAGTGGCACATTCGCAGACCTTACAATTACATGGCAAACGGACAGGTATCTGAAAGGGTGGTGCCTCTCCCGATGCAGGTTGTACTCTTCCTGCTCCAGTTGTCATGGCTTTCTGATTGCACATCACGCAACCGCATGTGTTACAGTCGCAGGATTTCCGTTTTAGTAACTGAAAATGGGAAATGGATGCTGCTTACTAATTTGCTTGCATGTTTTACGCAGATGCCCTGCAATTGCCCGAGTTAGACATAATATATGTACTCTTAAGAGGGCGTCTACTCCAAGTAGGCGGTCGGAATGACTGGGAGAAATATAAATAGATGTGAGCCACACCACAAAAGACCAGTAGGTTGCACTGGAGGATCGTAATTGATCCACTCACGAAGTTCATACGCGGGATGAAAAATGTATAAATTGTAGCTAGTCAGTAGCACATTAAATTAAATTTTACACGTGCAGTATGGTGATTGGGATAAGAACAGTATAAAGTTCAATATGTGAATCTCCACGAGCTCTTGATTGTACGGTAAATTAAACTTAAGTTAAATTATGTTATTATATTTATTATAACTTACAGTTTTAATACTAGGAATGGAAATTGTGAACCCGTTCGAGTTCCGACGTGCGGGAATGATCGATCAATCACGTTAAGTGAGTGTACTTATGGATGTCCCCCTCTGGTGAGTACCTTGTTATTAATTTAATTTCACTTTTCGAAGTCCACAAGATTAAATATTTAAATGCGTTACGAAGTTTGAGTTTTGTCGACACAGCCAAAACATTGTGGTAATTGGTAAATTGGCAATCGCAGTAAGCTAGATTTCAGCTGGCAAATATTTGGTGATTTTACCAAACTTCGAGCAAAAAAACATACTGAGACATTGTTAGGATTCATCAATTACTCGTCAAAGTCATATATGTGATGTGGATCCTTTTGGTTGTCCCAAGGCCTACCTTTGATAAGGTGGAATAGAATAGAAGGAGCCAAGTCTACATGCTACATTGCATTATTTGTCGCCAAAATTGTGTAGTTTTATTGCATACTTTCGGCTAATTTGACTATCATTGACTACCAAAGTGTCAAATCAAATACATTGGCGTACATTCTTTTATCTGGAAAAGATATTCAAGAGGCTCTTCGTACTTCGTGTACTCACGTAGAGCATGGCACAAATACTATCTGTGTTGCGATGATAATTACTTAGTTATTGTTAATAAACAGGGCCAAATAAGATAATCCAAAGAAACAAAAGTAAATATTTATTAACGGTACAGCGTATGAATAATCCTGCTTAATTCGTTTTTCTAAATAGTTGTAATCCGTCTTAAAGTAAATACCTACTATAGTTGAGCATAATCTTGTTATTTAATAATTGTAACTATATTTATCCAATAAAAATTTTTGGAAGGACTTCCATTAATTTGATATTCATAGTTTATTTTGTAGGCTTGGATTTAAGTTTCGGTGGGCCCTTTTCAGTATCGAACAAAATATTTTGCTTTGTCTCAAATATTTTGCATTCTTCAATGATACTGTTAGATATACAATTCTGTTAACAAAACTTAGATTAAATGAAATAAAATTACCTCACAACTGTCCAGGTAAAAGCTCAATGCTGAGGTACATACCCTTTCACGATGCCAATGACAATAATATAACATCAACGTCAATGAAAAGGTTTGCTCTTATAGTCTGATCATATTAGCAAATTTCTCCGAAATAATAGTAAAGTCGGGTTTTATTGATGCAAGTTGTTCAAGGGGTATTTAAAACATGGATGCATAAAATTGGTACACTAATTTCTGTGGGAAAACATTTGATTCGACAACACAGTATGAGAAAACGTGTTTTTTGGCATTCAATTGAAAGTGTTGGCAGGAACGGAAGCTATATAGGTTTATGGGAGACCTACAAAATGAGACCACACGTAAAAAGATCCGACTAATACTGAAAAAGGTTATGTCCGAAAAGGAGGAATAATGCAGATTTTTACACTTGCTAATGCGATGACAATTTCATGCAGCTACTTGGAATTCTTCAAATCCGTAGGATTTATACTTCTGAATAACCACAACAAAATTGGAATCGATTGGTCAAGTAGTTAATGAGAATTTCTAATTGTTTATCCCAAAACACAAAAAGCATTTTTATTTTTCCAGATTAAAAAAAATAATAGAGAAAAAAGAAGCTTCGTGGATTCGAAGCTCGCTCCTGAGGTTCCGCAATCGTCAGTCATTCCCATTACGCTACGACGCCTCTTGATTTACTGAATTCTTATACCACTATACTTCACACTGACAAATGTCAAGTGAATGTTGGAGGCACATCAAATCTATTATATTACAGTAATCTTGAAAACCATACAAGATAGAATGCTGAATCTTCAAATAATGTATTAGGAACTAATAACGAGCATTTTGCCTAATTTTAGGTCTGAGCCTTCGGCTTGACCCCCGGAGATTGCATCTTACCTTTTTTCCTCGCTACCGCACGTATAGAGCCCCCTTTTAGCCCATATCCCCAGCCGCACGCCCATGTGAGCTCCGGGGTCCGTCTAGCGTGCGCGCGACCTGAGTCGGTGGGCGGCTGTTAGCCGCGCGCTCATCAGTGCTTATGCTTAGCAGTGCGCTTCCTTTTTTCATCGCGATAACACGGTAGAGCACTCCTCTCGCGAGTACGCAATCTCGTGTGCAATAGTGTCGAACTGATGAAGCAGTAAGTACATTATTGTCATTTTATATTGTGGTTCATACATTTTTTTAGGTGTGACTGTGTCACACCCGATAGCGGAATATTTTTCATACCATTTTGTTACATAAGTTCCTCTCAGGATAGTATTTTTACGATAGAACTATATGAAGTTGGCTACTGAGTGCGGCCATTCAGCCCTGTCTAAAGCACAAGCTGCCGACCATCCCACTCGCAGCCGATCAGCCCTGTCTAAAGCATAAGCTGCCGAGCATCCCACTCGCAGCCGATTAGCCCAAAGTGCCGAACTTTCGGGAGACTTCCCAAGGGCTGTCTCACAAGTAGCAACCTGATTACCTACGGCCGTCGGGCTGAGACCCTGCGGCCGTCGGCTAGAGGTCCCAGAGCCGACGGACGGAACTCCCAGGGCCATCGGGCCCACTCTACGTGACCGTCAGACAAAGCTTCCACGGCCGATGGGCAGAACTCGCAGAGCCGTCGGATCCGCTCTACGTGGCCGTCGGACGACAGTGCTATAACCGACGGGCGGAATTCCCAGTTTATAGCCGACGGGCGGAATTCTTAGTGCTATAGCCGACGGGCGGAATTCCCAGAGCCGTCAGACTCAATTTACGTGGTCGTCGGACAGAGTTTCCACGACCGACGGGCGGGACTCTCAAGGCCGCCGGCCTCAATCTACGCGGCCGTCGGACCGAAATCTATGCAGCTAACGGGCCAGAATTCTCGTGCCAACGGTCGAATTGATCAAAGCTTTTGATGAAGACGCACTGAGCGTATCTGAGAAAAGTTTTAAAGACATGAAGTTGTCTCTACTAGAGTGGCCCTTTACAAGAGCACTCGTATTGTATCCAGTTACCATCGGCATAAAGATAAGGGGGTCGGCAGCCCACTATGAACTATTAAGCAGAGCCATAGATAGAAGTAAAACGGGGCATAGTTTCTAGGGAGGAAGCGAACAGCTTGCTGAGAGGAGATAACAAAGAGAATCTGGTGAGAAAGAGGAGAGCATCGTCAACGGAGACTGATCGATTAACCAAATCGAAACGCTTGGATGAGACAGAGAATGCAATCTCAGATGTAACAGCGAAGACCCAAAATATTGAACACAACAGTTACTTCAGGGTCAGTCCAACTCGGAGTGTTACTCGGAAGCAGGGGATGACGACAGAGAGGACAGCTTTGGTAATAGGTATGAGAAAGAAGACGTAGGATCATTACCCGGATTGATGGGCGACGAGGAACGGGATCGGCCCTTGGTGGACTTCCTTCCAGATGCTAGGGAATTGGAGCCGATAGTCCCTCAGGCTGATATGTGTCTGGCTGAGCAAGGAGGTACCTGTCAACGCTTAGGGCTATCGGAATGGAACAAAATCCGATATGCTGATGCTCAGAAGCGGTTACAAGCCACACCCATTTTTATGGCACTCAAAATGAACGAACAAATTAAAAATAAGGAGGCAAAATGGTGCTTTAGTGAGGTCTTGGCGCAATTTGATCAAACATTGGCAGCTATTTCCCGTGGACTTCTAAAGCAACGTCGAATTCTTGCTAGGGGTATAGAAAATATTCTGAAGGAGGTAGATTCTCCGACCCTAAAAAAGGCAATCTTTGAAAATATCAGTGGTAGTGATACGGAATTTAGATGTGTCAGATGACTTGCTGCAACTGACATGCGGCAGGAGAGCGGATGTTATTAGTCGTAGGAGGGACCTAGTTAGGTCATCTTCAACTTACATGACTAACCTGCTAAAGCAGATCCCCCCCTCCACAACCCACTTATTCGATGAAGGAAAATTAATGGAAACAAAAGTCATGGAGGATATTATAAAATTTTTCCAAAGAGAGTACCCTATCGTTCCACAACCAAAGCCGAAAAACAGGACGCCTCGCATAGGCAAAAACCAGCAAATCGAATGGGGTCACGTACTATGGGCTCTAGTAGTCAAGCAGTCTCAAAGCAGGGAAGGAAAAGGCAAAGAAACATCGTAGGACAGTCTGAACCGTCCAAGGAAAAGAAAGCCCGGAAGCATTTTTGACAGTTTTCAGGCTGGCCAGCTGAGGACGTTTGTCAAAGAGTGGCAACTACTACAAGCTCCAAAATTTATTTTAAACACCATAAAGGGATACAAAATTCATTTTGCTTCACAACCTCCATTGATCAGGTTGAACGCCCGTATACACAAAACGATTATTTGATGAAGATCGACTTGCAAAATGCCTATTTCCACATTCCACGAGGGACATCGCAGGTTTTTGTCCGCCTCATACAGAGGAAAAATCCATCACATGACATGCCTACCATTCGGAATCTCGACCGCACCATTGGTTTTCGCCAGGATTACCAATTGGATAGCACAACTCGAGATCAAGCGGCATCAGACTGGTAGTTTACCTGGACGATTTTCTCATAGTAAGTCAAAATCGACAGCAACATGCACAGCTAGCGGTGGAGCTGCTCACAAAATTAGGCTTCATGATAAACAAAACAAAGACCACCGAGAGCCCAATGACGACGATAGAGTTCTTGGGAATTATGTGGGATTGCCACAAAGCCGAGAAACGGCTCTCACAAGTCAAAGTGGACCGCAGCCGCAAACAGATCCAGAGGTTTAGTCAGAGAGGGTCATGGAACTGGCGCGAGGCGGAAGGGCTATTGGCACGGCTGAATTTCGCGGCATTTGCAGTACCCTTAGGTCGCCTAAACTGCCACAGAGCACAGAAAACATCCAACAGACTCCCCCAATTCTCAAAGACAAGGTCGCCAATCCCCAAGCCAGTTCTGTAAGACCTCCAGTGGTGGTTGATGCATGTAGAGCAGTCTTCACCAGTGTGGATTACGAAGAAGATGAGCTACCTGACAACAGACGCGTCCGACTGGAGTTGGGGAGCAACCCTGAACGAGTACAAGATCTCAGGAACGTGGACCGAGAGCCAATGATACTGGCACTGCAACTGCAAAGAACTTTGGGCAGTTCTCGATTCAATCAAGCGAAATACAATGGTACTAAGGAACCAAATTGTACTGCTGCAGACGGACTACCGTACGCTAATAGCTTATGTCAGAAAGGAAGGGGAGGCGAAGTCGATCAAGCTGCTGCAGTTGACAAAAGAATTACTCGAAACTTGTTCCAAATTCAACATCACGCTGCAACCTCAGTATATTCCGGGAAAATACAATGGGACGGCCCATCACCTTTCCAGAGGCCGCCCTCTTCCAGACTGGTCTCTGTCGAATGTAATCACACAGCAACTTTTCACAAATGGGGGACACCGGAAGTGGACCTCTTTGCAACAAACTTGTCGGCAGTGGTGCAGAAGTACGTCAGCCTGGACGCAACAGATTACAATGCTCACTACATAAATGCGTTCAGCAGACAATGGACATACCAGTTGGCGTGGATATTTCCACCACTGGCTCTTATCCCGAGAGTCCTGTCCCATCTGAACTCAGCATCGGGGCTCTACATCCTGATAGCGCCAAGCTGGGAAAAGGTGTTTTGGCGTCCAGATCTTCAGAGCAGGGCAGTACAAGGGCCAATAGTGATTCCCAACTTGTCGATGAATCTCCGGGACCTGGTAACGGGTTACTCACCGCCCAGGTGCGACGACTTGAAATTGGAGGCATGGAAGGTTCAGGGTGGTCACAGAACATCGATGGTTGGACAAGAGAGGACTTAGACCTTCTAGTATCTTCATGGAGGAGCTCCACATTGAAGTCCTATAGAAGTGCATGGAGTAGATGGAAGTCTTGGACAAAACAAAATATGAGTAGTGCAGATAATCCAATGGCAACGGATCTGGCTAAATTCCTATGCTACGTTTAAAAGTTGTAGGTTATCCCCGAATACGATAGAATTACATAAGTCGGTAGTATGTACCTTTGCCAATCCGGAAAAATCTAAACTCTTAGCCTCAAATGCCTTAGTACAAAGAATGATGAAAGCCATTAAGTTGAAACAGCCGCCTCCAAGGACATCCATATGGAGTGTTTCCACTATCATACAGTGGCTGGTTTCCAACCCACCTGCAGAGGATAGTATCTTCCAGGTGTCTCGCTACGTAGATTTAATGCTGGTACTAGCCTCAGGTAAGAGGGTGCATGACCTAACGCTGCTACACATCTCGGAGGGGTTTTTGCAAACAAGAAATAACTCTGTCATCTTTTGGCCGGCGTCTGGTTCTAAGACGGATTCAGCGACGTTTCGACAATCAGGTTGGCAGATTAGTAGCCGTCCAGACAGTAATTTGGACCCGGTTTATTGGATTCTCAAGCTGACATCTGTTTCTATATCCAGAAGAAACGCCACCAATGAAGGGAGCATCTAGGGCAGTCATTGCAGGTTGGATCCGAACAGCCTTTTCGGCGGCGGGGCTTGAAGCCTCTCCAGGAAGCATTCGCTCAGCAGTGTCTTCGGAGTTATGGGTATCTAACTCATCCTTGGACGAACTGATGGCGAGGGGGATCTGGCGACCCAGGACACATTTCTCAAGCACTATTTCAAGGAAATACAAAACCAGTCGGACACTGAGACACATAACTACCTCAGTGAAGCTTTTCAGTCGGTGTAGTGGAGAGCAGTGAACTTACTGTTCTTTACAATTTTGAGTACCTGTACTCAGTATTACTTTTATTTTTACTGAATCAAGAAGAGAAGATCTATTTAAGTTCCTACTTATATTTATATTATAGTACGTTATGAACCACAATAAAGTTATTCATTGTTTTGTTAAATGCTTTTGCGTTTAGTTTCCATTTAGCCTGTCACAGTGCGCGACTTGAGTAGGCAGAAACCAAACACTTCTCCGAGGGTCAAGCCGAAGGCTCAGACCTAACATAGAACCGTTTTCCCCCCGAAGGGTAAAAAACGGATATTTTGGGTCTAGCCGAGGCTTGACCCGAGTTGATGACTTGCCGCCTCGGATCAGCACTGATGAGCGCGCTGCTAACAGCCGCCCACCGACACCGACACAGGTCGCGTGCACGCTAGACGGACCCCGGAGCGCACATGGGCGTGCGGCTGGGGATATGGGCTAAAATACGTGGGGTAGCGAGGAAAAAAGGTAAGATGCAATCTCCGAGGGTCAAGACTCGGCTAGACCCAAAATATCCGTTTTTTACCCTTCGGGGGAAAAACGGTTCTATTTTTGAGACGATCAGTTCGCCACAATTGGTAGATATTTGTCTATTTTCGTTTTCTCGAGTTTAATTTCCAAAATTTTGAACCCGTAGTCGTTTTAATCGAACTATTCGAAAGCAGACGTATACTATATTAATACTTTTGGAAAAAAGCCTAGGGGATTATATTTCTTCATAAAGAAACCGGAATTACGTGACCAACATATTTAGTAAAGTCATGTAGTCATCATTAATGCAGCCATTTAGCACATGCTACATACTAACTAGTCTAAGACAGTTTGAAACATAATTGTGTCTTTAGTTTTCGTGCTAACTTTATAAACAGTTCAGCGCATTTCAGTATGGAATATTTTTTTTTATAAATTTTTAAGACTCATCTGTGACCGAGTAAAAATGTCAGCTCTAAATATGTATATACAAGAGTTTGAAGAAATAACAGCCACTTGCGCAGTAATCAGCGTTTATAAAACATGGCGGATTAACAATAATAGCGTTAGCAAAAGTTCATGATTCTAACAGCGGTTCTAGCGATTCGACAGCTACTATTTTCTCCTGCGGTTAAAGTACGCGATTCCTCTTTCTTCCAAAAAACCATAGGCGCGACCAAATTTAGTGCCAAGAGAAACAGCGGCGGACCAAACAATGGAAATTAAAGTAAAATTGGCATTACCGTCACAACACTAGATTTAATCTCCCCCTGAAGACACTAACATAGCGAAACAAGTGTCGGATATTAAAAAGTCGGTTTGATAAGCAGTGAAACTCTGTTGTAAATATGTTCGCTAATATTTGGAAAGGCTAACAATCTCTCCAAATCCACGCTTAGGTTTGCTAGGTATTTGATAAACTACATGCAAGAAAACAGACTGTTCAAAAGTAAATGTTCGCTGATATTTGATGAATTCTGCAATCTCACCTCGAACGGTGGCGGATCAGTCAACACCATTCCAGGCTCAGCACCTGCTTCATCAGGTTTTTTCTCTCCATCGCACTTGCACTCCTTGCACGTGCACTCAGGTGTAGCTCTGTACTTGCATTCGACGCACTTACAGTCTCCGCACTTGCACTCCGATTCTTTCTTCTCCAAGTATGGCTCGTCGGGGTTGCATTCGACGCAAGTGCATTCTACACATTTGCAGTTAGGGTGTCTCCTGCCACTTGGTGCTGTGCGTTGGGCTGTACCTCCACCTGGTAGGTCTGAGGATAAAATATTTATTACGAATTGACATTGAAAAAATCAAACAAATCCATACTGAAACTTCAGCCAGTTGCTTTAAATAAACGTATTTAAATAATCGATCACAAATTTAACACAAAATGCTCCCTCTAGAAATTTAAATAATGACTTGGTACACAAAACAGACACCGTACTAATTATGTAGGCCAATTGCTTACTCAACTAGCAAATATTTAATTTGTTATTAGCATAAATAGTTACAAACGTAGGTAAAAGCACAATCTTAAGCAGTTACTTTGCCTTATTTGAAAGTAGATTGAGATCTAGCATTCCCTTTTGGTGTGCTGTGCCCAAAATTGTTTATTCCAGAAAAACGCAATGTTAAATGTATAACTAAAGGCAATCCTATAGCTACATGCAGGCCTTTATCTCTAAACCTTGAAATAATAACTGTCGTATCATTGCTTATTTTAGAAACAGCAACTCTATCTACATTTGGTACCTTAAATACAGGCTATGATATCAAACAGGATCTTAAATAAGCAGTACCTGATCCAAGACTTGAGAGAGACTCAATATAATTGATAATGGTCTGAAAAATTATATGCGCCTCCTTGATGCTATCAAAAGAATCAACAATTTGAAGATATTCCGCCGAGAAGTTAAATACTTTCTGATATGTACTTAAGATCCATATACGAAAGCCCAATTTAAGTTGGCTTTGTGATTAAGAATGATTGTATTCTTCAGACAACAAAAAATTTCAATAATCATGACATATGACAAAAAGGTGCCTTTTAGGAAGACACATACCCTATCGTCATCATAACGGAATCATCAGTTCGGAAATGTGTAGCTTTTGCCTGGTAGAATGATCTTTGTTGACTGCTTAGGGTAAAGCAATATCCCTGTCCTGTATTATTTCTGGCTAAATCCTATTTTTATTCCAACGCATACAAGAATGATACTAACCGTCTCTGCATTTGCAGGTTGGGCAGGCACAGTCACCTTTGTGTTGCGTTTTGTATTTACAGTCCTCGCATTTGCAATCTCCGCACCTGCATGTTTCCTCTTGATCTGTAGTAGGTTCACATGACTAAAAGATGAATACGATCACACAAAATATACCCCAAGGGTTTACACATAATAATAATAATAATAAAAATAATAATAAATGCCTTTATTTCAAAACAGTTCTCAAAAAAAAATCAGAAAGAGCAACATGAGTACTAACCAAAAAAAAGGATAATATAAAAAAATAAACAAAACAATGTCGACTGTCTGAAAACCACAAGGGGGGGTTCACTATCTAGTGCTCTTTCGCTCATCCCTTGAAATTGTAAGAAACATTATGACAGTAAATACATCCATCAAGCATATAAAAACATCAATATGAACAGCATGTAAGTTTTAAAAAAAAATAAGATAGAAAAGTGAGACATGTGGTGATAAATTTAAAAAAAAAGAAAGTCTAGAATAATATATATATATATATATATATACCCATACATACCGCATAAACAAACGCCAATATGAGCGACAATTAAGTTTGAAAAAAAGAGCAAAGAGAAAACATGGTGGTAAATGTAAAAGTCTAGCATGATATACAAATACATATACGTACATTTATGCATCATATGAAAAAAAAAATATAAATAAAATAATGGAATGCAAACAAAATAAAATTGAAATTCCGCAGTAAGAATAATTCTACTTTATACATTCAAGGTAAGAATTACGCAAAACCGCTTTGAACTTGTGAAATTCATATGATTTGAGGTACTGGGGGATAGGATTGTATAGCTTATATATATTATACGTAAATGACCTTTCATAAAATTTAGTTCTGTGGAATGGAGCGGTAATGTTTTGTTTCGAACGAATATTGACGGAATGGATGTCTTTTCTGAATGTTATTTTCTCGTAGAGGTAATGCGGCTGCCTGAGAGTTAAAATTGTATGATAAAAGCATATTGTGAATATCTCAAAACGAGCCTTCATATTTAGCCACCGGAGTTCTTTCAGCTTATGACTAACTCTTTCATATTTTCTTATGCCATATATAAAACGTATGCATGAGTTCTGTGTTCTCTGTATTCGCATGAACGTATCACAATCTAAACATGCAGAATAAATTGGAACACAGTACGGAAACTGTGATAAAACCAAGGTTTCGCGAATAATTCTTTTGATGTCTAAATTGAGAAAATTTCGGTGAGGATACAATAATTTTAGAGCCAGATAAGATTTTTTGATACACTTTGATATGTGCTCACGAAACCTCAGATTATAATCCATTGTTAAGCCTAAGTTTTTAACTTTATCACAGTATTTTAATCTAATATTATTTATGGTTATATTTAAATTCTCAATCACATAAGAACGGTCTTTACCAAAGATCACAGCAGCTGATTTATTTGGATTTAATATTAATGAATGCTCTTGCAATCTGGCCAATCTGAACTAGGAAAAGAATAGTACAGCTGGGTATCATCCGCATAAACGTGTGACTTACAGAATTCCAAACATTTAAGGATCTGACTGGTATACTTAGTGAAGAGCAATGGTCCAAGTATAGATTCTTGCGGTACACCTGTGGTAGTGGGCTTTGAACTAGATATTTCATTCGTCAATTGTACACACTGTGATCTGCCACTTAAGTATGAATTAAAAAGTTTTACGCTGTCAGTAGACAATCGACATGACTTTAAGGTAGACAGCAAGACATCATGGTTTGTATCGCACGACAATACGCTAGTTGACACTTTTTTAAAGTAGGTCTTAAACACTTAATATTTGTCCTATTTTTTTTGGACATTCGAAAACTCTGTTCGATATGTTTGGCCCATCTGTATTAATGTGCTCCGTCGTCATACCGACTGTAAACAGCAGTTGACAGCAACATAACCTCTCAAACTCAAACATATAAAGATGATTTGTACTGGCTTACATGAAAAATATAGTAATTATCGTTATTGTATCGTCTGAGATTGTAAAAGCGCCTCGATAAAGATCCCAGCAAAAAGTTGTGGATTAGAGTGCCCATGAAAATAAATATACGCTACGCTGTGTATTTCTTGGAACCTACCTTATGATCAGGACATATTTTACATTTTACTCTGCAGATTTTATCGTCTCTTTTAAGATGGACGTAACCTACAGCATCATCTCCATACCATTCCCTTGCAGATGTGTAAGAAGAAATACAATATTAGATAAAATTATGCAGAGGTTATGACGCATGGGCTTAGTTTTTATATCGGATGCACTGTACGTACATAGAAGCCTCGATGTTCCTCAGCTCAGCAGAGCAGAAATCTGATTAGAGAAAAAAAAATACCAACCATCAATATGATGATGATGTTTTTTGAGAAGAAAAATGTCAACATGGATTCTCTAGTGGAAAGTCAACACCAACAGCAATCCATTCGTTCTATGAAGGATTGATTTCATCCATTGAGGGAGGAGAGTGTCCGGTTGGGGTATTTTGCGACTTGAGTTAGGCTCTCTGCATCTGGTGTGAATGGTGCTCCTTATAGTTTTTTTTTTATACTCCAACTACCACGAAGGCCTAAGGCCTAAGCACCCATTGGGTACCGTGGTGCTATAGGGGGATACATGGGAAAAGGAGAACGCCACACGGACTCTGGCGAGGGAACACGTGCATGCAACATGCACACATTCTGGCTCCGCCTACGAAATCCACCGGGTGGTATCTTCGCGTTCGACAGTCAGAGACCGTGTACCACCTACGGACAATCACAACATCCATAGCCAAGAGAAAAATTTCTCCTGGGACGGGACTCGAACCCGCACAGCGCACGGCGACTGATCAGGAGACCGAAGAGTCTACTACTGAGGCCACCGCTGCTGCCTAGTGGCTCAACTCATACCTTGTTGGTAGGAAACAATATGTTTCTCTACTTGAGCAAATGTTATATCGAGTCCAATCCAGTGAAATCACTGTTGATATTGAGGTTACTCAAGGGCCTATTTTGTTCATTCTATATATCAATGAGATCGAGTCAGTGTGTGACGATGCGCTGTTCACACTATATGCAGATCATGTATGAATATTAATCTCGAGCAAATTGGAAAATATCTTAAAAGATAGATGCAACGAAGTAATTTCAAAGGTCACTGATTGGTTTTCCAAACATCAGTTTTGAATACTGACAAGACCAATTTAATGAGGCTTCATAATCCACAAAAAAAGATAAATATCCCAGTTGTAAAGAAATTTCAAAAAAATATAAAATCTTAACAGTACATGCCCTTACGATTCCCGAGTTAGCGTTATATGTATTCCGGAATAAGACCAAGATTTCTCTCAACAAAGAAATACACAGAGTAATAATATACACTCCAATTTTTCTAAATTTAAAGTAGAAAATAAATCGACAAATATATTTGGTCCTAATATTTATTATCCTTACAGAGGATATACAAGGAATAGCGAATCAAAATCACTTTACGTATTGTTTGAAAGTCTTATTAATACATAAATGTTTGTATGCCTGTGAATTTATCAGTGCGTAAATGTTGTTTATTATCTTGTTTCAATATAGTTTTATTATGTCTCTGTATATAGTCTTGACGATTTATTCACAAACTTTGTCTTAAGAAAAATAAATTATTATTATATCTCAATGTTCGGCAAATTTGTGCTACATGCTTTTACGAATGCAACTTCGATTACTGTGTTTTTCTTAATAAAACGATAACTTATTTACGTTGATTAGGAGGTTTTTAGAAATAATCAAAGAAGACAACGTTAGTAAGTTTATATGTTTACAATTTGTATGTTATCGCACCATGGACGTTTTCATCGTTTCATACTAAGAATAAACTTTTTTTTTAAATTGGACTAATACATCTTGCAGTTTGAAAAATGAAATCGATATATTTCGTTATCCTAAACCAAATAATGTAAGAAGTACTCATTTATTCAATGAAATTAGATATGAGTCAAGTAGCTTATTATTAGAGATTGTTCAACATACAGAAGATTCATTCTTTATAGTCGAGTACCAAAATTAAGGAAAGCTACGCTACGTATAACTCGCCACTGTTAACGCAGTGCATCTTGAGTATGTAGACAGCATCAGCAGTGGCATAAGTTAGTTTTTTCCATTTTCGAACTTGACTTTAAATGGGGTCCAAACTGATACCCGTAATCAAACTTTGTCTACTCGACATTGGCACTTGATAGATATCTTTACTATTCCAACTTACCTTACAGGTGCATATACCACATTTGCAATTTGTATGTCTTTCCGTACACTCATCTGGTTGTTGGTCTCCTCCATCTGCTTTTCCTTCTCTTCCTATGCAGTCAATGCAAATGCAGGTTTTGCACGTGCAGTTCGCTCCTACCTCAGGCGCTGGTGCTTCCTTCTTCCTTTCTACTTTAACTTTGGTTGGGTCTGTGCACGTGTCACAACTGTATCAATGAAATCAATTTTATACGCTATAATGAATTGAGTGCTGCTATTTTAAATCCACTTCCAGAGAGAGACGGGACCTCGGTTGGCCGCGTGGGTCAGAGTGTCGTGCTACTGATCAGCCGGCCGGCCGGGCCGCGAGTTCGAATCTCGCCTTCGCCATGGATGTTGTGTGTTTGTTTTAGGCAGCAGCGGTGGCCGCAGTAGTAGACTCTTCGGTCTCCTGATCAGTCGCCGTGCGCTGTGCGGGTTCGATTCCCGTCTCAGGAGAAATGTTTCTCTTGGCCATGGATGTTGTGATTGTCCGTAGGTGGTAGAGATGGTCTCTGACTGTCGAACGCGGAGGTACCACCCGGCGGTTCTCGTAGGCGGAGCCAGAATGTGTGCATGTTGCATGCACACGTGTTCCCTCGCCAGAGTCCGTGTGGCGTCCCCCCCTTTCCCATGTATCCCCCATAGCCCCACGGTACCCAATGGGTGCTTAGGCCTTAGGCCTTCGTGGTAGTTGGAGTATAAAAAAAAAAAAAAAAAAAAAAAAAAAAAAAACACTTTTTTTCCCAAAATCTTTTAATTTTTTTCTGACTTTATTTGTAGTGGGATTTCGAAATAAATTGCACATTAAAATTGGCACTTTTCTCCTCTCGAGAAAGTATAATTAGAATTTCAATATGATATTCCGTCTCTAGCCCCCAGCATCAACTTTATTTTGTCCAAAGGACGCCATATTTAATTTTTGTATAGATGAATAGAGTTTTCAATTTTGATTCCAAAAATATATAATATGGTATTCCCAAACCTTGCTTATTTTAAAAAATTTAATTTCCTAGGTAGGCCTTGAAATTATAGCCATTTTTTTGTTATTTATTCCCTGTTTCTTTAAGTTTGATTTTAAAATTAATTTCATATTAGCATTGGTACTCTTTCGCCCTCTACAAGAGGTCGTACTCAAATCCTCAATTAGAGGTTTCTGCTTTGGAACCCCATCCTCAACTTTTTTTTCTTATAGTCTTATAGACTCCCTGTTGAAATTTTGCACAATCGAACACAATTTTTGATTCTACATTTAGTTATGCATTTCAACACGCTATCTTGTAGAGGGGAAAGAGTGGCAACGACAACGTGCAATTTATTTCGAAACTGCATCTTAAATAAAGTTAGGAATAAATAAAAGTGATTGTGATGAATCTGGTTTACGAAACAAATGACTAATTTCAAGGTCTACCTATGTAGATAATTCTGTTTTTTGAGTTGACTAAGGTTTGGCAGTGTCAGTGAATATATACATTATACATTTTCAGAATCGTAATTGAAAACTATTCAGGTCTGCAAAAATCCAATATGACGTCCATAAGAAAAAATAAAGTTGATGCTAGAGGACAATATGCAAAACGTCCTATTGACATTCTGATTATGCCATCTTGTAGAGGAGAAAAAGTGGCAATGATAATCTGCATTTTATTTTTAAATCCCACTACAAATAAAGTCAAGAAAAAACTAGATTTTTGGTAAAACTCTCTCCGAAAGTACTTTTGAAACCTGCTAAGCGGCATTCTGTTGGTTACGAAACTTCGTTCCTATTTAAGTTACTCCCTATCTCTTACTGTTTCCTAGATCCCGATAGACGGATCCACACCAGGCGATCCAACGCGCTCCGCATGGGTATTATGTAAAAAACCTATAAAACGTAAAAAAAAACTATAATATGTCATGCTGCAGACTAGGTTCTTAGGGTGCAAAGAGTCATTCCACGTCTGCTCACTAGGATCATCGTGAGCATCCATCTATGGAGGAATGCCTCAATAACGCATTGTTAGTTGCATATGTTTTGTGAAGCCGAGTAGTCTGTAGTTTTCATCTCTGAAAAGAAATTCGGTTGAATAGCAAGATCTGGATAATATGCTGCCAATGAAGTATATCTATTAGATGTGCCCGACGGGATATTTGTATTTTGTCCATTCTGAAGACAGGTTATGTTAAAAGTTATAAATTATGATTTTTTACGTTTTTTTGTGTTTTCGAACACTTTGAGAATTTCGGGAAATCGCCACGCCCACGTTGTGTGTAATTACAGTAATTATTACTGTTAGTATGTATGAGATTTGTAATTCTACAATGTACAGAGAATATAATTATTTCTTATCTCTCTCATTTTTGAAATTCAGCAAATTTGCATATGTCAAGTAAGTGTATTTAAGACAAGACTCCGATGGAATTATCATTAACACATTAGCACACAAATCCTCACTATGCACCTATGCATTGCCGTTTCCTTCTGTAGTTGAGATCACCGTTCTTAGCGGTTACGTTGTCAACGTCATATGAAATAAGTAAACAGATCGAGTCTCCGTACTCTGGGCGGAACACCGTGCAGACTAATCTTCAGCGCATCTGCTACTCTCTCCAGTAAGCATGAAGTTGGTAAGAGGCGACCGCTGTTTTCATTCTCTTCCTGGAAATACTCAACAAACAAATTTAGCAGGAGCTGTCGTTCTTCTCCATTGATCGAATTTCCGGGCATTGTACAATTTTATATTGAAGATTGATAACAGGGCAACTAGAATTGGCCGCCGATGTCAGGTAAGTTGTCACTCTGACAAATATGACTGAAGGGCAATCATACGTAACGACAAAGTTTTCGAGACGGAGACACACAACTAAAAAACGTATGTATTTGAGCTTGCCGAACAAACGTTCACACACAGGGGTAGGTTGCATATGTATGTATGACAGAGATGGAGATATATAGAGGGATACTGGTGGTCTTACTTTGACCCACCAAGAATGGTGGCTACAGCTATAGCTATAGAATACAATATACAGCTTAGACCTCCTGTAATGCCATCTCTGACGCAGATTTTACATCACATCAGAGCCAAACGTTGATAACTGAATCCTCATGACGTTTAGGCAACACGTACAAGTTCACAACGTGTCCATCAGCTAGTGCTAAGTTGACATTTTGTATATAATGTCACTTTTCAAGATACGTGTGGATCGCGCGAGGCAGGAACGCGCAGGAGCGATTGGTCTAGACTTGCTTCGCGCGATCCGTTAGTGGTCGGTTTTTTGTTTAAGACGGCTCCGACGCAGTGAGTTTCAGGCCATTTACAAGGGTTCAGCTGCTTCCATTTTTCAATATTTTTGAATGAAATTCTTACAGTATGTTGAGAAGATAATTGCCCAGGGTAATATAAGAGCACTTTTTGAAATTTTGATTTTGCACAAGTTTTATGATGGGTTGAAGTGCGCACTTTTTTTGTTCAACTTCGCGATTTTTTTAAAAAGAACCTAGTGAAAAAAATGAAAAAGTGGCTCTGTAGCACCCTGTAGGGTTTTGTTTTCAGCACTCTGTGAAAATTTCATCCAAAAATATCAAAAAATAAGGTGTCAATTTCGAAGCGCGCAAACCTCTACAATCGTATTTTGGACGAATTTTGTCTACTGTTTCGTGCTGCCAACCCAAGCGTTGCGGCGCAATGTACGGACTAAGAAAGGACGTATTCAGATAATTTGATGGCCCTATTTCATATAATATCGCGTAGATAAGTCGTTCTGCAAATAGATACTCATAATCGCGATCGCTGATACTCCTCGATTTTAAAGCCGTTTTGCTTCCCACGTCATTGGCGAGGAAGCACTGTAATCACGAAAAATTTCTAAAATGAGATGTTATGTTTTTTAAGTAAAAACTGTATCACTCATCAACTTTGAAATAACCGCTCGGATTTTTATGAAATTTCCACACGGGGTTACTAGTATGCCGAAGCTTTGTAGTTTTAGTCCAGTGGCAACGGTGCTATAGGTAAAAAAGAAAAAGTAATAATTGCTGGAACTCCGTTTTTGACGTTACCGGGGTTCCTTATCATTGACAGAAAAAAATTGTACTGCTTAAAAATTTGTTGGGTTGGGGGAAAGGTGATTCTAAATGTTGCATCTTTGATATCAGTGAAACACATTCTATTATTAAGAAGCTTCTGATACCAGTGATTACAGGAAATTTAAGTAACGAAAATCCGACGAATAATGTGCTCACGATTTGAAAAAATCGGTACCTGCTCTATAGGTTTGACACCAAGAGCCAACAGATCTATCTGCAATTGCCGACAGTAGGGAAGAATGAATTCGGATATCACTCCAGTCAAGTATAGGGGAATTTAGCGTGGAACTTTAAAATTCTCGATATGTCAAGGAAATATGTTTTTGAGAACGATAATTTGGTAGATTTTATACCTGCATTTTCATTTGAATTTCATGACCCGTGAAATGTATCATTTCGCCGTTACGTTCATTTGTGTTCTGCAGTTTGTGATGTTTTTCTGGATATGAGCAGGACATAATTGCCTAAGGTGCTATCAGAGCGTTTTACAAAATTTTGTCTTTGCGCAAGAATTATGGTGGGTTGAAATGCTTACTATTTGTGCTCAACTTCTTGATATTTTAAAAAGATCCTAGTGGATAAAATCGAAAAAGTGGATCGTTAGCACCCTGTGGACTTTGTTTTTAGCACGCTGCAAGAGTTTCATTTGGAAATAAAAAATGAAACGTAAGCTGTGAAGTGCAAATCGGTTTTTGGGCGAAATTCGTCGACTGTTTCGTCCTGACAGTCCAAGCGACGCGACGGTGCGTTCCGACTAAGAAAAAATGTATTCAAATAATTTGATATCTTTCCTAAAATAAATTCAAGATCTCAAATTACAATTCGTTTATTCATGTCAGTAAACACAATTATGTTTACAAGGGTCATGTGGTACATGGTAACAATTGAATGAGAGTCATAAAAATATCTTATGCCGTCAAAATAAGAGGAAACAGTTAGGTAGTTTTTGCAAAGCAATAAACAGGTAGGCTTATACCTGGATTAAGTACATTTCTTGTCTACTGTAATAGGTAGATGGAGGCGATGCTGCCAGAAATGGATGTGTGCGATCAATAAACAAACCACAAGACTGAACTGCGGTGTCCAATGATTTTTGAATTGCCTTTTTTATGACGTTACTAGAAAACTCTGTTGGGTATATGATGGAGTTTACTAGAACTTTACAGTTTGTTGTCTGCCTTCTTCTACAAACTTCACCAAATCTAGACGCTGTCAACCTTATCTTGCGATGAAGGCGCGACAAAGTACAGTCCTGTGATTTGGTGACTTGTTCGATCTGCAAAATCTCGTCGTCACTTTTTTTAAGTTTTCTTAGAAATTTTCGCTTAGCAACCTCCAAATCAATGTAGTTAATGTCAGGTTTTTGATTGAATTCTCCATAAAACTATTAATTTTCTTTGGAATTGCTATCCGAATTATTAGTTATTTTTATATCAGCTTTTTTTGGTCTGAGTTTCTTTTCAAGATTCTTGCGTTTAAGTCTTTGTTCCATCTTAGCGATAAGCGAGGTTGGATTAAGCTTAGAACGCAACTGTATTTAGACCACATATACAGGCCGCTGGGTATTGTGGCTCACTACAGCTGCAGCACATCTTCCATGGTATGACCTCTTCTTGCAATAATTTATTCGCTTACCCCAATGTATTTTGCGGTTATAGAGTTGAACTGCTCAACATTATATTGTTGTCCTCATCATGAATTAAACTAACTGCATTCGGAATTAAAATGGTCGCATATGACCCTTTATTGCCCATTATCAGCCTTGAAAAAAAAATGCACTCAAGAACAATCACACCAACAACAATTCAACAACACAATATCGACGAACAGTAACAAGGGGAGAAAAATACTAAATGATCACTTGCCGAGTACCAAAATGAGAAACGATTTACATTCTAGATCGCTAATCGAAATCCGACTCTGTTCTTATAAAAATTTACCTTGGTATGCACCCGCAGTCATCCTTTCCTCTTTTAAAGCAGCGCCGACGACCGTGTAGTCCCAGCCCACTCTCGTTTCCTTTTCACCCCCCGTTACCTCAGCAGATGGTGCTCGTGATTGTAATAGCCCCGTTAAGCACCAATGTGCCTCAGTCTTTTAGTGCGCATGGCGTGGACTGGCAGCGCGCGTCAAGCGCATGGTTTGTTATTAACAAACGATATGGAATTTTTTTACAAAATCCTTCAATACGCCGATGATTGCCTCACAAACCTCGGCAAGTATCTTTGATATTGGTTGTTTGGATACACGAAAAGGATACTGCAAACTAACGTACGCGTTTCCAGTTATCTTGCTTTCTTATTTTGTCATTCAATAGCGAACACAACTCAAATTCGTTTGCATCGATCTGAGCAAAATTAGCTTCAACTCTATCATTAACTAGCACGTTGTTGCTGCACGTTTGACTCCGTAGCGAGTTCAACTGTAGGCGGATCAGTGTGGATCGGCTAGAGCGTATTGGAGGAGCGCGGCAGAATCGCGAGAAAATTCAAACAGTCATACAAGTGCGATCCATGATCCATGCTCCCGGATCGCGGAACGCAGGATCGGCGATCCAAAGCTGGATCGTCTGGTGTGGATTCGGTTAATGGTGAGCGTCGAATTTGAAACACCCGGTATGATGCCAAAAAAACTTTGCACTAGGTTGCCGCTAGTGTCCGTCTACTACAAGTGAGCATGAAGTGAGTGTCAGCTAGTTCAAAGGTGACATTTTATTGAAATGCCTACATAATGCCTAAAAGTAGGAACATGTAGTCATTTAATATGGGTGTTGGGCAGATTGTGTCCGATGACATTTGAATGTAAACCATGGTTTATGGAATAGCTCAAGCTCTACTTATTAGGCTCGTACACTTACTGGCACGCAAGACAATGACAACTCCTATTAATCAGCTGCGCTGGCGGCGCATCCCCTTTCTCGTCCTCCCCAGCGCCACCTTCTCCCCCAGCCATGGCGCACTCCGGACATAGACATTCCGGGCACTGACAGTTGCCTTCGTGCACTAGTGTCTGGCACTGCTCGCACTTGCATTCGGTGCACGTGCAACCTGCCGGGTGCTCTTCTATCACTGGTTCGCACTTGCACTCTTCGCACGTGCAGCCTTCGGGATGGGTGGGCACGTTATCGGTAGGGCCGACGCCTGTTTCGGTCGCACCGGGGCACGTGCATACCTGCGGAAAAATGAAAATTTCAAAACATGCTTAAAACCAAAGCCTTTCGGATTCTATTCGGACGTTTTGGTCAGCTACGGTGTCCGGCATGGCTATTATGTAGAAAACCTACAAAATCGTCAAAAAAAAGACGAAATGTCATCTTCCAGACCAGGTAGTATTTAGTTTGCTTAAGATATTAGCATGATTGCTACAATGCTACAATTACATTCTTCTAAAAAACTAAACAATTACATAACATACAGATATTTAGAAAAAAAACTAAATTTGCATCTCTTAGGCCCGTATCGTCAGTCGTCCGCGTTTATGGCCTCCTTGATTGACATTCTCCTTTCTCTCCTTCAAAAATTTCTAGATTACACTTGTCCCGTGTCAGCGTCTGCGCTCTCCTATTGTGAAGATATGTTTTCTTTTTAAATTGTAGGAAATTTCAGGCTGATAAAACATGATATAACTCAAAAGCAAGCACAATTTGATGCAAATAGATGTTTGTGACATAACCTCAAAATAGAGTTCTGACACAGAGAAGCAGAAAACTATGACAATCAAGGAGGAAATAAAGGCGCCCTACAATTGTAGGGATGACTGACGATATGGGCCTAAGAATTTCCACTGTCCATGAAATATTCCTTTGATTTTCTTTAAAAAATTTTTAAATTACAAGTAGACTATATCGTTATTTACTTTATTAAATTCAAGTAATCCTTTCTGAAATATTGATTTGCTAGTTATATTACCATCGCAATTTTGTAAATCAAAATCTATATTTTCTCTTGTATAATAATTGTGAAAATGATAATTCAATTCATTGTAGTGTTCAAAATTTTTTTGCAAAAAATGGTTTTTTATTTTAAATATAAAAATAAGAGCCAAATATGATATGAAATTTTTTATATTCAACCACTGCAATTCTTTTAACATAGATTTTATTTTGGTGTACTTATTTTTATTCACTATCTCATAGCTTTATTTTGCAGGACTTGTAATTTTGAGAATACAGCTTTATTGGCAGTGAACAAGATAGTTGAACAATACAGTAAATGTGGTAGAATAATTGTATTATCGATTATTTTCTTGGAATATGTACCAAGACTATGAGAAGCCTTATAAAAGTAATTTGTATTTTTGACAATTTTTGAAATAATGTAGTGATTCTCAAACTTTAGGTTACTATCAATGTATATACCTAAATTGGTTCAACATTTTCCACTATTTCACCGTTTATCCTAACTGTGATAGTAATTCGCTTAGCTTACATTTTGTTTTAGAAGTATTCAATTTTAATTTATTTACATTCAACCAATTTATTATTTTTGCCAAGTCAGAATTTAGCATTTTTAAAGCAATGTCTATATTTTCATTTGACATGTATATTAATGTATCATCTGCAAATACCTGAATTTTATAATAGTCGAAAATATTACAAATGTCATTAATGTATAAAATAAATAGTACTGGACCTAGTTTACTACCTTGTGGTATACACCGGAAATATTTTTTTTAGTATGCAAATGGTTCATTCAACTTTTGCTCGCTATGATCGTTGTTCGCTGAAGTTTAAGCAACACGTACAGCTATAAAACGAGTTCACAACAAGTGTACAACAGCTTTTGCTAGTTTATCATCTTGTAGAAAACCGACGAGATGTCAAAAAAACCTACGAAATGTCAACAAAAACCGACGAAATGTCACTTTTAGGATAGGTCAGCCCGTGCCGTTATGAACTGTACCAAACGCGCTGTATGAGGTTTGAAAAATGCCGCCAATTTCCCGTAGAATGACTATTACCAACTATCCTATCATAACTGTGTGTAACGGGGTATTATTGTAATCGCAAAAATTTTGTAAAATAAAATATGTTTTTCAGATGTTATATGCCATGTACATTGCAAAAAGCCATGTCAGTCATTTCAGTCGGTCTCTCCGCTAATCCAATAACCGCCTATAACTTGAGAAGTACCGCTCAGATTGTGATTTCTGCACAATATTACATTATGCCAAGGATGCAAAAGATTTATAGTTTTTTAAAATCGGTCCAGTGGCTGCAGAGAAAAAGACCTAAAACGAGAAAAGTAAAGATTGTTTCAGAGGATCCTGATCATTTTTGAAAAACACACACACATTACCGGTTTCTCTGAATATTAGGCTTTAACAGTTATAAAAATATTCTTGGCCAACGGATCGTGTACCCAGCAGCCCGTGCTGCGAAGTGTTCTCTTGTTTTGGTATGGCATGACCTGAATTTATGCCGCGACACAGCATAATATGCTTTCGATGCTCTGACCGCGCTGCGACATCTGACCGATTTAAGTATTCAGATGCAAGTATTGGTAACGCAGGAAGATAATGTCTATAGACTGATATTGTATCGACCATCTTCTCAGGGGTCTAGTCTGTGCTGAACCTAATCCTTCATAACGGCATTGCGAACGCAGTGCAGTCAACCTACTTGACGACATTTTTTTGTTTGTTGTATATAATTATTATTTTTCCACATCTATGAATCAATTTTCTGTAACTCTACATTCAGGTCCATTACAAATAACATCGCTATGCAGTTTGAGTATTCATAAAGTGATTTTTTAATTTCACCACAAACAGTTTTAAATTCCGACACTGTTCAATATCATTATAGAACTTATGAAATTCAAATATTCCTTTTTGAAATACAGATTTGCTAGCTATGCTATTACAATTTTACAGATAAAAATCTGTACTACCTCTAGTTTCATAGTTATTATAATGTCTGTTTAATTTTGTGAGGTTTTCTAAATGTGGTGGTAATCAATGATTTTTGAATCTGAATATGAAAATGAGATCTAAATAACATATACTTTTTTTACATCCAACCACTGTAGTTCTAAAATGAACTTAATATTAGCGTATTTGTTTTTATCTAAAATGATTTTCATAGCTTCATTCTGTAGAATTTGTAACTACGAAGATATGTTTTCATTTGATGTGAATAAAATAGTTGGATATTATAAAAACTATGAAATTATGATGTTATAGGTACACAAGTTTTTGGAATAAACTGAGTGAGAAGTAATTTACCTTTTTCGGTATTTTTGAAATAATGTATTCATAGTCGTCTTGAAACAGTAGTTTACTATCCACATATTTACACAGATATTTGAATAATTCGATATCAAATTTTTCTATCAATAATCGTGAACCTGATTAAATTGTCTCCTATTGACATACATTTCCATTTATTAGTGTTTAATTTGAGTTTATTTACATTGAACCATTTCATTTCATAATTTTTAAAATATCACTAGTTAACAGTTCTAAAGTAGTGACCAATTTTTGTAATGTATCGTCCGTAAATATTCGAATTCTGCAGTGCTCTAAATTGTCAAAGATATCATTTATACTAACTGACCTAATTCACTCCCCTGTGGCTACCTTACTGAAATATATATATATATATATATATATATATATATATATATACATATATATAATCGACCTACGAACGAACAACGCTTGCAAATTATTAAATTTTACTATCAAAATGCACTGCATTGAGCACTGCTTCCAATTTATGGGCAATTCGGTCGGCCTACTGAGGGAGCTATTCGAAAGCTTGTGACTAAATTTCGAACCCAGTTTACATTATTGGACATTAAACCACCAACACGCAGACGTAGAGTGAGGACTGAAGAAAATATTGCGGCTGTATCCGCCAGTGTTAGTGATGACCGTGAAATGTCGATTCGCCGCCGTTCGCAGCAATTGGGCCTCTGTTACTCCACTACGTGGAAAATTTTGCGACAGGATTTGGGTGTCAAACCTTATAAGATACAGCTGGTGCAAGAATTGAAGCCACACGACCTCCCACAACGTTTTCAATTTGGTAATGGGCGCTGGCAAAGTTGGAGGAAGATCCACATTGTTATCGAAAAATTGTATTCAGCGACGAAGCTCATTTCTGGTCGAATGGGTACGTACGTTAACAAGCAAAATTGCTGCATCTGGACTGAAGACCAGCCAGAGGCATTACAAGAGCTACCAATGCATCCCGAAAAAATCACTGGTGTGGATTATGGGCCGGTGGCATCATCGGGTCGTACTTCTTCAAAGACGACAATGGCCGGAACATAACTGCGAATGGCGAGCGCTACCGTGCGATGATAACAAACTTTTTTTTGCCCAAAATGGAAGAGCTGGACTTGACTGACATGTGGTTTCAACAAGACGGAGCCACATGCCACACCGCACACGAAACAATGGCCCTATTGAGAGGCGAGTTCGGTGAACAATTTATCTCACGTTTGGGGCCCGTCAATTGGCCGCCTAGATCGTGTGATTTAACGCCGTTGGACTATATCTTATGGGGCCCTGTTAAGGCTAATGTCTACAGGGATAAACCAGCAACGATTGACGCACTGGAAGCCAATATTGAAGCATTTATTCGTGAGATACCGGCCGATATGTTGGAGAGAGTGTGCCAAAATTGGACCTTGTGCATGGGCCATCTAAAGCGGAGCCGCGGCCAACATTTACATGAAATAATCTTTAAACATTAAATTATATCGACCGTTCTATCGACTCAAATAAAGATTTAATCGTTTTTTCAAATTTTTTGTGTTTTTTTTATGAAAATCAAATCCTATACCTCATAAAAAATCACCCGTTATATTGAACTCTTGACATAATATTATATTTCCAATTTGGGTATTTTTTACTTCTATATACTAAATAATTTTGTAAAATGTTTAATACTGGTCCTTTGAAATCGTAATGATGCAATTTTATTACCAATTTTCCCTATCTAGTCTCAAATGCCCTTTTAAAATCTAAAAATACTTTAAGAATGAAGGCTAATTCTAATGTAATTTAGGTTTTTCGGGCTGTTGTGCCGTGGTCGGGTCGGATTTGGTCCATAGCTTTCGGCTACATCTGCGGCAGCCATCTACACTGGCGCGGTCGGTGAGAGCGAAGTGCTCGGTTTGACGGGTCGACTTAAACTGATCGGTTAACTGGATGAGCGTGCGGTTTTATAGGCGATCGGCGGACTGTAAACTGAGTTGTCTGGTGGGGGTTCTCTGGGTCTGTTGAGTGACGTGGCTTTTGCGCTGTTTTTTATAATTGGGAACCACGTTTTGTTTAAAGCAAGTCCTTCTTCTTTTCTATTGAAATTATCATTGTGTTTATAGATTTCAAATTGCTTCTCTGTACATTCGGGCTGAGTACTGGTGGATGTTGATAGGACTTCAGTTTGGTCGAACAGAACATTGGGGCCGTCTTGGAGTGCGTGTTCGGCCACCGTTGATTTATCAGGTTGTCCCAGTCGACAGTTTCTTTCATGCTTCTTGGTGCGTGTTTGGAAACTACGTTTAGTGGTGCCTACGTATACTTTACCACAGGAACACGGTATTCTGGATACGCCGGCACCACTCAGGGGTCCCTAGGGTCTAGGGTCCTTTACCGATGTTAGGAGTTGCTAGGTTTTATTTGTCGGCTTGTAGATGGTCTTCACGTTGTGTTTCTGCAGCAACCTGCTTATTCTATCCGTGATGTATGGTAAGAAGGAGACTCCCGCAGGTGGTGCCTTGTCTCCTGCCGGCGGTCTGCCCTTTTTGACGTGAAACCTGTTCTATTTGTTCCCTGCGAGAGCCATTTGCTTGTAAAAACATGTTAACATGATCCAGTTCCGCCTGCAGGTATTGAGGTTTACAAGTTCGATGTGCCCTGGCTATCATAGTTTTAATGACACCTCTTTTTTGCCCAGGATGATTGTTGGCGTCCTTGTGTAGATATCTGTCAGTGTTTGTTGTTTTGCGGTAAACCCTGTGACCAGCTTTAAGTTCTCTCGTCTGACCACCAGTACGTCTAGGAAGGCCAGTTCATTCTCCTCTTCTATCTCCATTGTGAATTTGATTTTGGGGTGAATGCTGTTCAGGTGATTTAGGAACACTGCTAGTTGTTCTTCCGTGGCGCCATACCACGAAGGTATCAACCACATACCGTAGCCAACAACTGGGACGATTGGGAGCGGTGTTCAGTGCTGTTTCCTCGAACTTTTCCATGTAGAAATTGGCTATTACCGGACTTCCCATTGCGACGCCGTCAGTTTGTTCATAAAATTGATTGTTCCACTAGAAATATGTAGTTGTTAGAGTGTGTCGAAACAAGGTCAGGATATCCTCTGGAAAAACTTGCTTCAGATAATCCACTGATAGGTCTAGTAGGACATTTGTGAAAAGTGACACTACATCAAAACTGATCAAAGTTTTAAGCTTTGACATTAAGAATGTTTTCGTCCGACAATAAAGCATTTTCATGTATCTATTTTTCCGCTTCATGCACGACATTTGTGACACCGTGTATCAATAGTAGCTTTATTAAAATTTGTATAAACATTTCGACCTACCGAACAAGTACACCCCTCCATGTGAGGTACGCTAGTGGTAGTATCAATCTTTCCTGGACACGCGCAAGTTTCGCACGTACATCCCTGCATGTGCTGCGAGGAGGTGGTATCATCGCTAGGGCACTTGCATTCTTCGCACGTGCACTCGTCCACGTGGCCGAAGCTGTCGATGGTCTGTAGAATCTCCTCCATGCACAGACACTCGGGGCAGTCGCAGTTCTCTGGATGCGGTACTTTCGACATCACAGCCGTCATCTTTTCTTCGGTGGCGCAGTCGCAGGTTTCGCACGTGCATCCTTCGGCGGTAGAGGGTATCGCCTTACTAGAATGGAATACCCAAAAGTCAAAAAATGGAGCAATGGAAATGGATAAAATTTATCATGTATTTGAAAGTGGATACTTGGAATAAATAGTTGGTGGCCATTAAAACAATACCTTGTTTAAACTACATCCGTTATGACAGATCATCAAACTTTCAAACTTGAATTTTGTGGCAAGTAATATGTGATTACTTCTTTGTGGTTAAATCTGTGACGTTTTACATTACCTATCGGGTTTTCAGAAATCGAAGTCAAGATATTTCATTCGATATACAGGGTGTTTATTTGAAAACTTCTTACCACGGATCTATCGAAAACCACTGGTTAAAAAATGAATCGCGCAGACACGTCAAAAGATTTGTCAAGGCGGACAATTTTTTAACCAAAAACTACTTCACCCGCTTTCACCCTCGCCCCACTCAAGGTCATTCCCTCAAATATTTTGAATGACAAGGTGTATCGAGTAATAGCTTGATTGGAAGGTCTTTCGAAATCCTTTATTTTGAGGTTTGATTTAAGTAAAATAAAGGTGATCGAAAGACTTTTTGAACAAGTTACTCCTCGATACCCCTTGTCATTCAAAATTTTTAAGGGGATGACCTTGGGGGGCGAAGAGTGAAAGTTGGTGAAGTAGTTTTTGGTTAAAAAGTTGTCCCCCTTGACAAATGTTTTGACGTGTTTCGGTGTTTTTTCTTTTAATCAGTGGTTTTCGATAAATCGGTGGTGGAAAGTTTTCAAATGAACACACTGTATAATAAACATGTTTCCTAATTTTGTTGTATTCATGCACACCGTGGCTTGATCATATCAATACTTTTCTGTCACGTTTCTGCTATTATTAATTAGCAGGGCTTTTAACAAGGTTCTGTCTTTTGACCCATTGAGGTTAATTATGTCTAAGAATGGTCGAATGTTTATTATTATAATACCAACTTACTTCAAGGATCCGATGCCATATTGTATACGCCATATTGAATTTCTGTTTTTTTTTAAATCAGGTACCTGAAAAACCCTTTTGTACTAAATTTTGTGAGGATGCTACAGAAGTTGTACTTATTGTCAGCCTTTTGGGTGTTCTAGACCACTGTTCGTCGGTGTCCTATCACCTTACGACAGTTATCGACATCAGGGGTTCTTTCCAACAAGGAATTCCTAACAATCAGAGGTTGTCAAATGTATTTCTGACTGTAGTCATTTCAACAAAATCATGATATGATGTTGCCTAGTTATCCGATGTTCCACTGTAAGTGACTGTGCTAGTCCATCAGAAATTCATTCTTGGAAAGAACCAATCGTCGACAGCTGCGGTACCCCAGGAGATTTTACGAGATCCCGCAATGGAAAGCGTCGGCATGTTAGAGCAATCCCTGCTGCCAGCATATAGTTATTGTCTAATTTGGTGCGCTATTTCGGAATACTAAAGGGTGCTTTCGGAATCGCGGAAGAACTTGGTCATGAATGTACGCTGTAAGGAGATAAATCCTTTTCGATACTTTCCCCAGGCGTTTTTCGTTGTCCGCTAACTTTAAACGGCGATTACACAAAATAAATGGTCAGTAACAAAGAGAATAGCAGTCGTAGTTAAATCTTGATGTGAAAACATTTATTGAATCGCTAGATTGGGCTATATTGATGTTGTATACATTCGCCCAGTGGTCACACAGTATGCCAGGGAGCTACAGTGTTCCAGACTAGGATCTTTTGAAACGTCAAAAAATGGCGTCAAGTGGTTTCACTCGTCACTTCCCACGCAACGCCATTATTGGTACATAAAGGAATATTCGCATCACAAACTAGACCCGCTGAGAAAAACGTCAGTCCAACAAGTCCATAAACATTCTTTCCCTGCCCTACTGGCAGTGCATCTGGAAACGTTGGCTCTCCCCGATACCTATCTCGGGCAGACGTGGCACAGACAACACGTGCTGTTGCTCGGCAAAGGCATATGTGATTCCATAGAAAAGTCATCACGGTCGGCGTACGACGCCTGCAACAGCCTTCTTCCGAGAATAGTTTTCAGGGCTACAATGTACAGAGAAATCTATGATGTGTGAAATACGTGCGCAGCATTACCAATGTGTACCAGCATTAAAAGATGGAGATAAACCTTCCCCACCTCCTTACAACCGCCACCCTCAAGTTTGTTTACGTCTGATTTTTTATGAAAAAATTATCAGGATCCTCTAAAATGTCAAAAAACGAAGTTTAAGCGATTTTTTTTCGTTTTAAGCCTTTCTCTCTGCCGCCACTGGACCGATTTTCAAAAACTGCAAGGCTTTACGTTCTTGGCACAGTAATAACATTGTGTCAAAATTCCGTGAAAATCCGAGCGGCACTTATGTAGGCGTGAGGAGTAAATCAAACCTTGAATGATTGCAATTTTTCCGTTTTTAGCCTTCTTTTGTGCCGCCACTGGACCGATTTTCAGAAACTACAAAGCAGTTTCGATCTTGGCATATTAACCTTACCTGAAAATTCCATCCAACTCCGAGTTGTACCTCCCAAGTTATAGGAGGTCCATGGATTAGCGGACAGACAGAGTGACAAACAGATAGAACGACGGTAATGAGTGACATGATTTTTCGTGATTTATATGTCATATACCTGTAATATCTAAAAAGCATAATACTTCATTTTCGAAGTAGGCAGTAAAAATATAATCACTACTTGCTCATGTTTAACTGTATACAAAATTATATTCAGAAAATCATTTGCACGTACAGTTGCCGCTAACCTGTCAGTGATCGTGTCCAGGATTCCGCCACACAAATTACGTTCATTCTGCTACGCCATATGGACAGTGTTCACAAGGCCGGATCCCAGACACTGTCACCGACAAGTCACCGACCATTGTAGGAACAAACCGTTTGTTATTGAGCATATCGATGCATTTTTGCCAAAGTAACGTAAGTGACATGTTTTTCCATTAACGTAAGGCTTTTATTATTGAGAAGGTACTGCCAAAGTGTAGGAAGCCTAGATTTTACTTTAAACCTTTGTTTTTAACTTTTTTTGAAAACGTATGTCCAGAATTTTTGAAATCATATCTGTAAAAGAAAGTAACGTTAACACTACTTCCATCATAGTAATGCAAGCTAACGTTTTTTACCGCCATAATAACGTTAAGTCCCGGTCGGTTTCTGCGACTTATGTCAGATTTTGGCAGTCAGTGTTTGGCTTACGACAGTGTTAGGTTCGTGCTACCATCGACTAATTATTGATTTTAGGTAGGTAAATAATAACGCCTTTTTTTATAGTTAGAATTCAAAAATATTACCATCATAACTAATATTATGTAGGTACATACCTATATAACTCCATTTCATATTTAATTTCGTTCATTTGTTACAAATGATTGTGTGATAACCTCAAAGTCTGTGAGAAATTTGCAGGAATAAATCGGTTAAAGTTAAAAAAACATTTTTTTTGTAGTTCGAGTTTAAAAATATTAAAACCTTAGAAGTTATTCTGTCATAACCTCGAAGCCTGTGAGAAATTTACAGGAATGAATCGGTTGAAGTTAGAGAAAGACTGTTGTATTTGTTTCTATTCTATTTTTTATGGAAGCTATGAAACATTGTAAACATAAATGCTCGGTTACTTTCAGATTATGCCTATGGTCAGTTCACGAACAAAAAGGATTTTGGCGGCTCTTAGCAAAAATGATGAATCGAATAATGTTTATTCTGAGGAAGAAATCGGGTCTATGCCGATATCCATTATTTCAAGTGACAATATTTTTGATCTAGATAATTCCGAAAATATTTTAATAACTACTTTAGTGAATGAAGACGTAATCGAAATAGATCATTCAATTTTATTGTCTTCTAACAATTCGAGTGCTTATGAAAATGATGGTAACCATACTATGCAAGAAGAAATAAATGTACCAAATGGGACAGTGGGAGTTCAATTTGAACAGGAATGCGATGTACAAGAATATTTTCAGCCGTTAGTTGATTATGTTAACAATAACGATTTAGAGTTGAACCCTGAAACAAAAACCTGTAATGTGTTTCCAAAACTCGTAGATAATACAAGCTAGGGGAAGATCAGCTGGTCCTTACAAAAACCGGACTAAACATGAATAGTGTAAGATAAGCTTTTTTCCAAAAAGAATAATCGGAAGTCGCGGTCAAATATAACTATGGCAGCAGTCCTGAGTACGACTTGTGCTTTAAGTTAAACTACAATAAGGGTGGTAAGTTGGTCCATTTTACACATTACAGAGAACCTTTTACAATGAGTAAGCTTTTGCTTTTATACAGGGTGTCACTAAATCAGTATTCAAAACTTCAACCACAAACAGAACTTATGTATATAAAAAATTTCTCATAAACATGGGTCCGGAAATGTTTAATTTCCGAGATACATTGTGTTGAAATGACATCAAATAATCAATTTTTTTCTTTTAATTCAGATAAGTATTTTCGAATTTTTTTTCTGTAAATATTCTTAATGCCATTAGCAATCAGCAATCAGCATATCCTACTATTTTTTAGACAAAAACTTGTAGTTAAGACAAATCATATTTTTCATTCAATATTACTTAGTACTAATATGGTTTTTGTATTTTTTAAACAAAGAAACGGTTCATTTTTCCAAAAGTTTGAAACAGTACTTTTTTTTCTAAATAAAGTGAGCAATAATAATGAATTAATAAAATTATAAAAAAAGCATTGGCGAAAGAATTAGGCTATTTTACTTTTCAACGTATTAAGTAACTACGCCACAGATTTTTTTCTTCTCATAATGGGTACCACCGAAATAAGAGAAACGACAAAGTTTAAAAATTTTCGAAAACATTTTGTCTGAATTATATGAAAAGAACTGATTTTGTAACTTATTTTCAACACAATGTATCTCGGAAATGAAACATTTCCGGACCCATCGCAAATTTTTCATCTATATGTTTTTTAATGTTCTGTTTGTGGTTGAAGTTTTGAATACTAATTTAGTGACACCCTGTATAGGGAATTCCCGTGTTATTAAGACCTTATTAAATACAGAAAACTGTTGATGAACAACAAATATAAAAAATGAATACATATTTGCAAGTTATCCTGAAGTATTTCTTTGTTTAAGGTTGAAAGCGGCAAGAAAAGGCAGTTTCTGAACCTAAAAAAATTTATAAACAACTGCTTCCAATATCTGAAATGAAGAAAAGGGATTTGGAAAAACTTTGCAAAAACAATGTCATACCTGCCAGGTTTCACGATGAATTCTTTAAATCAAAATGTAAGTCTTCTCTTCCAGATGGGTTAGCAGAAACTGATGCAGATGATGACAATGAAGATGAAAGCTCCGAAACTTAAAAAAATATATATTTTTTACTAGTAAGAATTTCATATTTTCTTTTGTAACGTTATTTTGTGTTTTTTTTAATAATAAACGAGAGTTTTTAATTCTTTCCAAAATACTTTAAGTGTTACAATTTGCCGCCAAACTGACGTATCTGTGTACTTACGTTACATTTTTGATCAAAACTTCGAGATTTCTGAACCCGTAAAGTAACTAAGTATCAATTAACCACTAAAACTATAGAAAAACTTCAAAAATCATTTTTCTTAATTAAATTTAGACCTCAGAGAAACACCCTGGTAAATTTTGCACAATTTAAAAAAGTTTAACCAAGTTAAATTGAAAACACGTTTTTTCTCCGAAATCGTTTTTGGTGTCTTACGTTACTTTGGCAAATACGTATCGATATAACTCAACAAAACCTCAAACGAGGATATCCTTTTAATTTGCAGTTTATATTCTGGAAATCCGAGGAAAATTGCTAAATAGCATTATGCTTTTCTCTCAAAGCTTTTAGGCCATTCGTTATTTGACTGGACCATATACGTACATTTTGGTGGGGTCCGCACATGGCAAACACTCGCACGTCGGACAATCGCAAGGCGGTAACTTTCCTGGCCTACTGTCACCAACTTTTCGTCTCTTCGGATCGCTGCATGGCGAACAGTCGCAAGGGTCGCAGTCGCACTTGGCTTCCTTGGGAGCGCTCCGGTCACCGCCTCCTGGGCAGATGCAGGTGTCGCAATTGCAGTCGGATGGTTTCTTATTGGGTCCTTTTGGACATCGACATATGTCGCAGTCGCAATCTTCCGGGTGACCTGCAATTGGAGGTGGAGGCGAAAATGGATTCTGGGGTACCTACTGACTTTGTACTGAAGAAGATAAAGAGATTGATGCGACTTTTGAACTAGGAGATATAGAACTGGTGAAAGCTTCTTCTCTATTGCTTCACCCTAACGTATTTTAGAAGCTGACCGACTTCGAGAGAATCTGTTGAGGGAATGTTATATACCACATATATTTCTGACCTGCATTTAGGGCGGACAGTGGAGTCATTGCTTTTACCCGGCTGCCTCAGAACGAGGGATATGTTTTTCACGCGTGGGTATACATACATCTGTACAAACAATTCTACTTTATGGGCTACCAGTCAAACGGGTAGATGGATTTTGACATGTCAGGTGTTGTTGGATTCATTAGTCCGAGTGATACTGGCTGTATAAAATTTTCATAAAAAATAGCGGAAAAAACTCTTATTTTACAGATGAATGATAATTATACTAAAGCGTCCTTATTAGTCGTAGTTTGGCATAAGCTATTTTACTACTTAATCCGGACTACAGCTTAACGGCATGATGAATTTTGACATCGGATGCGTCTCTACATTTGTCTTGACAAAGCAAATGACGCCGAATATATTAAAATTGATATAATCAAAATTGCGAATTTCAATAAAAAGGGAAATTCCTATCCTCCGGGCTACATCTTAAATGACTTGATGGATTTTGACATAAGAGGTGAGGACTTACTACAGTATTTTTTGAAATGTACTAGTTCAGACATATAGACAGTATTCTGTGCTAGATGGTGGTCGTAATTGATATCTCTACATAAGCCTTTTATGCCTTGGGTGATTTGGTCAGGCTTGACCATTGCTCCAAATCGGATGTACATTTGGGTGCCTCTCATCTCCGAATGGAACACCATGTATTCGATAGTCAAATGCTGCGCAGCAGGATGTAGCTTACCTGGTTTTGGTTTCTTTTTAGGTTTCAGTGGTGACTCTGGGCACTCGCACGTATCACAACCGCAGTCACTTGGATATCCGGGTTTTGGAAGAAATCCTCCTACCCTCTCGAGGGCTTTCTTATACTTATCTACACTACAATCCTCACAAGTGCACGGTCCCTTACAACAGCAACCTATAATCACAAAATTATTCTTATTCAGTGAAATGACAAACAAATATTTACTCATAAAAGAATTACTCATTAATTTACTCCCTCTCTTGACTTAACGTCTACAAGTATTGAATTACAGCAACTTCATATTAATATTAAGTTGGAAAGGCCAAGATGTATTTCAAGACGTTTTCTCTTGAAGCCGGATACACATTTTGGATTTGTGACCAGAATGATGTCAAGCTACACTCATTATATTTACTTTTTGAAAATCCATCAGAAGCCAACTTCAACAATTGTTCTTCTTCGGCATGAGACTTGTCTCTTATCCATTTAATATTTTTGTTTTAGTCCTATCTTCTCGCGTAAGCCCTACAAGCCCTTCGCGTAATACTAGAGGTACGCATACCACACCTTGGGTAATACTGATCTAGATTATTAAATGAACTGATGTCAGATTGAGTTATGAGACAGATCGGTCCTGATCATCGAGCATATGCAAAGGAGATGGTCACCTTTTTCGTTCTTCCCCACTGGTCTCTTCGCCTTATCAAAACAGACTGCACACTCGCACTCAGGGCAGTCGCACTGATCCTTGTGCGTGAAGGAAGGTGCTAGCGCTGCCCCTTCTCCTGTTGGAACCTCTTTTTGTTTGTCGTCTTCGCACTTGCAAACTTCGCACGTGCACCCCGTAGGGGTTGCAACTCTCGGGGGACTGGTGGCCGGGTTCGTTGATATGGGGATGCGGGAACGTTGGGAGAGGATCTTGCGAGCGTTTTGGGCGTTCGGGCAGACGCACTTCACCTTGAAGGTTGAAAATATGAAATATTTTATCTTGATGACGTAGGTTAGATAGCAGACGTCCCTCTACAGCCACAAATAGTCAAACTTGTAAATTCGAATGCCGCTAATACCGGATTTCACAATTCACTAATCATGCAAGGGTATTTGTCATAATAAAACTTGAATTCAAGCAGTTCACGATGCAACTAGGAATGTTTTGATCATGTCAAATGGAGGCATATTTTTAGCCTGGGCTAGATTAGTTCTACCAGAGCCAACAAGTTGATGATATTGCGGACGTGTCGTTTGTTGTTTGCGGTTTTATTTGTTTCAAAAACCGAATAGTGGAGTGAACATTTCTGGGAACTCTGTGCTACTTCCAAAATATCTATCACCTTAAATTTTTTTTTGTTATATAAAGGAGGTTGAAAAGTTTTTGAGCAAAGTTAGATCGTATTGTTGCTCCATTGCTGCCATTTTGTTGGATCCCATGGGTCATAGCGCTCAATGTGGATTATTTTAATGACTCACCGCAAACAGAGCAATAATTTCTGTTTCAATAGCTTGATTTTATGTTTGTCATACAAGGATATTTTCCTTTGGTGGTATATCAATTTGTTTACAATTTGTAATTGATGTGAATAATTCATTATTATTATTATTATGGAACTTCAAAATAAAGCACTTTTCAAGTACTACGACTGATTTCATTCCTATTAAAATTCAATATAGTCAACGCCAAACAAAGTGGCGTGCACGTCATCACGATAAAAATTCCCCGACCTAATGCCTAGGTTTCTATCACAAACAATTGCTCTATTGCAGTTTCATATTAATGTGATATATAAATTGTAAAATGGTCATTACTCTCTTATTATGGTTAATAGTCATATAAACATTGTTTATCGACATGTAAACGCACTAAACCGATTTCGCAGCGTTGACACATTGTCACCTTGAAACTTATTTAAACTGGGAACTGACATTTGTATTAATTTTGACACTGAATCAATTTGTGGCATTTCAAATCTTTATAAATCCTTTGGCCCCGCATACTGTAAATCAACAACTGTTTGTTTCAAAACAAAATTATTCATTTTACGAGTAGATAAAGGCAATTTTGGTATATAAAGATGCCCAAACAGTTAAATAGTCGGTGTAAGGAACTCGTGACCTCGTTAATGCACTACTTTGAGCAAGAAAGGGACAACAACGGGCCTTTGTTGCCTTTAAATGCTGTTCAAGAGGTAGGTTACTAATAATTATATGTAATGTATATTAATAATAGTGAAATTTTATTTCATTTTTTGTAGCGTGTTGCTGCTGCTTTAAAAATTAGTTTAAGGACAGTTAGTCGTATTTCCGAGGGTGTGAAAAGTGATGCAAATTTAGAATCGCCCAAGAAAAAGCGGAGTTATATTAAACGTGTAACCAACACAGCGACATTGGATACAAGTGCCATTCGAGAAGTGATCTATAATATGTATCACAAAAGTAAGATCTTATTATAATAACTTATCAGAAATTTGCATTAATTTGTTAACTAAATTATAATGTCAGATTACACATGGTTTCAGAAGAACAAGTTACGATACAAACTTTATGGTCTCGATTAAGAGATAGGGCATTATTTGATGGTAGTGCCACGTCTTTAAGGCGGTTGCTTAGAGATCTTGGATTTAAGTGGCTTAAGGACAATCCGCGACGAGGGCTCATGGAACTACCAAGTATAGCTTTGAAAAGGGTGGAATTTCTAAGGCAATACAATCAAGCCAAGGTTGAGGCCTTATACCAGTTTGTCTTCCTCGATGAAACTTGGATATTTCAAAATGGGACCATAGGTCGCTCTTGGCAAAATGGAAACCAAAAAAGCGTGAAAGCTATTAAAACAGATGGTAAAAGGTATGTACTTTTACACAATTTGCACTATAAAATTTAAAACTAATATATTTTAGATACATTATATTACATGCTGGAAATGAAAATGGGTTTATTGAGGGTAGTGAAGCGATATTTTCTTCGAAAACAAAATTGAGCGATTACCATGGAGAGATGAACCAGGACAATTTTTTGAAATGGTTTCAACATCAGTTATTAGAAAATTGGAGAGTCCATCTATGATTATACTGGATAACGCCCCTTATCACAGCATGATATTGAACAAAGTGCCCAACAATGCATGGACAAAAAAAAATATCCAAGACTGGTTGACAAATCAAAACATACCATTTTTAAACACAATGTTTAAAACAGAGCTATTGAGTATTGTTGCTCGGTACATAATGCTTCTTAATTATATATATTTTGGTCGACAGTTTATATTTCTTTTGTTTATTCCTATTCTTAAAATAACTGCTTTTTTAGAAACAAACCACCTAAAATATACGTGATTGATGAATTGGCGGAACAACATGGGCACAAAGTTCTTCGTCTGCCTCCTTACCATTGTATATTTAACCCTATTGAGTTAATTTGGGGCATAGCAAAAGGTTACTATAACAGACATATTGGTAGAGATGGTAACAGTGAAAAAGACTGTTTGGATATGTGGAACGAGGCTCTACAAACGGTTACCCCAGACATGTGGAAAAATAGTGTTCGACATACTGAGCAAGAAATTTTTAAATGGTATGAAAGAGAACGAATTTTTGATCGACCAGACATCGAACCTTTAATAATCAACTTTGAGAGTGATGAAGATTCAGATTCAGACAGCGCTGAAGAAAGAAACTCCGACTAACTTTATTGTACAGAAAAAGCTTACACCAGTAGCTTACCTAATTTTAGAATGCATTTTTCTGTATGAATTCTGTAAAATAAATACCATGCATAAAATTTGGAGGACCCCATTTGGATTTTTATTCAGTACCTTTAAGCTATCAATTAAATATGGTAGTTTCATAATGTCATCTGATCAATAATTGTCATACTTAATGATTATGCAAGTACAGATCTATACTTTTATTATACTATTATTTTTGTTCTCATTTGAGGTTAATATTGCTTATAAACCTAGATATGTAAATAATAAATTTTATTATTTCACAAAAAGTTTGGCAACAATGTAAATTTTTCAACACACCCACCTTGATGACGTGCACGCCACTTTGTTTGGCGTTGACTATACTTACATTGTCTGTTCAGTATACCTATAGGATGCTGGAAGCAAGTTTGTATTGTATGAATTTGAAGGGAAGCTTTTTAATTTGTATTTTATACGGTTATAATTTGGTGCTCAGTTTAGTTAGTTATTTTTTGTAGTTCAAAAGCGTATGATGTAGTTAATGTCATGAAGTTATTCCATATAGAAGTCTGTTAGAAACAGATTGGAATTCGAATTCCAGATTTTAAATAAATTGATTTTTGAGAAAATGTTCCGTCAGCTACATCAGAACTAGACTATGAACCTGATGCTTTTTTACTCTCTACAATAATAAATATGAGTAATGTAGAAGGTTCACGTATGTCATAACTTGAACTGTGTTTCCATAACCTGTTAAGCTATTTAGTTATTTCCAGTGCAGATGCACCCACCTGATACACCTGTTTTTCATCCCTAATAGGCGGTATCTCCCTCGTCTGTGCCAACTCTTGAATGGTAGGCATGCAAATACAATCGATGCACTCGCAGTCATACGGATGCTGCTCCATGCGTTGATTCGGGTACCGCAGGTACGGCTTATTCCTGGGTATGGACGGCGATATTACACTGGGACCGCCCCTGTCCATGTCCGCGTTATCGGAACGGCGGAACACGTCGTTGATGCTGATGCGATCGCGCTGTCTGCCTATTCGAGTGCGGGCACCTGGGCCGCCTGCGCTACACAGGTCCGTGGAGCGGATAAATTGTTCGGGGGATTCGTATTCTGGAGGGCATGGGGAGCATGGATTGCACCTGCAAGAAGACAATTATAATAATGGGGAACAGTAAGACGAGCACAACACCAGTCATCGTAGGCGCTCTGGGAACAAACAAGGACTTGACCACTAAAATCTAGGGAACACATCAATGGAGCAAATTCAGAAAATAGCACCACGCACATATTTCCGACAATTTCAACGCAGTGTCATCAAAATTGACCAAATACTACTTGAATTGATTATGAATGTAGTCATGCGATTTATGGTTTGGCCACGGAGATGGGCGGCGCGAACGACGATGCGAGAAGCGGGCGGCCATATGCGCGACACAGTTTGCCGGCCAGGGGCAGTCACGATCGTCGCCGCGACCAGTATAGGGTGAGAGAGAAATGTATTCATCAACGTTATCTCGATATTGCTTACAAAGTAATAGTTCAAGCTCAACCATTTGTAATGCTCTAAAAGTTTACATCTACCCCCCTGATGATATGAAAAGAATCTCAATTTAAGGATATCTCGCCGTGAATTCAAAATTTCCTCACTTGCTAGCCATATTGTACCATGTGTGAGCTTTACAATGTATTTGCTTGAGATCCACATATGTAGTTTTGTTTAGTTTTCAGTTAGCTTTGTCTTTTAGAATGATTGTGTTATTCAGACAATAAAGCATATTTATCTATCTATAATATTAGTTTTTGGTACGGCCCAGTCATAAAATAAGCAGCAATGGGATTCCCCGTCGCCGCATGAAACGCAACAGCAGTGTTATACATACTAATATTATTTATTACATTTAAAACTGAACACCACTTCGTTTCTATATGTACGAAAATGTTTTCTCGGACTATTAGCAACATCCATTTCTTGGAATGTCAGGTGTATTCAAACGTTAAGTTTTAGAACAATTTTGAATCATCAAATCATTTCACTTTACATCGCCACGCAACACGCCAGAATTATTTACATCATCGTCACTAAGATAGCCACCGACTGAAGCTGCATTTCTAACGTGCTGAAGTGGCACACGCACACAAATGCTGAGATGCCGCTCAAATACTAATTTTCCTGTCCTATAAATATTAACGGACAGTGACAGTGATAGGTTTAGCAGAACCTTAACATAAAAAATTAATTTGACTTATGCTTCAGCACCATTTTCTACTGGCGTTATATGTTCTATTCTGTGGGTGGTCACTACTTATTGGTTTGTTGGAGACTGATTCTTGTCTGGACACATTGTTTCTTATAATACAAGAATATAAAATAATACCACTGGTTCTTCATTCCCTTATCTGATACCTGAATTTTTTATGGAAGAAACAACTTGCAAAAAAGTACATGCGTCTTTAGTATATAAAGAGACGGATTCATATATGATTGGTAAAACAAGAGAAAAATGGTGGCTTTCCAAAATTGAAGGCCTTCTCTGTACTAAAATCCAGGGCAGTGAGTTTGAAGCTTGTATGTGGTGCTTAGAAATTTTTTGGACAAAATAAGATATGTGAGTCTTTGCATGGACGGATTCACGTGTCAATAACTGAAGTAGAGGTTTCAATATAAAAGATCACTTTCTAACCTAAGTAGCCCTTGGCCAAGCTGCATGTAACAAGTGCGGCATAGGAGCATGACAGCTGGCGCAAGCCCGTGTCGGCACCCGTCTTGTGACTCAAAATGAATACAACGAACTTATAGTTGTATCGATTTATATCAAAGAACTTGGAGAAGCTGTATTTAGCAATTGTGTTCAATAAATGTTTTCAGGTAAATGGGACCACATTATTTTTGTCCAAGTTTGACCTAAAGACCTTGAGATTTTGAAAACACCCATGGGCACTCCATACTGATACGCTAGTTAGAAATACAGCTTAAATTGTAATCTATCTGGTCCCTTAGTGATGAAAATGACATTACAGCATGTACTCAACAAAGTTTAACACTGGAACGGCGATCGTTAGCTTGGCAAGGTGCATGGCGAGCTGAACTACAAAAGAAATTCACAATGGGCCTTATTGAATTGGAACTATTCCTAATCGTCTACAATGCTTAAAAATTCCTCGCTGAAACTTCTGTATTTTATGTGAATATTAACACTACAACATTTATATCAGTATTTTTAGCTTCCGAAATGTATTTTCGATATAAGAAACCAACAGCCTTAAGTGGGGCACCTTTTCTGCTCGGCTCCGCTTTATTATTGTTTCTGAGAATAATTGGTCTCCAAACAATATTTTCGTGAAAAAAAAATTATTGGATAAAAAAAATGTGGCAACAAGTACCTGCATGTCCGACATCTACAACCCGGTGGATGAATCGGCTGCTGGGGCTGCCCTCCTTGTGAATAGTTGCAGAGCGCTTCAAATTGCACGTAACCTACTGGTACTTGCGCCTGGTACATGGCCTTTTGCTGTGTGGGCGTAAGGGGTCGGGATGATTGTTGTTGCTGAAGTTGCGCTGCATTGGAGTCTGCGCAGCAACACAGTTGGTCGTACCGTCCACTGGGTGGTTCTTGATTTCCGGTCGCTGCAAGTCGCTTCTGGATGATTTCCTTGGAACAGACTACGCACTGGCAGACGCCTTTGCAGTCACATACCTGATGTACGGTCTCAAATTGACGGTTGCGTTCACTAGCACACAACAGCTGAATCTTGGCTTAGTCTAGAGTATGCTACGCTCAGTTGCTGAATGTCACTTAAGCACAGAGAAATGATACGCTAAGTTTTAGCTGATGAGTGCTAGTGAACGCAGGTGTGTATCTGACGATAGTACGGCACTGAAGCTCCTGACCGGTTTTTGAACGATGATGTTTGCACATGCGATCCCTAGCCCTACAAAAAGTCTATTCCGCTGAATCCGACTTGGGCATACACTGTTGTGAACTTGAGCCGTTTATTTTGCTATAGTCAAAAACGGGCGGTTATTCGACTTTCTTTCATTTTATGCCCAGCTATACAGTGATGTTTTTTGTGGATATAAAAGATTGTTAAAAAAAGGATGAAAAAATTGGAAAATTTGAGAATAATAGAGGAAGATGGCAAGATAATTTTTAAAATACGTAGTCGTGCCATAAGTTCTGTCCCATGATAATCTCATGATAAAAATGAAACAAGATAAGATATATTTATATGAAAGATATTATTTATTCGACAACATTTTTAGAATTCATAATCAAACAGTTTTATTCAAAATGTCCCCCCTTGGCCTTCACACACTGCTTCAATCTCGCGGGCCACTCATCTATCACTGCACGCACAGCTTCCAAAGGAATAGCTGCCGCTGATCGGATCAAATCCGCTTTCAGGGACTCGATATTACGGTGGGCTTTGGAGCAGGCCAACTGCTCTAGCAGGTCCCACAACTTGTAGTCTAAAGGATTGAGGTCCGGACTCCCTGAGGGCCAATCTTCCGCAGCAATGAACTCTGGCACATTGCTTTCCAGCCAGCGCTGCGTACTCTTAGCCTTGTGAGCGGGGGCGGAATCCTGCTGGTAGACCCAGTGTTGGTTTGCAAACAATGTACCACTTAAAGGCTTGACGATAGGATCCAGTATGTCGCTCTGATAGTTTGCCGCTTTTGTTTTCACGCCCTGTTTACAGAAATGGAGCTGAGTGACCCCTTCGTAGGACACCCCCCACCAAACCATGACTGACGCAGGGTGGTGGCCTCTCTCAACTCTCGGAATGATCTCCGAAGCTTCCTGTGAACTCCTTGCATACACTTTGTCATTTTGTCGGTTGAATTTTTCTTCTATGGTGAAGATTTTCTCATCCGTGAACAAAATCTTTCGGAATCCCCCAGCTGCGTACCTCTCCAAGAGCTTCTTGGATCTTGTCGCCCTGATGTGTCGCAAGGTGGCCGTAAGTCGCTGGCCCGTACGTCTCCGGTAAGCCCCTAGCCCTAGGTCTTGTTTAATGATGCGCGACATCGTCCGTACAGGAATCTTCATTTCCCTGGATAGGATCTTCTGCTTCCGGAGTCGATTCCTTTGAATCCTGGCTTTTACGGCTTTGATGGCTGCTGGAGTCCTTACTTGACGAGGTCTTCCGCTTCTTGGCCTGTCATCAACAGAGGACGTCTCATTGTACCGCTGAATGGTCCTAGACACAAATTTACGCGATATTTGAAGGCCGCGTAAGAGTTCAAAAATCTGACTAGCACTGTGATTACACTTATGTAAAGCTATCACTGCAATACGGTTCTCTGCCTTGCCCCACTCCATCGTTATGCTTCGAGAGATCAATACAAACTGAGGTATATGTAATTACCCGAAAAGCGCTTAATCAACTGACACCACAATGTAAACAATCGGACAAGTATTAACAGGTCTACACTTGTTTGAAAGCGAGGGACAGAACTTATGGCATGACTACGTATATCCCTGCATATAAACGTTACTCAGTTTTTCAGAAAATCAGTTATGTCTGGCAGCCCTTGGATTTTACTCAAAAATGTTTTCGTTTAAAGCCACAGGAACTCAAAGAAGACAAGAAATGTTTTTCCAAAAATGTTTCAATTGTATATTTAGTAAATGTGTTGACTGCTTTCGCAATATGTTACTAAAACTCTCTTTTGAAGAAAACACAGTTTGTTATCGTTGACTATGTAGCTTACCGCGTTATCTAGACGTGACGATCGCCTTTTTCTTGGTTTACCATCTAAATATGACACTTGGGAAGCAGATTTTGGTACCTCTTGAGATCCTCTCTTCTTCTTATCAACCAAACCTCTCTTCTTACGTCTGTCAGGATCAGAATCTGATTCAGATGACGTTGTTTTGCTGGCTTTCACAGCTGTAGCTGTAGATAATTTCAAATTAAGACAAAAATCTGTTAGGGCTAGTCAAAGCTAAATAATCTAAAGAAAAGGATTACACAGTATTGAAGAGAGAAAACCAGGTCTCGCAACTGTGTCAGATCGTTTGTACTGAAAACATTGGAGACCAGAGAGAGAAGATAGAAAAGGGAATAGGTATCTACCATCAGCACCGGCAGCATCTCGACTGCCCCTATCCAAGCTTCTTAGTTCTGCTGGTACTTCAGATGAAGGAACTCCTGTGACAGGTTGACCGGCATCTGTAGTAGAGAAAGTTGCATCTTGAGATGCTCTAGTTTGTGAAGCACCAGTGTCAGCTTTTGTTGCGCCTCCTTCAACAACTTCAACTCCAAGGATTTCTGTCTTGACCAGTTCCTCTTCCATGGAACCTTTACCAGTTTGACTACCTGTTACAAAAAGGAAATTCAGGAAAAATCTTACAGATTTGGTGTCTTGTCAAGTCGGTATAAAAATGCACTTATACAGAGTATCCCAGAATATGTGAGTATTAGGCAACCTCTCGCCAGCCATAAGGCATGTTCCATTCTACAAACATACTTGTCGACATAGTCGCTTCTGTTGAACAATCTTGTACAGCACGGTATATTTTTATGTTGTTCACATGATAACTACCATTTAGTTTCCTTTCTCACTGGGATGACATGGCGATGTCTGTCGCCAGGGTCCGTAGCCTAACCTAATAAAATACCGATTTTTGCGTTTGTCACCACTGTTCGCCACGTCCGGGAGCTGCCATGTATTCCAATAGGTTTGTTTGGCTATGGACTCTTCGGGTTAGACTCATGGGTGCCAAGAGGGAGGTTATTCTCCCATAAGAATGCGGTATATGTCTTGAGATACGCGAAAACTAAAAACTATTTTTTGAAAACTAATTTATTTATGTTCAAAATATTCTCCTCCAGCATCAATGCACCTCTGTAGCCTGACCTTCCACGAATAAAATGCTTCTAACCAGTCAGTTTTTGGAATGCCTTCAACAAACTCTTAATTGCTTGTTCGATTTCCTCTCCGAAAGAAATTTTCGACACGCAGATTTTTTTCAAACTGTTGAAGAGCCAGAAGTCACACATTGCCAAATCTGGCGAATAAGGCGGATGTTTCCGCATTTTGATTTGCGCTGGCGTAAAAAGTCTGCAGTGTGGCTAGAGGCATTGTCGTGGATTGCACGCAACAACTTTTTGTAAATGAAGATGATCGTGCAAAATGGTGTGCAATTGCGGATCCTACCCCAAGAGTTGCCTCTATAGTCGCATATGTGTAGCGAGAATTTTCTTCAATTAACCGCTAAACTTTAGCAATTTGAGTCAGAACATGGCCTACCACTACGTTTTTCATCAGCCAATGAAACGCGTCCTCTTTCAAATTCGGCATATCAGCGAAACACACTTGCCCGGGGCGGAGCTTCATTACCAAATGTCTGTTGTAACCGTTCGATACATTGATGTTCAGTTAAACCGAATTTAAAGTCATAGTAAGTCATAGCGCGATAACTCTCTCGAGACAACTCCATGTTTCGTCTTAAATTTGTTTACACCACGTGCCCTGTACGTGCTTGCAAATGAACTGAATGCGGCCACTTGCTAATAAAGGACTGCTCTTTCTAATAGCGCACTGTTTCCGGTCTTAACTAGTATAGTTAATTCACATCTCAAAATATAGGTACAGCGTGCCCCTCGTATATATAGACTGCGCACCACGAAAACAGTCGACCCATCTAGCAGCCGATATAACATGTAGTCACAGAGCTAATGAGTACGAAACAGCACTGTCTGCGGTTGGTCGCTGTTACAGAGATGAAAAAGAAATTGCTCGTAACTCAACAACAATATGGGATCTGTTTCTAAAAAATTGACAGCTGTGGAATTTTTTTCAAAATGAAATGTTCCATATTATTGACATATTAGAGAGAAGAAGATTGATGTAACATACTATAGTGTTTTGATGACTGGTTGTTGTTATAAGCGATTGGGTATTCGCGTTCGTTTTACACACATTCTCAGATACATTCACTCCAATTTGCTCACTCTGTTGCACATTTTTTTAGAAAAACTCAGTTTAAGTGAGTTGATATTTTCAGACCAGTTTCAGCTGACTGAGATTTGTCATATCTGTCCGCTGGACTAAGTTTATATTGTTCATGCGCCAAATTCAAATTTTGAGTTTTTAAGCTTTGCTCACAATTATATTCTTACGGTGATCCTTTTATGAAACTGAAAAATATTTGGTTTTAAGTTTAGTTTTATGGTAAATTGAAAATAGTACTTTTGCAGGTAATGCTCGAATGAAGGTTAGCTCAGCTATTGTATTGAACTATGACCTGAGCCAGAAATCCACTGTTGAGAACGAACGCAACTGTTCCACAAAAACGGTCAACTTTGACGGCCTGGAAATCCGCTATTTTGAAAGATACCGAGTTTATGTTTTAGGGCTATAACGTACTAATCCAAAGCTTCAAATTGACATATTACATAAACCATCATTCCAATAAAAAAATGTCGAAAGATGACGCACTTCCGCCATTTTGTAATCTTCAAGTGCCACTTTCACTCTAAATTATAGCACTCATATATTTCAGTATCCCCAAGTTTATCTGGCTTGACCCATTAAACAAATAAGTAGAGAGTGGAAGCTTTTTGAAAAGCTCTGTATGTACCTGCTTTATTTGCCGGTTTGGATTTTGATGACCTTTTCGCATCCGTGCTTTCACGACTTGCTCTGGATCTATCTACTTTCGATCGTGCTTTGGACCCTGCTTGGAGAGCACCGTCAATCATCTCAGAGATCATATCATGTGCTGATTTGTACTCATCGTTTTCCGCTTTAGCTCGTTGCGTTTTATCTTGATCTGTAACCACCAATAATTATTTCAATAATACCAAAGTGCCGTGACTATTGATAAGCTAATGCCAATGAGAGGTAGTCTGAAAAGCTAAAAGTAGATGACGCTAGTTATGTTCGAGGTCATGTCTAACGTTATGAACAGAATCGGTTCTTTCTAATAAATTCGAACAGATTAGAAGGAGCCAAGTCTATATGTTTACATTGCATTGTTTGCCGCATTTTTTTTAGTTTTTATGCATACTTTAGGCTGACTTGCCTACCAAATTTGGCAACAAGTACTCCGGAATTTTTGTCTATGGAAAGGATGTTGAAGTAGCTATTGGTACTGAGTGTACTCCCGGTAGAAATATTATCGATGTGAATCGCTTAATTGTATTGCTAAAAAACAGGGTTAAATTGAACAAACTCTGTTTCGAAGCCTGCAGGTGGTATATTGACATTTACACTATATATCAGTGAACTCAAAGTACAGAACATTGAAGTTGTTGAATATCAGTGGTCGTACATCAATTTGGAAATGAGGATACAAAAAAATTACAATCTGTATATTTACTACCGATCTCCAAGTGGAAGCGTCAATCGATTTATTGAATTCTTTGAAAGTATATGTGAAAAACATTATTACAGGAATTGCACAGTAAAGATTTATATGCTAGAAAATTTAAACAAGTACTGAACTTCCATGGATTATGGCAGAAAATAAATGACTGTACAAGAATTACACTCTTTTCGAAAACAAAAATAGATTTGTTCATAACTAATGAGCAAAATATAATTGCTAAAGCTAAGCATACCTCGAAGATAAGTGATCGCTCATGGATATATTTCGAAGTGGAAAATATGTCCAATGAAAATAAAATGAAAGAAATTACAGTAATTGATTTTACAAAATTACGAGAAACACTTTTATAACACAATATACCTGAAATTATCGATAATGTCGACAACTACTTCGAACAAATGATGAATAATATGGATAAATATATTAGTGAAGCTATGGTCAAGAAAATATTATATGAAAGATTGAACTTAGCACCCTGGTTTTCACAGATATTCAAGGAGTCTAAATTAATACGCGATGACGACTACAGAAAATTTTTAGTAATCCAAAGTGAAAATGGACACAATATACAAAATAAAGAAATGATAAGATCGATAGCAATAAAATTAATTCCAGAATGATGTGAAAAACATTGAAGAATATTGTTTCTCCTAATAGAAAAACTAAGTTATCAAAAATGCGTTTCGAAGATGGGGTAGTGACAGAAAAATTAATTATAGCAGAAAGAATGAAGACTATTTTATAGAAGGTGTAAATCAAATAGTGAAGACGATTGATGATGGTGTTCCAAACTTATGTTCATTACAAGTATGTCGTAATTCATCAATGAATCAATTTAGGACAATTAACATCAACAATCTAAGAAAAGCTTTATTATCGGAATTGAAATCTAATAAAAATCCAAGTGAGAATCTGTCAAAAACTATTTTAAATTATTGTTTCAATATAATTGGAGAGAAATTACTATTATTGGTGAATCATTTAGTACATGGTGGAGTCCCATCAAAATTGAAGTGTTCCACCATTACTCCTGTGCCAAAAGTTCAACATTCTCAGCTGTATACAAACATGCCACCGATTAATGTCTTGCCAGATGTCGAGAAGCTGATCGGAAGGTTAATATACGAACAAATTATTGAATAGCAAATACTAAGCCCAGATTTGCAAGACGTGGCTAAATCTGTTAGTGATGAATATAACTCAATATACCATTTAAGCATACAAGGAGTCCTGAATAATATAGATGAAGTTCAACAGTTTTTAAGATGGAGAAAACCACTTGTATTGTCTTACCGAAAAACATGCTACAGAAGACATCACTGATGGTGAATTACAAATTACTAATTATAAAACCTACAGATGCCACTCCAACCCCAGACATACTGGAGGTGTAGTGATTTATGTTTACCACAAAATACAGATCACATTATTCGATTGTACCACTTTAGACTATGCATACTGGTATACACATATACAGTTCAAATTATTTGGGAAACGTTATGATCTTTGTACTTTTTACCGTTCACCAAACAGTGATGCGGATACATTTTTAACGTTTTTTGAAGAAAAATGCGAAGAAATGTGGAATTTTACAAACAATATAATACTTTTAGGTGATTTTAATCTAAATTATTATGGTAAAAGCATGAAAACAAGAAATTTGAAAGAAACCATAAATAACTATGGGTTCAAGAAAATTGAAGAGTGTACCAGAATAACATCATTATCAAAGACTTTGTTAGATCTTGTTATTGTAAATTTCGAATGTGCAGGGATTAAAGCTGTACATACACCTAAAGTTAGTGATCACAGTTGGGCAATGCTGCCCTTGGTAGGGCATTTTTCTGATACAAAAACTAAGAAAATCGTAAATACTATTAAGTACGAAAAACTTGAACGAGAACTTGCTGGCTGCTATTGGAATTTTGGTGAGAATATGGAAAAAATATATGACAACATAATAGGAAACATAAAAACTTGTTTAGATCTTGCAACTGATAAAAAAGTGATTTGTTCGACAAAAATACACCCTGATATAACAAAAATATTAAGGCTGCTCAAAATTTGAGAGACAAACAATACAATAAATGTATATACACAAAATCAAATGATGATTGGCAGGTATATAAAACTCTTAGGAATAAATGTATGTATGTAATTAGAGAAGAAAAAAGGAAATCCTTCGATAAACAAATCGATAATAACAAGTGCGACAGTGTAAAAATGTGGAAGACTTTAAAAAGACTGATCAATTCGAAGCCGCATGAATGTAAATCAAGTTCAATTCGAAAACGGTACCGAAACAAATTCTTTGGTGATTGCAGACAAACTGAATGGATTTTTTGTGGAAAGTATTGTTGATATTGTGGGTACTGCCAATACTGCACCTGACTATATGAAAATCAGTTTCCAGGGGGAAATTTTGCATACACTTTCAAAATTTCACAGTGTATGATTGAATTATCTAAGAAAAAAAGTAAACAGTTTAAAATCAAATAACAACTGTGCCGAAATCACTACTAAAAACGTGTTAAACTGTTCGAAATTTTGGGATATCCTGTATTAAATTGGATCAATTGTTCACTGAGACGCAGTTCTTCTCCTGAAGATTTGAAATGTTCTACAATAACACCAGTTCCCAAAATAAAAAATTCTAAAAGATGCAACGATACGAGACCAGTAAATGTGTTACCAGACATTGAAAAATTATTAGAGTCCATAGTGCATGACCAATTAATGCAGTTTATAGAAGAAAACAAGATTTTACTGGAGGCGCAAGCAGGCTTTTGAAAAAAATATTCCACAGAAACGACTTTCCAGTTGGTAACTGAGAATTGGATAAGAGCCATAGACTCAGAAGAAGTTGTCATAGCAGTATTTTTGGATTTGAAGAGGGCATTTGAAACGATTGAGAGAGATATTTTGTTAGGTAAATTGAAGGCATATGGTATAACAGGAAGTGTTTTAGTTTGGTTTAGAAATTATTTGTCTAAAAGGACGCAAGTTACAAAAGTTAATGACACTATTTCATCAAAAATTGAAAATACGTTGGGTGTTCCACAGGGCAGTATCCTGGGACCACTTCTTTTTATTTTATACATAAATGATTTACCTGCCATAGTAAAAAAATGCAAAATTCAGATTTTCGCCGATGACACTATGATTTATATAAGTACTAAAAATATTCAGACTGGTATCTCTTATATAAATGAAGACTTGAAACTTGTCTCAAAATGGTTAGCATCTAACAGACTAAAATTAAATACAAGTAAAACGAAAGCATTGTTAATCTGGAAAAAACAATGTACAAATGTTCAACTGAATATTGATGGTGAAGATATTGAATTCGTAGAAAATTTTAAATACCTGGGGGTTTTTGTTGACTCTCGATTAATTTTTGATATTCATTATGTAAAAGTTATAAATAAGACGAGAAGTAAAGTGGATATTTATCGAGAGTTTCTGGATGTCTGAGTTCATATAGCAGAAAAATTATCTATAATACTATCATTCTTCCAAATTTCTTGTACTGTTCGACTATTCTATATTTAGCAAATAATCCCATTTTTGAAAGACTGCAAATTTTACCAAATAAATGCATGAGAATAATACTAAATAAAGAGAAATATACTCCAATTAGGCAAATGCTTAGCAAATTAAAATGGCTCAATGTAAAAAGTTTTATCAAATATCTTGTAATGATATTCATTTATAAAATAAAAAATAATATATTTCCATCAAGTCTAACTGATTTAACATCATCAAATGTCTACCATCATTTACATAATACCAGAAATAAAGATGACTTCCATTTAATGACCAAAAAGTATAACATATGCTACAAATCTGTATGCCATCAAGGGTTGATTGAATATAATAAATTATACTCAGAGATAAAAGACCAGAAAACTTTGACAAAATTTAAAGTAAGAAATCACTTGTTAAATCTACAATTATAGGTTGCCCAGCATTTACATCATTCGCCATATGGCTTGAATTTACCAGTTCTAAGTTGTTTACAATTATTCTCTTTATGTAGCCAAATGTGCTAAATAAATCTTTCTACTACTACTACATACGTTAAATATCCTGCACGGCTGATTATGCAAATTGTATAAAACTGAAATTCATATAATCTTTCATCTGTAAAGACAATCTCCTAGAAAAAGCACGATTTGTTATTTGGTAGCCAAACGAATAGATGGTTTGTCGTACAACTGCTTGAGTCTTGTTAAAGCAACATGGACGAGTATGTACAATGTCCGACTCATGGTTTATATGTAATTGAGATCACTGTTTTACCCGAGGTGTTCTGGGGTCCTATTGTTGACAGATAATCTTTAAATCCAGTAAAATACAAACACAGACTCGGACAAAACGTGTGAATGTATACACAAAAATTTTCAACTGATACTAAATAAATATATCGGATAAGTTAAATGGATAATTCAGTATGACTCAAAGAAACATTTAATCAGTATAAATAACTACCTTCATAGAAAATTAGCAGTTATTTTCACTTAGCTTTACGATAAACAAAAATACAGAAAACATATCCTATGTTGTGAAGCTCTTTCATTAATTTGAGAAAACTGTAACTCTTTGATCATGCGTTGCAAGGACTTCAGCTATCTGACATACTCTACAAACAGCAAAATACAACAGAATCATTCAATAACTAAGCTATGGAAAGAGCGCTTGCTGAAAAGAAATACTTGCCCCCCGCCTTCGAATCTGAAGAAGGTGCCATATCATCAGCGGCGGTGAAAAGCTCGCCACTTTCGGTTATCTCAACGGTTTCTTCTTCGGTGATGGATTTTTGTGATGCTTTTTGGGTACACGGGTCTAGGTGATCGCCTGTTGCTTCTGTAATGGTTTCGGAGTCGTGTGATGTGGATATGCCGATATCTTTGCATTCACAACATTGGCATGATTGCTCTATGGAGGGCGGAGATGACTGACATGAGCAGTCACGTTTTTGACGTTTGGGCTCGGCCGCCTCTAAGGACTTGCCCAATTTGTCTGCAGTCTTGGACTCGGTTTCCAATGTTCCTTCTTCAGTTATCGGTGTGAGCTCTGTCCATTCGGGGGCCGTTTCTGGAACAGAATTGAAGAATAAAGATTCGAATGGGAGTCTGCAGAGATGATTTAGGGAGTATATTCTCGAGCAAAACGGTGATTTTCAGTTTGCTCGCTATATACTAAAGATCTAGTATGTCCGAGGAGATTCAAATAGTCCGAAGGTAATATACACGCTCTTCATATACTGAGTCCCTATAAAAGTTATAATAAAATATATACAACTCCACTCCACTCTAGGAATGGAGGGTGGACAACATTAATGCAGTCGTCCCGCCATGCTTTTCTTGGCGGAGACAAAAATCTCAGCGTCTGCACCGATTAAACATCTTAGCTTGCCAAATTATAAGGTGCACTCCAATCTGAGAAAGAACAGGGGAGTTGTGGAATTTGTCCGCAGCAGTCTTTCCTGCTCCAGATATGTTTCGCTGGAATCAGGCCGGTAGGACATTCTGTGGCTTCGTCTCAACTCCAGAACATCCTCCAAACTTATTTGCTGCCTTTATCGCTTTCCCTTAGACCATAAAAGGGATGACCTACTTGAATACCTGGCAGTCAAGATGGACTTCCTTAACATAAATCACCCCTATTCTCCTCGGTGATTTCAATGCCCATAATGGGCTTTAGTTGGACTCGAACAAGACCGATGCAGCAGAGAGAGCTCACACAGCTGGTGACGAGCCCTACTTTTTTCCCCACGTCTCGTCACATGCCAGTAGCCTGCTGGATCTCTTTTTGACCACGCATCCTGTCTATATATTACTCATCATTTTTTATAGTATTAGTTTATTTTCTGGGCCACTGGCGGTGAAGTATTGTAGCCGAGAAAGATTTCAAAAATGAGATATCAGGTTATTTAAATTTTTACACAAGGTTACTACTGTAAAGGACCAAAAACCTTGTCGTTTTTGGAGATCATACCAGTGGCGACGAAACCAGAAGAAAATAACGAAAAAAATGAAAATCAACTAGATTTTATCTTATACATCGTGTAAAGTTCTGGGTGGACCGACGGCAGACATAATTACAAAACCTATCGATTCAACCCCTATATATGTGATCCACCTACAAGTATAGAATCTATCGTGTTTACCCGCTGTTTGTGGTGATGCACCGGCAAATGCGGAAGACGAGTTTATTTAACTTGTTTTTAAAGCACATGTTTGGTGTAATGGCCTCCATTATTTTCTAAACATAAGCCACAACTCCTAAGTATCTAAAATGCATCTTCGTCATAATTTTTGTAATTGCTCCTTTAATTTTGTGGCGCAGTTGTAGAGCTCCTATATAAAATAATTAGAGGACTTAAATCTGGTGACCTTGGAGGACATCGTATGGGTCCACCTTTATCTATCTAATACCCAGGAAAGGCACTGTTTAAGTGATGATGTACTTCCCGCGCAAAGTGGCATGTTTTCGGAGCGTATTGTGCGCACTGAAGTATGGGATATGTCGCTGCTTCGTGCAGTGGCTCTGGTGGTTATAGAGGGATCTCATTGGACTTCTTCTATTACTTGTTCCATTCCTGCTGGGTCCATCATCGGTACTCCTCCATGACGATGAGTGGCAGGTGTGCGGCCCTCGGAATTCCAAACGTACGATGCAAATTCCGCGCAGGGCTATTCTCGGACCCACTGATTTCGGTCGGAACGAAGATTGAACGCACCCGCTCCTTAAATGTCCAATCCATTAAGCCATTTTGATTTTAAAAAATTTTAATATAGCCACTCGCATTACTAAGACTAAGATATGCGGGGTGGGCCTTGAATTAGTTAACATTTGAAAAAAACGTATGAAAAAAACATTTGACATATTTTAAAAATTGTTCATTCAGAAGAAAGCTAATTAGTTGGAATTCATGTCTTGAAAATTTTATCATCTAAATGTTACGATTGTTGCATTCTTCTAAACGTGTACCGAAGTTTTCGAATACTCGTCGTCATAAAGACGCCTTCGTTCATGTTTTCTTTTAGTTGATTTAGTTGGTTTATTGATGTAGACACGGCTCTTTAAATAAACCCATAAAAAAGTCTGGGTGGCCATGGGATGTCACCTCGTCTGGAAATGAGCTTTTCCGGAAACATTTCTTTGACCACCGGCAGGGACTCGTTGGATGTGTGACACGTGGCTCCATCTTGTTGAAACGATGTGTTACGATTATAGCCAGCAAATTCAAGTAGCATCGGTGCCAAGAACTCTCGTAATATTTTCACATACTCAGCAGACTTAACAGTAACTGAATCTTCAAAGAAGCAGGGGCCAATGATTCCTTTTGCTGAAATTGCAGCCCATACAGTTACTTTAGAAGAGTAAAGTGGCTTCTCGTGTTTAGCTTTGGGATGTTCGCTGCTCCAGTACCTCCAATTCTGTTTATTCACAAGTCCGTTGAGGTGGAAATGGGCTTCGTTAGAAAATTAGAGATTGTCAAAATTACTGAATCGAGCTAACATCGTTTCGGCATACGACTTGCGCAAATTGAAATCATTAGGTTTTAGTTCCTGCACTAGCTGGATCTTATCTGGATGTAATTTCAAATCTAATCTCAAAATATGCCGTAATGATGTGTGCGATAATCCTAATTTAGTCGTAAGTTTGCGCGTCGATACATCTGGATCACGTTGAACAGAAGCGGAAACTTGCTGCACGTTTTTTTTGCTCCGAGTAGTCCGTGGGCCGCCGGTTTGCTTCACATTCAGTGTAGATCCAGGTCTCTTCAAACGTCTTCACCCATTCCTTTATCAAAGGACCACTCGGACACTGTCTTAAGTCGTGTAAATTGTATTCAACGCGAAATAAGCGTCTCACAGTAATCAGCAAACTGTTGTTTAAATAGAATTGTTTCACACAGTAAGCGGGTTGCGGCTCCGTGAAGCGATCCATTGCGATTGAATTTCTGAGAAACGAGCTAGCGTCTAGCCCCCTGCCCGCGCATCGCGCGGCATCTGTTTGCGTGGTGTATTAGATTTAAATGTTAACGAATTCTTGGCCCACCCTGTTAAACAACACTTCGTATGTCAAAGTCTATGAAGCCGTTGCCACGCCTTTTTTTAGTTAATTAACAAAACACAAGGATAAATGCTATCTAACGGTAATTTGAAAGTTCTAGTTTTTTCCAATTTTAATAGGGAGCGTAAGGTAGCTCTCAATTTGTCAACTGTATGACTTTCGTCAACAGCAACACCAAGGACTAAAATCTCATGAAGTAACATCTCTCTCTTAAGGTGACCAACTTCCATTTTAAAATCCATCTTACCAACAAACAAACTAATCTTACACCAACAAGAGAAGAGAAGAAAATGTAATAATGATAATACCTATATCAATTCAAATCAATCAACAGTAAAATAATAAAGTCTGTCCAGAAGTTTCAATAAATTTTTAAAAGTCTGTTCAAAATATTCAACAACTTTCAAAAGTCTGTTAAAAAAAATTCAAAAAATTATTTGGCTCTGTGTACTGTTCAAAATTTGCCACGTCCTTTTTGAGAGAGAGCCAAATAAACAAGATATCAAATGGATCACAATATATTGACTAAAAAGAACAAAACGCACATTTGCTCCACCACTGGAGTGCGAGAAAGGATATTTAAAAAAAAAAAAACTGTCGCAAAATAAAATTAGTTGGCGTTTATCATGGTATACGCTTTACATATATATTTTACGCCTAAACTATACTTATCTGGGCGGAGGTCTTCTCCCAGTTACGGCTGGGTGCAGCCGAGATGTATCCCAGGTCAAAAAGAACAAAAAAGAGGAAGCCAGTAGTTGGCACGTCACTGGGCAGGGGCTGCTTGCCTCGGTCCCAAAAATTATGATGGTAACAGGAAAAAAAAACTCCTGTTCACATCAGGGTTCTTTCAACGGGATAGCTTCCAATTAGCAAAACTGCAACGATGCAACTGACTGGGGGAGAAAAGACGAGGATTTTCTTCTGTTTCGCTAAGGGTCAAAATCCCATAAAAAAATGGAAGACGTAGCACCCAAAATAAATAAACTTAAGTTACGCAACAAAAAGAAAAGGGTGCTAGTCCCTGAATGGGTGCTTGGGGCCTAATACCCCAGAGTCTGGAAAACGACAAAAGGACCCCTGCACCTCGACCTCAACGGAAGCTGAAAAGCGAATCACAGAATACGTAACGTTCTAGAGGAAGGAATCTTGAGTGGCCTTGAAGAGGATATGTTCTCTAGGAAGCCAACTAACGGAGAAAAACTGCAGCTTTTTGCTGAGAAAGAAAGATATAATACGAGTGAAATTACACAATCAATAAACTATTAAATTTGCAAAAAGAAAATCATTGAAAAGGGGTTTGGCCTAGGAATGAGCACTCTATTATCAATGAGGAGAAATTCAAATCACTGATCAGTGATAAATAGAGAAACAAAGGTCACATGATTTTGGCACGTGACACCATTTGAAATAGAATTTTTTGTTCACATGCGTACAACATACAAATTTTTAGACGCGAGGCATGATGAAGGACTGAAATAATTTTTAAAATACGCACCTAGAAGGCAAATTTCACGCAACATAGATTTCCAATTGCATTTGCAGCTAGAATGATACAGTAATATTCTTAACACACCCGTCCCTAGATAAACACGCGTCGCAAAGTGGCCAGTGGATGGCTGCTGAGGCTGACGAGCGGTGAGGTTACTCATGGCAATGCTGCCAGATGGTTGTTACTGTCGGAGGTGTAAGGAAGAGATGTTCTCAAGTCGATGAGGACTATTCACTAGATTATATTTGTTATACATGTTCGTAGCTAACTTCTTTTTGGCCGAAAAAAATGGTGACAGCGTTTGTGATAAATTATTCATATTCTCCGTAAGGTATTTTATCTGATCCTACATTATTGTAGCGATAAATGATTACGGAATATACAGCTAAATGTGGTCGTAGGCGAGAAAAGAATTAGAAACAAAATTTCAATTTTGAAAACTACTATCCAACGGCGCATACTCTTTATACCGCCAAGGGCCGTGCTGGCATCGCCGATAGCTTCTTACTAGAGAGTCGGTATCTGTATAAATGACACACATTTACAAAAGTAAAATCTTTATTTAGCATCACTAAATAAATATCCCTTCTTCACTTGTCTGGTGTATCCACTGAAGTCTAATAGGCATCATATTAGGAAAAATTAGCTACACGGCATACTTAGCGCTTCGTGCATAAGTACGGTATACCACAGAGTGACCACAGGATATTGACAGAGTTTGCATAAACCTCATTCATCGGAGAGTACGTCACGTACAGGGTGTCCCACGTAGAACTGCAGCTTAAAAATTTGACAGAGATTCATGAAGATGTGTGTATGCTATATAACTGAACTGAGCAATTCAGCCGAAATATTTATGTATTTCAAAATAGTGACACTTCGGTTGTACTGGAAGTAGATACCAACTTGGATAACAAATAGTATAGGGTGATAAAATGATGATTAAAGTGAGATTTTAGAAAGCCTCAAGAGAAACTTTTCTTAATACGGATTAATCATTGAAAATAAGGTTAACCTTGTATAAAGTTGTCGATTACGCATGGATTTTACCAAAAGATAATCTCATTTGGCCATGACGCGGCGACAGAGTGTCGTTAGTAGTTTGCCAGATTTACGCCATGTCCAGCTGATAACATCTTATAGTAAAAGGCGCATGGAGCATTTGAGTTATAAATGAACCAATATTTTCATATATCTCGAATACTAATTTGCAAAGTAAGCAACCTGACACAAAATTAATCTTATTTTAATTGCTCATACTTTCACGTATATTTTTCGCACATTACCATCTAAGCTACAACTACGGCTGTGCCTCATGAGGAATTTGGAGTCAGCACTTTTTGGAAGCGTATTAGTTGAACTTGACAATTCATAACACTTTTCAAAAGCTGAGTTGACAGAATGGAATATGTATGTATTATATATGCAACTGACTGCTTTGAGTGACTGTTGCAGTAATAAAATGGGAATAATTGAAAAGTACGAAAGTTGCATACAGATACTCGACTAATTTTCGAAAAATATGTCAAGTGCTTAGCGTTGATGCTAAAGATTTTCTCATCATTCATTTTATCTATACCTAGAAACTGTATTTTATACTAAATAATCCCAGCTCAAAGCGCAAGAAGATACAAAAGGTCAGCGGAGGTAAATTGAGGTGGTTTCTCAAACCACGGTTACTTTTGGTCAAATTTTGGTGTTTTAAGCTACACATATTACAAATCTCTACTTCATATAATTTTCCAAGAAGATTATTGGCACATTATGTACTTCTATGCACTCATTTCAAAAGTTTGGTGGTGCATATTAAGTGTTTAAATTAGTACAATAATTAATTAGCTCACAATTAAAACATTGACTACGAAGAGAATACGTTGTTAAACGATCCGGACTGATTTTGTGTTATTTGTGGGAAATGTATCTTTACAACGTTTTGTAACTCGACTACGGGCCTCTTTAAATCTGCACCTTTATTACTTTGGAGTGAATATTACAAATCTACAGAAGCCTTGGTTGCAAAATACTGGATGCTAAGGTTAACTTGTCTCTTTGCGACAATGGTTCAGAAGAAAAAAATATGCTCGTTAATGTGGGTGAATTGAAGACACCTATAATTTAGCGGGAGCAGTAACAATCATGATAGCTGTTATCTTATATGTTTAAGGTTACCCGTAAAAACTATGCACTACATACTCATAATTCACAGTATCATCGACATCATCAACTTCAACCTGAACATAAAAGCTGAAAAAGAAAAGCCCGAACCAGATTATGGATTTCTGGACTAGGCAATGAAAAATAGAAAAAACCCTTTATAAAAAACTTCAAAAGGAACCCTGGAAGTATTTTTTCCGGTACTGAAACATTTTTCTTGAGAATCATAAAAACAATGAGCATCAAACTACAGTATTTACATCGTCATTTGCATCGATGCTCTGAAACTACAGTGAGCATCTGTTTTAAATAAAATGTGTAAGAAATCATAATTTATCAAGCTGCATGTAACATGTAAATGTAGAACTAGAGCTGTTAAAAAATCAACGTCACCGGTATATTTAATTGAACTGGAAACAAACAGAAATATACAATTTTCATTGTCAATCAGTGTTATTAAAATTATCGTCTGAATAATAAGATGTTCTCTTTGGACCTAATGGTGGTATAGTTCTTAAGGCAACCAGCAAATTACCAAGTTATATCTTGCCAAATATCTAAGCTTTGTACATCACTGCAACAAGAAACGCAGGGCTCGGCTTGCCATCTTCCGATACTGGAATCATGGGGAATATACATTTTGGAATAGATCTTGATCAAGCGATACAATCGTAGTTCAGAAATAAATGCACTAGAAGCTGTCAGTTTACAACTTTATAAAGAAATTTCTCAAACTCACCATCAGCAACCACGCCTTCACCTGCAGCTCCCACTGGAATTGCATCGCCTTCACTTTCACCAGGTTTCTCAACCCCACCAGAAACCTCTTTGCTTTCAGGTGTAGCCAACGCTTGATCTTCTCCTTCTTCCCTTTCTTTTTCAGCTTCTTTGTCCTCTTTTTCTCCCCTTTTTTCTCCTTCTATTTCTTCTTCCTCTACCCAAATCTCGGCTCCTTCACCTGCTTCTCTGCTTTCCTTCTCGTACATCAACGCAGACGTTTGCTCATGTATCTGTTCTTGATAAGCTTCAGCATCCTGAGTTTCTAATTTTGCCGTTTCTGTATCCATGTCAGACATTTCGGCACCCTCGGCTGTGGCTGCCTCGTCTCTCATTTCTATCTGAGAGGCGGTCACACCTGAGGACAAAATACGCTTTGAAGTCATTCCACATTACATAGTACAGTGTCAGTGATCAAATTAAAGTCATTGCTTATTTCCAAGCTTACAAGGTGTCCAACATATAACTGTCTGATTTAAATTGCGCGCCATTTTTGATACACGCATTTCACTGGGTGGCATAGTAGTAGTTGTTTAAAGCACATGTGTCCAATTCATCAAGGAGCACTACACGATCCCACAACGCGTCCGTATTGTCAAACGTTTTACTTAAATAATGAGTCGATTGTTGCAACGATTCGGAAGCTGCGACAAGATTTCGGTAGAAATAATGTGCCCAGTGTCAACACCATTCGTCAGTTGGTGCGGAAATTTGAACAAACAGGTGAGGTTAAAGACTTGTCAAGGTCGGGCCGTGTGCGAGCTATTCGTACTTCGGAAAAAATCGAGAGAGTTTGTGAAAGTATAGTAGAGCCCCCTGAGACGTCTACCAGACATCGTTCTCATGGACTGGGTATTCGTCGCTCGTCATTATGCACTATTTTAAAAAAATACTTGCATTTGCGGAAATACAAAATGTCGTTAATCCAAGAAGTACAGCCTAGTGACCATGAAAGACGCCGACAATACGGTCATGCAATATTGCAGCTTAATCGACAAAATAACGATTCTTGCCAACAACTGATAATGAGCGATGAAGCCCACTTCGATATGGACGGATTTATTAATAAGCAGAATTATGGTATCTGGTCACAGTTTGGTGCGGTGTTTGGTACCGAGGTATCACTAGACCTTACTTCTTTGAAGACGCTGTAGGTAATTCTCTATACCAGGGCTGTCCAACATACGGCCCGTGGGCCGCATGCGGCCCGCGAACTCCTTTCTTGCGGCCCGCTTCACGGGTCATGTATACATCACATGTATAAATTACTCTCAAATACCGAATATGCACAATTCTTACATTAACGATAAAATACAATAACATGTGAAGCCACTGGCGGCCGATAGCAGGCCGCAGCGAATTTACTGGAAATTGGACCGATCTCTCGATCATCCCCGAATATTCGAGAAGCCACGGGCGCGTATATAAGAAGGTTGAATCAAGTGGGACAAGCAGGTTTGTTCTAGTGCTAGTGCGTTTGAGTACACATCAACTCTAAAGCCTTTTTAAGTGAAATACTCCGTGAAATATGTCTTCGCAGAAACGAAAAGTAACGAAAAAACATCGAGTTTATAATGACCGTTGGGAATCAGAATATTTAATCTCAAACAATAATAATAAACTTCTGTGCGTTGTTTCACTCACTACTCTATAAAGAATTTCAAAAAAAGATTGAAGAATTTTATCTCTGATTCCATTGCCCAGTAAGTAGACCATGGCCATGAATAAGGACTCGTCACAGGTTTTTTTTACGTTAACTCTTGTTTTCATTGGCATTAGAAAATATACATAAATATTTGTTGGGTTAAGTTGAAAAACGCTTTTTAGCGACACTTCGCCTTTTTATACTTTGTATAAATAAAGCCGGATTTTCATTATTATTATTATTGTTTGTATGCAAGTACTATCGGCTCCTAAAGAATATAATATGAAACGACATTACACTACGTTACACGAGAAAACGTTTCGGCAATATTCAGGGGACTCGAGGCTATCATAACGGAATACAAGAAAAAACTAAAACAACAAACAAGTTTTTTCAAAAAATCTGACTCTGATAACAAGTGCAGTATCGCCCCCTCTTACAAAATAGCGCTGGAAATTGCCAAAGCAAAAAAACCTTTTAGTGATGGAGTACTTATCAAAAAGTGTGCAATAGAAATGGCGAAACAATTCAATGAATTAAAAGTTGCCGAAAAATTTGAAACAGTCTCAGTATCGCATCAAGCAATTGCAAGACGGGTGAACCATATCAATGAACATGTATCCAAAAAATTGCGTGACGTGGTTGAAAAATGTAAATATTTTTCGCTATGCCTGGATGAAAGCACTGATCTGTCTGACATTTGTCAGCTTGTAATTTTTATCCAAACTATTCAAGACGACTTCAGTGTAGCAGAGGAGATGCTCGACCTTATTCTTCTCCATGGTACAGCCAAGGGTACAGATATTTTTGAAGCTGTGAATAAGTTGGTGTCAGACTACGGGGGATTTGATAAATGTTCCTGTATTGTCACTGATGGCGACAGAGCTATGACAGGGACTGAAATTGGATTTGCAGGACTATTGAAACAAAACAGCATCAACTGTCCTATGATACATTGTATTGTTCACCAAGAGAGCTTATGTGGAAAATCATTACGTCAAATAAATGTCATGAAAGTGGCTGTTAAAATAACTAATATTATTAGAGGGGGCAATCGTGCTTTGACTCACAGAAAGTTTTTTGGCTGAAGTGGATGCTACATATGGGGACTTGTTACTTCACACCGATGTTCGTTGGTTAAGCGCGGGAAAGTGTTTGCAACGATTTTTCGCTCTACGCAAGGAGATTTCCATTTTCCTCAAAAATGGAGTGAAGTCCGACACTACGGAACCGAAAAATCAAATGGCAGATGCACAATTTTTAGCAGACCTTGCATTTTTAACAGACATGACATTTCACCTTAACGAATTGAATCTGAAGCTACAAGGAAAACAGCAGAATATTGCCAACTTTTTTGGACACATAAGTGGGTTTAAGAATAAAATTAAGCTTTTCAAGTCTTCATTACAAAAAAATGATTTTTCATTTTTTCCAAGTTGTAAAGAACATTTCGAAGAAACGAAGGATTTTGAGAAAGTTTCATATTTACCTCATATAAAATACATTGACACAATTGCAGAAGAATTCAAAAATCGATTTAGTGACTTAAAAATCGAAAGCGACATTTCAGTTTTTACTCAGGCACTAACAATTTCTGTTGGGAACGTAAGCAGAGCAGACCTTCAACTGGAATTGTGTGATTTGCAGTCAGATCCTTTTTACCAAGGAAGAACTGAAACTGGCTTGGACTTTTTTAAGTTACTGCCAGGAGAACGATACCAACTTGCGAAACTTAGGAGTTACAATGGGATCAATGATGGAAAGCACGTATCTTTGCAAAAGCAGCTTTTCCAACATGAAATTTATCAAGTCAAAGTATAGATGTTCCCTCTCTGATAAGTCACTTACTCAGTTACTTCGTGTATCAACAACAAATATTAATGTTGATATTGATGCATTAGTATTAGAAAACCAACATCCTCAAATCTCCCACTGATTTTTTTTGTAATTTCATATTTTTTGAATAAATAAAAATAATATGAATACTATTTTTGTATATACCTATTAAAACTCAGTAATAATGTGGTATAGAAAGATTTTATAATGCGGCCCTACAAACTGCATTTTTTTTGAAGTGGCCCTTAGGCGCTCGAGGTGATCGAAAGTGCATTATGACAAAAGTATAATCGTCTCCATTATACAATTGATGGTGTGAACGGACAGTGACAGGTGTCAAGAGAAGTAGTAGAAATCTAAGGATCTCATCAAGAAAGCTTGAGAGAGTTGAGACGCAATGACAAGATAAACACATATCTACGACGAAACACTTCTACGGACTATGGGGCTATCTACTCCGTCTAGCTCGTGCTCAGGAAATCAATTTAGTAAGGAGCGCCAAGTGCTCAAAAATCAAAACATCCCACCCGCTCTTCAATTTTTTCCAACAGCAAAACAGGTCTCTGGATTTCCCTTTAGCCTGAGGCCATTTCAGATGTAGGTCCGAACTTACTGTATGTCTAGAGGCTCTTGCATCGCTTAAAGCGATCCCATGAGCTATGGTCGGTGGCTCAAGATTAAGAGCCCTTCCTTACCAAGAAGCCATGGTGACGTAGCCAAACTAAGCTATTGAAATAAATGGCGGTTCCCTGGCGTGGCGACTAGTGCTTACAGCTACCAAAACTTTTTGGGGGCGACATCGCCATGGCGTCCCGGTTATAGATTTTTGAATAATTTCGGATTTTGGGAAAAAACATCCCGTATTTCCAATTAATATTTGAACACGTTAGTGATCAAAGTTCCCGCTTTAAATTCACAATCCGATTATGTATGGACCACAGTGTCTCCCTTGACGCTCTCATAAATGTCTTTTAATGGTTTCTGAAGCTTCTCATGTGTTCTCTAATAATTAAAACCACTGTTATACAGGGTGTCCTGAAGGTTTTGACTTTCTTTTTTAGTCGGCTACGTTTGCAATACCAAAGTTCATTTACAGCAAAACATGGAAAACGTAAAAATGAAATTGAAAAAAATACTCACTATGATTTGGTAAGGCATTTCAACTGCTGCCTTGTCACATGTTTTGCACGTACACATTGCTTGAGTTTGTCGCTGTTCGATTCGAAAATGCGAGTTTGCTTACCTCTTCCTAAATTTGCAACATTTGGGTCTGTCTAGCTCTTCGTGTTCAACCAGACGGCTTATACGCTATATAAACAAATATGTGCAGCTCTGATGGAAAGAAACATCGACGATGTTGACGTTCTGAGTACGCTCGCGGAGTATCAATAGGATCTTGAAGACACTCATATCAAATTGATAACTGCGTATTGCTCTGGGAATGTGCCAATTTCGGTTTTCCAAATGCGGTTTGTGTTTAACCTGGACAACACGCGACGCCTTATTTGGAAACTCATTCACTTATGTTTTGACGTAGGAGGGTATTATGTTATGGGAGGGTGGCAGAGTCGCACTTTCTCAGTTTTTGCTTTTTGGAACATATCGCGGTTATCTTAAAGCTTTGGTATACATGTTACTGAAAAGACATGCATATTATTGCCTGGCCTATACGATCTGTTAATGAAAGTATCAGCTTTGAGGTCACCCTGTATAATGATTTAGTATTAATTTCATATTTGTTTCATTGACATTCGCTTGCGACCTGCATACCTTGCTCAGAGAGTTGAGGATAATCAGAGGACTTATCAGCTACGTCTATTTGAGAGCTAGTGATTCCCTGGTCTATCCCTTCTGGTGATTGAGCTGCTTTCTCCACCATGGCGATTTCATCGCTGATAGCTTGCTGATCGGTCGTTGACACAGCTTCGCCTTCTTTGTCCACCATACTGATCGGAAAGCTTATAGTTTCTTCATCCTTTTGTCTGAAATAGAACATGGTTGTGTATTATTCAAACTTCTATTGATATTCATTTAATTTCTGGGATTTGATAGATACCAGGAGGGGAAAGTCCTGAGCAGTACAATATAATGAATAATGCAAAATTCGCATTAGGCAAGGCACTGCTGGGACAGCCGACACTTCATGTCTGAAATAATTGTGTTACGATCGTTTTGCTGATATTTGCTCAAACAACTGTAACGACAAAAATATATGGAATATACTTTTGTGATGGAGGAAGTGACTGAAAATAAAGATCGCACTTGGCTGCTTGTGGTCGCCGCTATTTGTTGTTAATCGATTGCGATGTGTGATAGCTGTGATAGGTGAATGCTTTTTGTGAGCCTGAAAGGATTCGATAAGCCCAGCAATGCTGATACCATTTCTGGAACAGCGTATGAAAGTACGCAACACTCACATATACCAAAAATCACCTATACAAAAGGTACATAATGAAAGAGATACTAAAAGATTATAAATTTCCAAAAAATAAGAATCTTATATAGATTATGTGTCAATCGAACAAATGGGGACAACTATTGATAACTAGTACGTACCAATCCATGGTTCTTCGGCTTTGTCCGCCGTACTGATATGAGGGCTCATCATGCCCTTTTCATTACTGATTGGATATCCAGTAGATTGGTCTATCATGTCAATTGCGGTAAGCATTACTTCTTGGTCAGCAACTGTCAGTCCAGTTCTGGCATCAATTACCGCTGGTACTCCTGCTACTCCGGCTGGACCTCCTGCTATTCCTACTGCGTCTGGTACTCCTGCTAGACCTCCTGGTAGTCCTATTTCTCCTGGCACTCCTGCTGGATCTTCCGATGCTCCTGCTGAACCTTCCGATACTCCTGCTGAACCTCTTTCTATTCCTACCGCTCTTGGCACTCCTGCTAGACCTTCTGGTACTACTGCTACTCTTGGTACTTCTACTGCTCCTGGCATTTCTGTTGGACCTCTTGCTACTCCTACTGTTTCTGGCACTCCTAGCGGACCCTCTGCTACTTCTACCGGCTCTGGTTCCTCTAAATCTGCTGGGTATATAGTTTCACCTGGCAATCCTGTTACTCCAACTCCTGGGCCTATGATCGGTCCTTCCGAATATCCAGATGTGTCTCCTTCTATCCCTCCAGATAGGTCTGTGGCTAGAGAACCATCTGAAAATGAGAGATTTCTGAGTTGTACCAACATTCCAGTCATGCAGATTATAGAGAATTGCATTGAAAAAGTCCTATGAATAACAAAATGCTTTTGATACATAATGCATTTCGCTCTATTCAAAACGTTGGTAGTGACAGATTGATACAGAAACGCACATACATGCGTTGAGCCGATTTCGGTAAAATTTCTAGCAGTGGTATGTTGTGGGGGGCTTATGTTTATGAGAATCGATGCATTCGCGGCGTAGAGATTAACAAAAATCAAATACAAAACACACTTTATTCCATGCTTTTTGGCTATTTGATCATTTTTGGGTAAATATTTTTTTAAGTGTTATCTACAATTAGAGCCATGCATCGGCACACCATCTTGTTTCCTTGTTTCGGTAAAAAAAATTTTGAATAATATATGTGGGATCCTACCTGAAGTGATGAAGCTCTTTTGTTCTGCGATTCTTTGTAATTGCGCTCTTTCGCTCTCGAATTCAAGCTGAGCTGCTACAGAAGACCTGTGCCTCTCGTTACTCAAACGGTCTGTTGGAAGATGAAAAATTAACAAAAATGCTGAAAATATCAATAGGAGAAATTTAAGAATGTCGGTTGGTTTTCTCTTCTTGCTAAAATAGCTTTATCGCCAATGCACCGATTTGAAAAGGTTAAGTTGTACAACCTTCTATAAATCCATAACAAATAGCTCCTCAAGTCTTCCCCCAATTGGTGATTTTTGTCATTCCATATCCAAAAGCTTATATGAGATTCAAAAATATAGGTCTTTCTTAGGTTTTTGACTGTTACGTCAACGATGGCATATGAATTAAGTAAACATATTGACTAATTGTATCACATGCGGCGCTTAACTTCTCTAAGGGAAATTGCACACTGGCCAAGTTAATGCTTAACATAGCTGCTACTCACTCTTGCACGCTTGCACGCAGATAGGGGACCGTTATTTGCATTCACTTTCTGAAAATTCTCTAATAAATTTAACATAGATTGCTGACATTCTAGTTCTGTCTTCAGGCAATACTATGTTTTTCAATGAAGATCAACAAAAAATAAACGCAAATACGAGTATATGCCCATTATGAGCAAGTTGTCCTAATGACAATATCAAACATGAAATTGAAGGGCTCATACGCTGATGCAGTTTTCAAGAAGATGAAACAAAACTAAAGAACGTATGTCTGTGAGCAGCAAACACTCGCGCATCGATAAAGCTTGCATTGGTATTTGTGAGGGGGATGGATGTTTGAAAATTATTCCTGTAGATTCACTCTGACAGGCCAAGAACTGTGAAAAAACCATATTCCTTGCACGATATTCATTTGATTTGAATTTTGAGGTTCTTACCTACGCCTGTGCTTGGTTTCCGTTTATACTTATCATCGAAGGAGCTATCCTGCGTTGTACTGTCCATGGCGCTGTCCATAGCACGTCCTTCAGTAAACGATTGTGAAATGGTATCACCAAACACCACGCCTGGTACACCTGGAGCTATTTCCATTTCTTCTTCTTCGTGAAGGTATGTGATTACCTGTAAGCCAATAGCAAAATGTAACGAATTCAGTTCTCAGTACTAGCAGATTTCATTACTGATTCAATACGCTTGCCATCCAAACTCTTTGAAAAGTTCCATAAGTTGTTGCTGTATTGGATACAGACATTCTAATTATAATAAAAATTATGGTCTTGCTTATAACGTTTCAGAGTTAGCAAAATATCTTTAAATTTGTCTGAGATTTATATTAGCGTGAAGGAATTCTATATCTACAACTTTGGTGATCAAGTTTTTCGAGCAGTACATAAAACCGCCTAGCCCCAAATTTTATTGTAGTCTCACCTCTATTACACCGTCGTCTGTATAATTCAAGATAGTTTCTATAACACCACTAGGTCCTTCTGTGATGACCTCCAGGTTTCCAGAAGATGTGATCGTTGTAGTGACGTGAAGTCCTGGTGGTGGTTCAGTCAATATTTCCGCTCTGGTCTCAACCTCGAATGGGAAATCACCAGTATGCTTTTCTGTGAACTGGCGTGGTACGTCTGGCACAATTAGGATGTGTGCTGCACTTTCTGGACCTCCTAGACCTTCTCGTCCTGATCCTATTGGAAACGCACTTCCTGGACCCCCTGGACCTCCTTGTTCTGATCCTCCTGGAAATTCTGGACCATTTGGTCCATATCCTAGTAATCCTTCTGGGATTGCACTTTCTGGACCCCCTGGACCCTCTCGTTCTGATTCACCTGGGAATCCTGGACCCTTTGGTCCATATCCTAGTGATCCTCCTGGGTTTGCACTTACTGTACTCCCTGGACCCTCTCGTTCTGATTCACCTGGCAATCCTGGACCCTTTGGTCCATATCCTAGTACGGAAAACTGTTTTGTTAAGTCAGATAAAGGTTGCATCCCGAACTTTTCATGTTGAAAATGAAGAATTATATACCATGTTGATAATCATAATAAACTTAAGATGAATGCTCAGTTTTTTACCTCGTGAATATCCGGCTGAACCTGCGGGAGGCATGCCACCATCTTTTTTTGGTAGTCGACGCCCAGTCATACAAGGAAGTCCCACCTGAAGAAATGAGAATAGTCAATTTTAAGGCAGTGGTGAAGATAATGAACCAAGAATATTTTTAGGCGGTGCCAGATATGATTTTGTAATCAGCAATGGCTCCTTTCTTCTAACATCCGAATTAGAAAAAATACAGGGTATCCCAAAATAAGACCGAAATCTCTCGGATATATAAATGTAAAATACAAAAAGTCAAATCAAATGGCGCCTCATAAGAAGGCGTCCATACAACTATTGGTAGCTTCTTACACCCTTCGAAATAAAGACACAAGAATACATTTCTGGTAGAACTTCGGTAAAAGAACACACATGTGGAAATTACCCTTAACTGACGTTTCTGCCACCACGATGGACTATTTCAGAGTACTACTTGGATCTTCAAGTGAATATTATATATTTATCTGTCTTCCAGGTGATATTATACTTATTATTCTACTTATAATTTTAAGACAGCACCGCGGAAATCCAGCAAAGCCCAGGACCGCCTTGGGTAGCCATGTCCTCTTCCAAAACGCGTCCAGCCCCTAGAATGCGGCAAGCGATCATTAGGATGTCTGTTGTTTTGGATGTACAGTTCTATTTATAAAAAAAGCGTACACGAATTAGAATGAGAGGAAACCTTAACCTTATTTGCGTAAAACCGGCTTGTCTAAATGATTGTTTATTGGAGGTTATCATACGTCGTAGATTGTCAAAAATGCAAAGCATTGACGTCGGTGTGATTCATTTCGAAAATGCGTGGTGGTAACGTTTGATAAACTTTGACAGAAGAAAATAAAAATGCCTCGTCAGTTGTCTGAAGTTGAAAAGGCTCAAATTGTATCAAGAATCGAAGAAGGATGGTCAATCCGTGCTGTAGCGCAGTTGTAAAATAGAAATAAAAAAAGCATATTGAAAATTAAGCAACGCTGGGAACAGGAAGATTCCCTAAAGAGGAAAATTGGTTCAGGTCGTCCCAAACTTACCAACCCTGAACAGGATGCTGCTTTTTTGGGATATTTAAGAAATAATCCATTTGCAACTGTAAGGGATGCTGTTATTGATACAGCATTTCCTGCCTCCCAACCTACCGCCAGCAGGAGAGTAATGAAATCTGAACTAAAATGTCACCCTGCTGCGAAAAAAATGTTTCTTAACGAAGAACGGCGACAATCAAGGATTATTTTTGCTTTAAATTATATATACCGCAATCCTCAATTTTGGAACAGGGTCATTTTTACTGATGAAAAGACGTTCCAGTCGACTTATAACGGCCAAATTCGTGTTTACCGTCCAAACAATACCAGGTTTGAAGAGCGATATACTAACCCCCTCAATTGTAGACCTGGGCGTTTCTCTGTAAATGTATGGGGCTGGATAAGTGTTCATGGACCTGGTGTTTGCTGGCGAATAGAGGGAAGATTTAATGCCGGAAATTACATTAACATTTTAGAAAACATATTGTTACCAAGTGCTGAGCAAATATATCCCAATAATACGTTCATATTTCAACAAGATAATTGTCCAGTTCATACGGAAATGCTGTAACCCACTGGTTTCAAACCCATAATGTGGAAGTGCTGTCTTGGGTCGCTTATAGTCCCGATATCAATCCAATCAAAAATATTTGGGGTATAATCGTAAAAAAATATATAATCGAAATTTTAGGCCACAAAATTCAGAAGATTTATGGGAAATAATACATGCGTGCTGGGAAGAGCTTGATCCAAATATTGTATCAAATATAATTCAGTCAATTCCGAATAGACTGGCTCAAGTAATAGAAAAACAGGGATATATGACCAAATATTAGATTTTATTTATTCTTGATCGTTTTTTGTTTCTATTGTAATTTTTATAAAACTGTTAAGATGTAAAATAAAGAAATACATTTTTGTTACTGTATTGAACTAATGCCCGACGCCTATGCTTTGCATTTTTAATAACCTTTAACATGCGATAAGCCGGTTTTACGCAAATAAGGTTAAGGTTTCCTCTCATTCTAATTCGTGTACGCCTTTTTTATGATTACAACTGTATGTATCAAATATGTCACTCTCGCTTATCGCCCCGAAAACGTCAAACGACACCCAGCATGCGAAAATCTACCTAGAACTTTAAATAATTTTCGAGTCGTTTCTGAAGGAATCACTCTTGTTTCGGACCAGTTCTTTTAGTCTTGGTAGTTAATTCAGTATACTGGTTCTGCCATTTTGAAAGTATACCAATTCTGATAATATATTCGTAATCAGTGATAGGCAGGAGTATTATGTAAAAAATCGATATAATGTCATTAGAAGTTGGTATAATGTCAACTTGTATACTAGCTAGTTGCTAGTTTAGCCACGCGCACTCGCTGTGAATGCCGCCCATTAAGGAGTATCACAACAACCTACAGTACAGAATTTACAGCTCAAGCTATAGAAGCTATGAATGGCCGCCATTAGTCCCATCTCAAGCAGGTGCTACATCATGTCAGAGAAAAACCAAATAGCTCAAGCGTCATCTCGCTTAGGCAACACGCACTGCTCGTCAGCAGAAGGTTAAGGCACACAGAACCTCCTTACAAAACTATACTGCAGATAACACACAAGCCGACGTTGAGTACAGAAACAAATACAACCAAGAGGTCCGCAATGCCAAAGACCAGCACGATATAAAAGTTAAGCACAGCAGCGCAATGGCAGTCGGTCTTTCTAGATACTGGCCAAGCGAATTGAAAAGAACTTCTCTTGGTAGCCTTTCACCACCTATGTATATATTGTAACCGACTCGAAGGCTATGGCGGAAGCGCTTGCTGAGATTTTGCTGTCAACTCCACCATGACGTTCATCCCAACGCCCGAGTTCCGTCAATTCAAAGGGTTCCCTACACTATGCGTAAAGTAGCATTCAGATAAGTACGTGGGTGTTCCCCAGGGATCAGTGTTGGTTGAAGTGCTGCCGCCCCGACTACATGCTTTACGCTCGATGGTGTCCAGAGGAGCGCTGTCTGACTGATCGGTGACTCTTCTCTAACAGACAGTCTCGGGACCCTCGCACCGACGGCCCGTCGGCAATCTAGCCCTTTTCTGTCGCTACACCAACGGGCTTTGCTCATAAGAGCTCTCCTCCATCATGCCGCCGCGTGATGTGCCTGCCAGACTGGCTTCAGCCTCCCATCCTAACCATGTTGAACTTCGTAAAAGAGGAGGCTTTTCCTAGTTCTATATGTAGTTCAGAAATCGGATTAACAAAGTTTCTTTGGTATCTTTATAGCAGCCCCGGTGACCTGGCTTTATGCGTCTGTCTGCGCGGCTGGTTTGGTATACAAAAAAACTACAAGTGAAGATCAAGCGAATGACGTTAAGTGATATTTTTTAGGTAAGACCTACATAATCTCATTAAAAGTCGATATTATGTGGCCGCAGTTGGTTGTGCTGCTTTGAAAAATTCGTTGAATTATACAAGGTTATTCGAGTAAAACTGATTTACAGTAGTGTCCCTTAGGTCCAACTTGCGTTTCTGAAGTAATGGATCTAATATGGTCGAATTCTTGTAACATTATTCTCAAACTCAAACTAAGGAAAGCTATACGATTTGTGTAAGATGGTCACTTAATTCTCATATTAATTCAAAAAATACTTCGTGTATCACCTGACTTAGCTAATATACAGGGTGTTTCAGTTTATTGTTGCATAACTTTAAGATTCGATAGAACTTTTAAAATTAATGCATAAAGTCTATATAAACATGGGTCGAAAAATGCGTGGCTTCCGAAATACAGGGTGTTTGAATTTACTTTCTAAAATAGTTTTTTTTTTAAATATTTCGAACAATATGTATAACAGTGAAAATTGGTATACAAGGGTTTTTTGGTACGACAAAACGAACCATGGACATAGTTTTACTGTAGCCGCTAGAGGGCGCTCTCTACTGTACCTGTAGTGTATTAAAATGACCGAAAAATTTTTCTTAGTGCAATTTTTTGCTTTTTGAATATAAAAACTGTTTCTTTGCACTTTTGAACATAAAAAAGCTCTTCTGTGAGTTTTCGTTATAGTTAGCCGTTTTTGAGATATTTCTATTTTTAAGGTTCGATGCATTTCTAATTATATATGGGAAAATAATATTTTTTTTACATTTTAGATTTGGGCATTACAAGTAATTAAGATGGTCGTTAAATTGTGTTTTTAAACACAGCAATAATTCCTAACTCCAAATAAACACAAAAACAGAATATTAATTTGTTTAATTTTCCAATATTATTTTTAACAAATTAAATTAATTATTTACAACTAAAATGCTATTCGATAGTTAGGACAAACATACAAAATCTAAAGTAGTTGCTCGAAATGTAAACCCAATTGTTCAATACACAATTCACATCTACGAATGATCGAACGTGGTATAGTATTATTCAAATAAGGCCTTATTTCATCACATGCATTCCTGATTCTGTCTATTAGCATATCTCTTGTGGTTACAGGAGTCTGGTACACTTTTTCTTTTAGAAATCCCTACACAAAGAAATCTAATGGATTTAGGTCAGGGGATCGTGGAGGCCAGGCGACTGGTCCTCCACGGCCGATCCATCTTGCTGGATAATTTTCGTCCAGCCAGTTTCTAACTATTCTCGAATAATGAGCTGGACAACCATCAAGCTGGAACCATGCCAATCTTCTTAAATCTAACATAACATCATCCCACATATTCGCATGTTCAGCCTTTAAAAATTCCAAGAAGGTCGCAGCATTTAACCTTGCAGGCAAAAGGTAGGGTCCAGATAGTCTATTACGGTAGATACCAATCCACACGTTCACACTAAATTCATGTTGAAAATTTCTTTCCCGAACTGCATGCGGATTTTCATGCGACCAAATATGTTGATTATGAAAATTTACCACTCCACGTCTAGTGAAGCATGACTCATCGGTCCATAAAACGTTACTTAAAAACTCCCTATTATTATCAGTTCTATCAAGAATCCACTGACAAAATGTGATTCTTCGTTCCCGTCCCCTGGCTGTAGTCCTTGCGCAGGTTGCAAATGGTAAGGACGTCTATGGTCATTTCTAAGAACACGGTGAACATGGCTTGCTGAAATTCCCAAGGCACCAGAAACTCTCCTAACACTTGTGATCGGATCTCTATCAAACTCACGCAGAATCATACGGGTAAATCTGCGCTGACGAACATTTATGTTTTGATCCCTTTGGAGATTTCCAAAACCATTTTCAATTATTTGGCGATGCACTCTTACAAATACTGAGCGAGTTGGATGTCGTCTGTATGGAAATCTTCGTGCGTATTATCTGGCTGCTTCTGCTGCGTTTCCATTTACAAAGCCATACACAAAATGAGTATCCGTTAACTCTTGATTGGAGAATATAAATGGCATTTTTATAAAACTTACAAAAAAAACAGGTAAAAGAAACTAAATTTCGTGCATTCACAATTGCAAAAAAATGTTTCAGGTTTCAACAGACAACAAAACTAACTGTCAACTAATTGACGTTTAACCTTATTCTGCTTTCAATTTCAAAAATATTTGCAGGCTCAGTCTACTTCTAAAAAGTATCGAGATACTGACTTTTTAACGTTATTTTATCATAAATAATTAAAAATGCATCGAACATTAAAAATCTAAATATCTCAAAAACGGCTAACTATAACGAAAACTCACATAAGAGCCTTTTTATGTTCAAAAGTGCGAAGAATCAGTTTTTTTATTCAAAAAGCAAAAAATTGCACTAAGAAAAATTTTTCGGTCATTTTAATACACTACAGGTACAGTAGAGAGCGCCCTCTAGCGGCTACAGTAAAACTATGCCCATGGTTCGTTTTATCGTACCAAAAAACCCTTGTATACCAATTTTCACTGTTATACATCAAATATTGTTCGAAATATTTAAAAAAAAACTATTTAAACACCCTGTATTTCGGAAGCCACGCATTTTTCGACCCATGTTTATATAGACTTTATGCATTAATTTTAAAAGTTCTATCGAATCTTAAAATTATGCATCAGTAAACTGAAACACCCTGTATAATGATGACCATGTACAAAAACATATTTTACTATTTCTTGATTTATTATGAGAATTAGCCCATTTTACTCAAATCGTATAATTTTTTTTATTGTAAGAGTCATGGACCATATTGATTAGATTCATCACTTCAAAGACGCCTTCTCAGTGGTCGAAGTTGTGCTGTTGCCACAAATTTTGTGCACCGGCTAGCAAAATCTGACCTAAGGTGCTGTATTTACGTGGGGAAGTCCCGTAGGACATTTTTTATAGGAGGTTGTGGCATCACCTTATCGTCTTTGTATGCCCCCGAAAGATGGACTTGCTATTCTGGGACACCTTATATAATAGATTTGCTCTAAGAGAGTTTCTAAAACTAATACGTACCGTGTAGCAGGGAGAATCAGGACCACACACTCTTGGACATGGTTCAAAATCATCATATCGCGAGATACCTGGTGGTGCACTTGGTGGAGCACCTGCTAATGGTGGTAGAGCAAATCCAGCCATCGGGAGAGTATATCCTGGAGGTGCAGGACCAAAACCTGCAGGCGGAGGGCATGGACAAACACCTAATGGCACGCTAGGCTGTGTGGTTGGCGTTTGTGGACGTGATGAGTCGAATGGCGCGGGGGGCTCTGCAGACATCGCAGGAGGTGATTCAGCTGCTGCAGCAGGAGGAGACCTCACTCTTTCTATAGGTGCTCCTTCTGATGATGCTGATACGTCTGTAGCTGGAGGTGTCAGATCTAAGACTTTAGCTTCATCAACTAGAGGTGCCGCTCTCTCCATTTTTTTGACGCAGGGCATTCCGTGCGCTGCGCAGACTGCATCTGGACCACATGATAATCCAGTTTGAGATAGCTCAGAAGGAAGATCACCTGATGGCGTTTTACCGGATGGAATACCTGCAATGAAAATTTCTTAAGCTGCGTAGTTAGAAATTGACTTTATTTTTGTTGGTTGTGGTGAGTTTTAGGCTACTAGTGACTGGACTTTGAGTTACCATGGCCACTATCGCTTAATCATGATTTAAGTTGCCCACTCAAGCGACGCGGGGGGAACCGTGGCGACATTGGTCATTTTAGTGCGCAGGTTCTTATTTGATTAGCTTCTTTTCCCTTCGCCCCCCTTCCCCTCAGTATACGAGACAAGCAACTGTTTTGAAGCGATTAACCAGTCAACACTTGGTGAAAATCGATATCTGTTCAACTGGATTAAGGATATCAGAATATCAGCATCTGCTGATAGTAGTTGCTTTAATAGTCACAGTTGTTCTTACCTGCAGCAACAACTGGGGCAAGGTCATTCACACCTGTTGCAACATCAACTGTAATTGGGGCTAAATCAACCACAGCCAGCGTTATTTCTTCTTGACCAATTGGTTCAACTGGCGGTTTCGATGGATTTTCTGCATCATCGCTTGCTGCAGGAGATGGATCCTCAACATCAACTGCAGTTGGGGCCAAATCAACCACAGCCAGTGTTATTTCCTCTTGAGCAGCTGGTTTACCTGGCGGTTCTGATGCATCTTCTGCATCATCGCCTGCTGCAGATAGTTCCTCAGAAGCAGGTTCTTTTTCGGCAGGTACTTCTGCTGGTGCCTCTGCAGGTTCGGCTGCTCCTTCCTGATCTAGCATCTTTGAAGGCGTTGGTGTTGAGTAGGTGGATGGAGCTTCTTGAGAAGCTGTTGCAGGGAAGTTCGTTTGGGTTTTAGTTTCTTATGGAAATAGGCAGAGCAGAATGACCTGTCGATGTCTGAAGTGTAACAAATGTGAAGGCGTTTATATGAATGATGCCACAAAAACGTTTGAGCTATGTAATGAAAACACGAGAGTCGTTGATTAAGAGTTCGTACTTAGTCACAATATTCACAGTATCGGTACCAATGTATAATACATGCATAACATATAAAGATACTAATTATTTACCTATACTACCAATGAAAAAATTACAAGCTTGATGATAATACGGACAAACAAGTATTTATAGTAGATACGTACTTTTAAGATACAAAGTGAGCTTTTATTACCTGGAGGTTCCAAAGCAGTACCAGATTGAGTGTCGACAATCTTCGTTAGCTTAGTTTCTTGAATGCCTTTATACTTTCTGGTAGAACATTGACAGCATCCATCCTTAATTGCAGGCAGCGATTGACAGAAGCAGTCTTTCTTTTTTTTATCGCCACTGGAGTCTTCCTTTGTAATAAATTAAACAAATGGTAGTTTATAGTGGAATAGTGATGTTCCAAGGGAGACGTGACAACATCCATAATATATAATTTGCATGGAAAAAATGCAGAATTCGTGGTCATATGCAGACGTTGGATGACCTTTACGTTATTTTTATATGCCACAGTTTTGGAATAGGTGGCGTTAGTTACTAATCCTGATATCGCAATCGTGGTTGTGTTATCAAAACTCTTGTATATTCTCTAACTAAAGTCTCTACCTTTCTACTACAGACCAAATCGGACAAATTCTTGATACATGTCGCAGCATCTTTCAAGTCTTCTGGAAGGTTGGCACATATGTCACATGGAGCTGTATCTTTAAGAGTTTTGCTTAACTTCCTTGCTATTATATGTAAGCTGGAGTCTCTGCCTGATTCACATATACACGCTGATTCTTTTTTCTTCTCCTTGAAACGGTGATATGCATTTGAGTTTGAGCTCCCAAGATTCAACTTGCACAAAAAATTAACTTTTCAACACAGTTATTGACCGTCATATCTGTGAAATCAATTTTGAGCAATCGACGCAACTCAGCATGATGAAATGATACAAGTACTGGGAGCAGTCAGCAGAAAGTTTGCTGTAATTTTAAAAAATGTGTCACTTCGGGAGAGAAATGCCGACATTGCTTAAACTCTCTGAAGCTTCTCTGCCCGAGAAGCTATATTCGAAGAAGTTTGTATTAGTTACGTTACCCCGAACAAGGTAATACATAATCATTTAAGGCAGATTATGATCTGTACCTTGTGAACCAGTAGTTTGTTAATTTTTCGGACAGAAAATTGACACAGTGTTCAAAAAATAAGGAAATTGAAAATTATTATTATGAACTGAATCTGTTAGCTATCCATGTCTGTAACTATGACCTACCGCATACAAAGTTGTTCCATGCTTATTAGCAATCGTCAGTACGATGTAGCTCTTGAGGATACTTTGTATTCCGCATGATTGATGGTACGTCCGTTTAATAGTAGTTTTGGCGAACTCTTTGTTGGTGATCTTTGTCAGTGTTGTCACCTCTTGTGCACAACATACCGAGTTTTTCAGTAGACCATACCTGCTCGTTTGCTTCTGACTTGTCTGCCTCCAACGGCTAGACCTACAACGCAATGATGATTGAACAAGCATGAAACAATGTTGTTTGAAGTTGGTCATAGTATGGTTACATAGATGGAGAGCTAGCAGATTTAGTTCAGCCTTGTCTATTGTGAAATTTAGCATAGCACGCCAGAGATCTCATATTACGGCTGATTAATGATGGTGGGCGACATCTACCCGACAAGGCAACTATCATTCAGTGTAGGCCAGCGAAAAGTAGGCACCCTCTGCCATTTTCAGCTATGGGTGCGGGTTAGCGCTGTCACCTCTTATTAATACAACAAGATAACACAATTTTCTGAAATACTATCTTTCACTGTTTAGGTAACGTACCTTTCTGCTTTCCACCAAATCTGTGAGGTCTTTGATAACTTTGGCTGCGCCAGTTAGTTCAGCTGGCAGCTTGGAACATTCCTGGCATGGACCTGTCTCTTTTATCGTTTTGCTCAGCTTTCTGGCTATCACATGAAGATTGGAATCGCATTTGAATGGTTCTGTCCATCTACAGTGATCGCATTGACAGTCTGTTTCTTTTGTCTCTCTTGTGACATCTACGGAAAAGTTTGATAATATTAAAATGAAGTTTACCTGGAAGATATTAGAAGTGTATCAATTCAAATATCGTGAGATCCTGGTTCCATGAAAAGTGAGGTTTAAAAATTAATTTTTGAAAGTTTTATTTACCTTGGCATACTGCACAAGGTGAAGCTGGGCGATATGAAGCAGTCACCATTGGGTATCCACCTCCTCGTCCTGCCGGACAACCGTCTTGAATTGGGCAAGTAGGGCACGTACCTCGTCCTGCAGTAGGATAGGCACCGCCAGCGCCATAAGTGATGGGGTACGGGGAACAAGTACCATCTGCAGTTGGGTAGGCACCACCAGCCCCGCCCGGTATGGGATAAGTGGGACAACCACCTCCTGTGTCTGAATATGGTGACCTGAAATTCAAAGTTACAATATATTATCTACTAGTTAACAACGGCAAGGCATCTCTGAAACACTACCGCCTATTTATCTCCTTCTTTCTGTCTTCTTCCTTTCTCTCTGCCTTTTTCTAGTAACTGGGCAACCAGGCCTTCCGGACCTACAAGATTTTAATCAACAAAGGTCTTACGGACTGTCCTGATGTCTGTCGTGAATAGCAATAAACATTGGGATCTTAACAGATGTAAATTGTCTTAAAAACCAACCGCGTCCATCAGTCATCAAAACCGACGTGTTTACGAATTCAGTGTTATACGAGTATAGCAGACCAATGCTGATCAGTGAGCCAATAAAATGATAATGTTTTATTTAGGTACTTGGGTTCTTACCAAAACAAACCGGTACCCGTATTTCGTATATTAAAAAGTGATATATCGATTTTATATAACATTACATATTTAGGTTCTTTTGACATTATGTAGATTTTCCTATAGAATGTCACATCTGATCTAGCTGACATTTACTTCATGCTCACTTGAAGTAGGCGCGGATTTTGACATTTTACCGATTTGTTGACATTATATAGATTTTTTAGGAAATAACCCTGCGGTTTGAAACTCGACTTCAGCCCGATTTGCTCTTCATTTGCGCTGCTTTTGTATTCTTGTTGAAAACAACTGACAGGCAAACGACAGTCTCGCTCTGAGGTTGTGGAAAAATTCATCCCCCCCTTTTCCAAATCTGCCAGTTAGCAGAGGTGATTGGAATAATGTTGACAACAACCTCAAATTGAGTATTCTTACGTTACTCCGATTTGGTGAAAAGTTAGCTAGGATGAAGTTATAGCTGACAATAGTGCATCTGTAGTAACTTTTCAAGGAAATCACGTTCGCAACTACAAATCCTTTGATTGATTGTCTGTTTTTCTTTACTCCAAACCTATTCAAATATAATGTAATCCAATTTAGACTGAAAGCAATGTCTTCCCTGTTTCGTTATTATACTTGCTTTTGTAAACACAATTTCTGTTGAGTAGCTCCAAAATAATATCATCGCGCAAGATTTTTCGAACCAAACAGAGGACTTGGAAAAGCTTTCCATACAGGTATATGCAGTTTTTAATTTATTAAGAACTGGACAGCTGACAATTCAGGTTAGGAAACCCACCTTAATCAGAAAAATTCTTCGACTCAGCTCAACTGTCTGAGCTCCGCTCAAGACTTAAGAGCATTGACGATATGTTCCTACAGTGGTGGGTGACTTGTCGGTGACAGTGTCTGGGATCCGGCCTTGTAAATTCTGTCTATATAGCAGAATGAACGGAATTTATGTGGAGGGATCTTGGACACAATCATTAACAGGTTGGTGACATCTGTGCGAACAGGGCTTTAATGCAAAGAAACCATGGAAGTGAAGGTCAACTTAGCTTACAGTTGACCCAATTAAGACGGGGCAACTGGTTATAAATAGGTAGCGTATTTCACAAATAATGACTAGTCACATCAACCACTGTAGTGCTGCTCCAACGACCACGTCAGAGATTTTTTTTATACTCCAACTACCATGAAGGTCTACAGCCTAAACACCCATGGGATACCGTGGGGCTATAGAGGGATACAGGGGAAAGGTGGAATGCCACAGGGATCGAGGGAACACGTGTGCATGCAACATGCACACATTCTAGCCTCGCCTACGAGATCCGCCGGGTGGTACCTGTGCGTTCGACTGTCAGAGACCGTCTACCACCTACGGACAATCACAACATCTATAGCCAAGAGAAAAATTTCTCTTGGAAAGGGATTCGAACCCGCACAGCGCACGGCGACTGATCAGGAGACCGAAGAGTCTACAACTGCGGCCACCGCTGCTGCCTGGACTACTACTTGAATCACAGCTACTCGATAGAGAAGTAGAATACTTTTGTTGGATAATTTTCTGATACGAACTAAACGTTAGCTGACTCACTAACCTTTTGGCAAGGCGTTTGATAGTTTCTGCTTCGTTCAGCTTTTGCTTCACAAGATCATCTTCTAGTTTTGCGCATATACAATCTAGCGAATTTAGTTCATCCTTTAGACGGTTATTGATTGTGTTCAGTTCAGTCATGTTTGCACACGCGCAACATAGCTGCATCTTCAGGTTGTCCATTTCCTTGCCATATTGGTCCTGGCTCAACATCATGGTCTAACAAAAAAGAGAAAGAGCTTGAATAAATTTTACAATCATTAGATCTGTAAATGATTGCGTACGGGGTAGCAAGTTTTATAACAGTGAGGAGATTTCAAACCAAAATGACATCTATCAGCCATTCTTTGACTTTAAAGCTGAAATAAGCTCAAAATATAACTTTAAAAAGATAGAAAAAACTGATGAATATTCCATATTCCGGAATCAGCTTTTGAAGAACTAGATCAATGCGAACGCTTATGAAACACTTTGTATAAATTATTTTGATACCGTGGAGGTCTCTTCTAAGTCTTGCTGTAGTTTCCTACATTTGGCCTGTTCATATTCCAGTTTTTTCTTCATCGGCCCTTCAATCTTTTCTAGTGTGTGCTTTAATTGCATTTTCATCTCCATCAATTCAGCTTTCAGCTCTTGGTTCTCTAGTTTCAGTTCTAGTCGAACTCTCTCTATATCCTCGTAAGGTTCGGATGGTGGTCGGGCTTCCATCTGCAAAATGTAAGAACTTAATGTATTGCGTCCTATATCTAGTGACTGTCCAAACATCACGAAACCTAGGCAATCACCTAGATAAGAAAAGGAACTTATTAGTGACTTCTAGACTAGTTAATGAAAGTTCAACACAAGTTAGACCCTCTGATAAAAACTTAGTATGTACGACAGAGAAATTAAGCTGATTGAGTCAGTCGAATAAGCCCATACAATGAGTCCATAGACATTCTTTTCCTGCTCTATCGGTGGTGCCATCCATCTAGCAACGTTGTCCTCCCTCATATCTGACCGCAAGACTCGGCAGCGGTGCAGTAACGGCAGGACACTCAGCAGGAACGGCAGAGACACGTATTGAACACATTTCTCTAAAACTCTAGGCTTTAAAGGCACATTATGGGGATACCTATGAAGTGTGATATATGTCCAATAAGTGCGTAGAATTATCGGTGTTAGGGGCGTATAAATATATTGACATCAAAAAATTGAGATATACCTTCCCCCATCCCTTACAACCCCGAACTCCCAATTCCTAACACCTTTAACAATTTTTCTGGAAATGATGAGAAGCCTCTGAAATGCTTGAGCGAAGTAGTAATCTTGCGTGAAAAAGTCATTGAAAGCCGATCGATATTTCCCAAGTTATATTTCGTGATGTATAGTACATGTCATATAGCTTCAAAATATCCCGTCGTCAAACATTTTCGCGATTACAATACGCCAGGGGCGTGGTAAGTAAATTAGATAAGAAGGTTTGTCGTATACGTCTCACCTCTGGATAATTCTGACCTCCATCGCGGTATTCCCTGCATCCACACATGCAATTTGGATCATACGGATCGTGAAACACGTCAACGTTGTTCAATGCGTTGTCGTAAATTCTTTCTCTCTCCAATAGTTCTTGCATCCGCTCCTTGATCTCCCGTTCTTGCATCTGTAGCTCAGCCATCATCCTCATCAGTTGGTCACTTTTTTCGTTGGTTTGGACGCAGTGGAAACAGCATCTGCTGGCCGAGTTTCCTTGACTTGGAACTGAAATGGACATATTTTTTAAAAAGCATCGATTTTAAAAAGTTTTAGATATTCTGAATAGAGCTTCAAAATAATTGTACGCCGAAGCCTGCAAGATTATAGAAATGTTCTAACCCAAAACATTCAATATCATAATGTATAGTGACATTAAGGATGACACACTTCAAACGTGTCATTTTGAAAAGCACTATAAGTCTAGGGCTTAATATTGCTCCAGTACTATCACAATATGCACACTACTGTTGGATATAAATGTAGCTCCTAGAATTCCATCTTTTTCGTTAACTTATCTCCATGTCTCCCCTGATCGATAAATGGAACTACAGATAGTAGTAGTAGAAAGATTTATTTAGCACATTTGGCTACATAAACAGAACAATTGTAAACAACTTAGAACTAGTAAATTCAAGCCATATGGTGTATGATGTAAATGCTGGGCAACCTATAATTGTAGATTTAACAAGTGATTTCACAATTTTACTTTAAATTTTGTCAAAGTTTTCTGGTCTTTTATCTCCGAGTATAATTTATTATATTCAATTAACCCTTGATGGAATACAGATTTGTAGCATATGTCATACTTTTTGGTCATTAAATGGAAGTAATCTTTATTTCTGGTATTATGTAAATGATGGTCGACATTTGATGATGTTAAATTAGTTAGACTTGATGGAAATATATTATTTTTACTTTATAAATGAATATCATTACAAGATATTTGATAAAATTTTTTACATTGAGCCATTTTAATTTGCTAAGCATTTGCCTAATTGGAGTATATTTATCTTTATTTAGTATTATTCTCATGCACTTATTTTGTAAAATTAGCAGTCTTTCAAAAATGGAATTATTTGCTAAATATAGAATAGTCGAACAGTACAAGAAATTTGGAAGAATGATGGTATTATAGATAATTTTTCTGCTATATGAACTCAGACATCCAGAAACTCTCGATAAATATCCCACTTTACTACTAATCTTATTTATAACTTTTTCATAATGAATATCAAAAATTAATCGAGAGTCAACAAGAACCCCCAGGTATTTAAAATTTTCTACGAATTCAATATCTTCACCATCAATATTCAGTTGAACATTTGTACATTGTTTTTTTCCGATTAACAAGGCTTTCGTTTTACTTGCATTTAATTTTAGTCTGTTAGATGCTAACCATTTTGAGACAAGCTTCAAGTCTTCATTTATATAAGAGATACGAGACTGAATATTTTTAGTACTTATATAAATCATAGTGTCATCGGCGAAAATTTGAATTTTGCATTTTTTGACTATGGCAGGTAAATCATTTATGTATAAAATAAAAAGAAGTGGTCCCAGGATACTGCCCTGTGGAACACCCAACGTATTTTCAATTTTTGATGAAATAGTGTCATTAACTTTTGTAACTTGCATCCTTTTAGACAAATAATTTCTAAACCAATCTAAAACACTTCCTGTTATACCATATGCCTTCAATTTACCTAATCGTTTCAAATGCCCTCTTCAAATCCAAAAATACTGCTATGACAACTTCTTCTGAGTCTATGGCTCTTCTCCAATTCTCAGTTACCAACTGGAAAGCTGTTTCTGTGGAATATTTTTTTCGAAAGCCTGCTTGCGCCTCCACTAAAATTTTGTTTTCTTCTATAAACTGCATTAATTGGTCATGCACTATGGACTCTAATAATTTTTCAATGTCTGGTAACACATTTACTGGTCTCATATCGCTGCATCTTTTAGAATTTTTTATTTTGGGAACTGGTGTTATTGTAGAGCATTTCAAATTTTCAGGGAAAGAACTGCTTCTCAGTGAACAATTGATCCAATTTAATACAGGATATCCCAAAATTTCGAAACAGTTTTTCAGCACGTTTTTAGTAGTCATTTCGGCACAGTTGTTATTTGATTTTAAACTGTTTACTTTTTTCTTAGATAATTCAATGATACGCTGTGAAAGTTTGAAAGTGTATGCAACATTTCCCCCTGGAAACTGATTTTCATATAGTCAGGTGCAGCATTGGCAGTACGTACAATATCAACAATACTTTCCACAAAATATTCATTTAGTTTGTTTACAATTGATCAGTCTTTTTAAAGTCTTCCACATCTTTACACTGTCGCACTTGTTATTATCGATTTGTTTATCGTAGAATTTCCTTTTTTCTTCTCTAATTACATATACACATTTATTCCTAAGAGTTTTATATACCTCCCAATCATCATTTGATTTTGTGAATATACATTTATTGTATTGTTTGTCTCTCAAATTTTGAGCTGCCTTAATATTCTTGTTATACCAGGGTGTATTTTTTGTCGAGCAAATCACTTTTTTATCAGTTGCAAGATCTAAACAAGTTTTTATATTTCCTATTATGTTGTCATATATTTTTTCCATATTCTCACCAAAATTCCAATAGCAGCCAGCAAGTTCTCGTTCAAGTTTTTCGTACTTAATCCCTGCACATTCGAAATTTACAATAACAAGATCTAACAAAGTCTCTGATAATGATGTTATTCTGGTACTCTCTTCAATTTTTGCTTGAACCCATAGTTGTTTATGGTTTCTTTCAATTTTCTTGTTTTCATGCTTTTACCATAATAATTTAAATTAAAATTACCTAAAAGTATTATATTGTTTCTAAAATTCCACATTTCTTCGCATTTTTCTTCAAAAAACGTTAAAAATGTATCTGCATCACTGTTTGGTGAACGGTAAAAAGTACAAAGATCATAACGTTTCCCAAATAATTTGAACTGTATATGTGCATACCAGTATGCATAGTCTAAAGTGGTACAATCGAATAATGTGATCTGTATTTTATGGTAAACATAAATCACTACACCTCCAGTATGTCTGGAGTTGGAGTTGCATCTGTAGGTTTTATAATTAGTAATTTGTAATTCACCATCAGTGATGTTTTCTGTAGCATGTGTTTCGGTAAGACATAATACAAGTGGATTTCTCCATCTTAAAAACTGTTGAACTTCATCTATATTATTCAGGACTCCTTGTATGTTTAAATGGTATATTGAGTTATATTCATCACTTACAGATTTAGCCACGTCTTGCAAATCTGAGCTTAGTAGTTGCTATTCATTTGCGTAACTAATTTTTTCCCTCTCACGTTCAATTTTCCTTTTATATACTTCACAATTTTTGTCAAATGGTCCATGATTAATAGGTAATCCTAGATTAAAATCCTGGTTTGCACTTTTACAATTTGGACAGCATTTGTACATTTCACTGGTATTACAGTTTTCTGTTGAATGTCCTTCTAATCCACAAGTAAGACATCTTCCTGATTTTGTGCAGTATTTAGCTGTGTGTGTGATGCTGGACAAAGATTTCGCTGACGTTACGATCACACCAGTGACATTTTTCAAAATTCAACTCATTAGCCTTATTCATAATGAATTAATAAAAAGTCATAGATGTGTATCCTACCTCCTCCAGCACTTCGGTTTCTTGTAGGCGGTCTGTACTCCTGCGCCTGATTTTGTCTGTCTCTGATGTCTGATCTAGATCTGTATTTTTTCGAAGGACACGAAGGCACGGCGCAAGTGCTCTGCCTCGCTTCAGTTCCTTTGGTTCCATAGGAAATATCTGGTGTAGTAGTTGATCTAGAAATGATTGGAGCAAAATGAAACTTTTACATCAAAAAGTGAAATATTGGACTATATGTAACCCACATTAATAAGGACAGGACGACTATGTTCTTTCCAAGTGGTAATGGTTCTATGATCTAACATCGTTTTGAAAGACTTTTGTTGTATTTATATTTAGTATGTAAAGATATAGAAACTATGTTAGTATTTTTAGACATCTTCAAACAGTTGGTTACTGTCAGTTGCACCTAGCTGCTACTAGTTAGAGTTGCGTGAAGGATGGCTTAGCCTAGTCTGCTAGATGTTATTTGAATAGGCCGCTTTGAAAAGAATATATTAGCCTAATTGACCAAGGTCACGTGTGGGAATAAGTTTATACGACACTGTGCTAGCAGATTCACCCAATAACGAGTTGTATTCAGCAACTGACGCATACCTCACGCAGCGTTAGACCGTAGCACCTAGTTGCAACCAAACGTAGCCATTGACTAAACTAAAAATGAGGTTAAGCATTACATACAGTTATCAAAATCCATGATAAACATTGATAGATCACAGTAAATGTTGATCGTGAGACATTGACCTAAGGCCTAAGGAGTTGTTTTATTTCATTATATCAACAATTGGGCAGATATTGTCACGAGTTACTACTGCTATATAGTGCATTTTTAGGAGCTCTTATGCAGAACTGTAAGCTTTTACCGATCATGTATAAAAATCAAGTATAAAAAAGCGTCAAAATGCGCACCTTACCTAATAAGATAAGGTTAAATCAAATAAAGCAAATTGTATTAAAAAAGTGAGTCAAAACCCGCGTCCACCAAATATGTCACGTATATACAGGGTGTTTCAAATTCGACCCTTAACATTAGGATCTCGGAAACGGTAAGATATATGTAGTGGGCAACGTTTTGGAATTCTTCCGAAGAGAGATTGAAAAAGCAAATTTTCCCAAAATCGTTAGAATTTTTTTCTGATTTTACATTACACATTAACAGTGACACTTTTCCTCCGTTACAAGACAACATAATTAGAATTTCAATATGACGTTTCATCTCTTGTCCTCCAGCACCAACTTTATTTTTTCTCCAGGACGCCATGATGGACTTTTGTATAGGTGAATAGAGTTTTAAATTCTAATTCCGAAAATGTCATACATTGACATTGCCAAAACTTTGTTATTTCAAAAAACTATTTGCCAGGTAGGCCTTGAAATTGTCAGATAGTCATTAGTTTCATATACCACGTTTATCGCTAAATCATTCTTATTTTTCCCTGACTTCATCTGAGATGATATTTCAAAATAAATTGCATGTTGTTACTGCCACTTTTTCTCTTTTACAAATTTTCAGTTCGAGGTATCTTCTCCCGACTTACATCACAAATTTGGGCCGCTATATTGAAATTTTGTACATTTAAATGAAGTTTCAGTCCTAAAATCAATAATGTACTTCCTTAGTTCGCCATGAGTTTGTTGTTCGAACAAGAATTATAGCCCCCAAAAGCGGGAATCCTTCTCGTGACAGCCCAACTTGTTGTTATAATCAATAATACCCCACTTCAGCTGATGAGAATACACCATTGCTGATTATGCATACTGATCAGCGGTTGTGGCTTAGGATATCTGTTCCTTACAGGACGATCACCTGTGAGAATACCAGGATGTCCTTCTTTATTTACTGAATTTTTTTTGATACCTTGACAAAAAGTTATACGGTGTCCTAGCCCCTTCTCTACTTGCTGGTAGATTGGTCAGAGCCACTTCCGAATCTATCTCTTGCCTTGGAGTTGATCCCACCCAATGTGTCACCAGATTCTTGTTCTGAATGATAGGTCCGCTTATGTCTCCAGAACCAGCTGACGCAGACGCTTTCGGTCTATCCAAGGCAGCTCTGCACGTGTTAGAGCAACGCTCATGACGGTTGGTGGTAGTTTTTGATTTCATCTGGGGCCTACACATATAAATGATGTTAGAAAACAGAAACCCCTAATAGATCGCTATTAGTTACACCACACAGATATTACATATTTTTGTGGCTCAAACTACGTTAATCATGCATTATCTAGCTGTATTGTTGTATCGGTTAGATTTTTGCGAATTCCAAAAATAGATTATGTATATTTTAAATTCGCAATAATGGTGAATGCGTGCATTGTTTGATGCATATTACATCCGCCATTTTATTGACACGTCAAACGCCAAGGAAAATGTTAGAAAAATGTCCATCAGTCCAGTCATCTTCCCAACAAATGTTGTGTCTAATCTACCTCCTACGTCAAAAGCTGACACAAGACGGCAACGACATGTACTGGAACAAAAAAGGAGGAAAATCACATGAAGTCAGACGGTATTGTGAAGGATGCGATTTCACGTTATAGTAAAAAAATAACAGGTGTAATACCAAAAAATAAAATTCCAAAATTACTACATATTGTGACAGTTGTGAACGAAATTTCCACTTTTGCTGTGACTGTTTCGGAACAAGTCATAAAAAAATGAAATTATCCTGTATTTTGTATCCCTATACCATGACTTATTTTATACGAGTATATATCTATTTTCACTGGAATCTTGTTTGTTTTTGTCAAGGTTGTTGTGTAGATTTAGTAGGAAATAAAAAACAAAAAAAATTGGATAACCCTATTTAAAACAAAAATACACTAAAAAGCTGGAATATGGGTATAATCCGTACAAGCCACAGCGGTCCATATCAAACACTAAAATGAATTTAAATATGGAACTCTGGCTGAAGTCACCGTGGAAATAGATTAAATGCAAAGCGGTCCATACGGACCGTCGTGGCGTTTAACGTGTTAAGGCGATTAAGCCTGTATGTCCCCAGTTCTTGATTTAGTGTACTTGTAAAAATTGATCTTAAAACTTTGTCCTCATTCCACGAGTTGGCCTGTTTATGACCTCTTCCCCTTATTTTTTTAAACTAAAGGCTCTCAGAGTGGCGAGCACTAGTCAAGAAAACTGAATTGGTGACCTTAGGTTCTCTTTGTAATGTATAACGAGATGACATTTTCTATACTGAGGCTACATAGCTCTCCTAGAGTAAGATCCGAGGGCTGCCAGATATTAACTATTTTCTGAAAGATGTATCGTGCGGAATTGAGTAGCGTTTATATACGAGTAGTAGGTGTGTTCAACGACTGCATATTCGATGTTTGGTAGAGGGCCGATTTACAGGTACGAGATGAGAAAAGTCAAGTAAAAATAAGACTAACCCAACATAAACCCTAATTAGTAATATAGACTTCTTTCGTCCGACCATTGACGGCCAAGCAAGGACACCTGTTTCGAACTATTTGGTAGCTCCTCAGCATGGTGTAGCATTGGTCTCGGTGGACAGCAAACGACAATGACACAAAGTGTTATTCTGTTACCAGGACCGTTCAGTGCGAAAGTGAAAACGTCAAGTCGGCTGTTAAAACTGTAGCCCACCTCGCTTTGTCAGCCCGGTCATGACTCTGGCCACTAGATGCCACCGATTCAGGTCTTATTGTAGACACGGTTTACTTGCCAAAAAACAAAATAGTAATATAGCTGTTGATCGTTCAACCATAGACGGCCAATGTTTTCAATTTTGCAATGATAGGCTCTTGTAATTGGCATTTTGTGCTGTCTTATTTTGATAAATCCTGAAACCGAATTTTTATTTGTACTTGTAAAACGTTATTACATTGTAAAATATTCGACTATTCATACTAATGTTTCATATGAAAATTATAGGGCCTGACAGTTTTTGTATCAATGAGGTCCAAACCACTCAACCCCAACGAGTGTCAAACTTTTACTTGAGCATCTCCAGTCTGACACTCTTAAGAATGAAGTGTTTAGAACAGTATTAAAAGTGATAAGATCATAGCTCTTGAAGATTCTTCTGATAAGTTTTTCAAATATTAAATATATAGTATAACTAAGTGTAAAATCAATTAGGTAAGTAAGTGACCTTAGTGCGCACCGATCTTAGGAAGCGTAAGCTAGTAGGTATATATACGTAGGTATACAAAAAGACAATACATGAAAAATTATAGTCCTTTTGAAAAAGGTTCGCTCTTACTTCTGGAACGGGCCAAGTAAGGAAGACAAATTTTAGGCAAATGAAATCGATCCATGGGTACTACATGTCTGCAGAGTGCTATTTTTTACTTTTTCCAAACCGAATGGGGGATAGTGTGATAGTTCATTATTAAGCTGCCTAATAAGTACTTTATAATCCTACAACATAAAAACACTATCCTTCAGAATTGTGAACTGGTATTCTGTCAGACTTGAGCGTTTTTATATCTTCTCTCTTGGTTGGCTATGATCAAATATGTCATAAAATATGGAACATTTTACTTAAAAAAAATTCAAATTGCTGAATTTTAATATATTTAGACATTAAAAAAAAGAAGATTAATATAACGTAGTTTTGATTATTTGTTGAGTTATAAGTGATTCAATGTACACAAACCATCACAGCTTGTCAATGCGCCATTTTGAAAAATAGTAATTTCATATTCTGTTGATACCTCGCGAGTGTATTCACCACGTCGTTTTCAGTGTTTCCATCAGAGCTTCGTAAGTTTGCTTATGTCGTCTGGGTGGATACAGTAGAAGACCTTGACAGCCCTAAATGTTGCAAATTTAGGAGGTAAAGAAACACGCCTTTTTGAATCCAACGGCAACTTCAAGCACTATTTACCAACAAAATATGTAACAGGGCAGTACTTGAAATTCCTTACCAAGTAGATAGTGATTATTGTCTTCTTGTTACCCCAAATTAGCGTTGTTATTTCGAACGTAATTGCTTCTTAGAAGGAAGATCCCAACTTTCAGAACACCTTGTATATATAATTAATAGTATAAGCAAACAGCGTTTCACCACACCTGACTGTATTGACAGCGCTCTCCTCAAACTGCACATTTCGATTGCACATCTGCTGCCTAGAGGTGTTCATAGCACGTTCGTTCAAGTTGAGCTTCCTTTCTGAGGGTCCACAGGCACACCCTATCATTCCGGAAGGGGCCCTTGATGCGTTGAAAGAGCACGTTATGGTTGGCCTGTAGGCATCTTCATTGCTGCCACAACCGCATGATATGTTAGGGTCTTGTGTCTGTGTCTCGTCGGGTGACGTGGCGCAGGTGCAGGTCAGATTCTGACTTTGACTAAGCGGGGCTGTTACCTCTGCATCTGTGTTACCTAGAACATCATTTTTTTCTATAGCCGAGTTGAAAGTCAAGCGACAACAGAGTAATACTACACTTTAATCAATAATGTCAACTGAATGAATGGATGAAATAGCCATCTAAGGACTTTGGACGAGTTTGCACCGAAGCAGCCGCGCAGACAAAAACTTAAATCCCAGGGCACCGCGGCTGCTATGAGGAGCTTAAAGAAACTTTAAAGCTTCCATTGTTCCACACTTTCGATACTGTAGGGCCAAAGGAGCGGTCATTGGTTTGTTCGTACAGCCTGTTTGCTGACAATCAGCAAACTGATAGTCGGCAACAAGTCATGACCTAGTTTATTCCGTTAGCTGTCACTGACACATCACTGACTGTATAGATTGCGTACATGAGAACGTTACGAGTTGGCTGAGGGAGCTTTGACCGACAACTGATCCACTGTTCGTACAGAAACTTCTGACTGTTTGATGAATGTCAAATTAGTCAGCACTTTATTATCCAGTAAATTGTCAGAGCTCGAAATCAAGCAGAATCATTATTCGGAGGTAACATTTTTCAGCATGTGATAGACAATTTTGGAAAAGTTCTGGTATTTTCATTTTCTGTAATTCGGAATGATCTAGGATTGACCGGAAGTGCCTGAACTTTCCTATAAAGGGGATAACACTTCCTACAAGAAACAACACCAAACAATGTCAATCAGATTTACTCAGTAATTCCCATTCAACTCTCATTTAAAAAGTATGGACATAAATTCCAACGATTGTGATTCCACACATCGAATAACAAGTTGATGACGTAAAAAGCAAAAATTCTGAATAAACGTCTGCGACGATTATAAAACTAGGGTGGTACGGTTTTTGTTCCATGTTCCATAACAGTTGTCGCCCAGCCTTGGAGTGTACGCACAAACAGTATGTATATTCTAGCTTCAGTCGAACCCAGAGCTGATCGAAAAAAAAAACCAAAATGGCTAATTTTGAAGATTTTGTGATACAGCCATTTTCAAGGCGACCGGAGTGGCCCACTGTCTTTGGAAATGGCGCACTGCTAGATTGTCAAAGTTGAGCTTTTTCGTTTATTGTACTAAGAATATGTTCCTTGTGTGCAGATTCTCATTGGAATAAAGAAGTAAAAATACTACCAGGACTTAATAACATATTTGAATAACAAAAGGTGAATATACACTAAAGAGCTTAAACGGCTGAACATAACTACAATTAACAAGATCTGGTCACATAGCTATAAGCTTCTCAGAGTTCAACGTCGGTAGGAAGAAATGAGACTACCAAAATACAAAAACTCATCAGAGAAAAATCATACGCCAAGTCGCGTGTTTACCGTTGAGACATACTACAAGCGGTATCACGATCGTATGGAATGCACTGTCTGATGATTCTTAACGTGGTAGAGTTACCTACATTTTTTGCTTCAAACAGCCATGGTAGTGCTCTACTAGAATGCGATGTAAATTCTGGGTAAGCTTTATATATTCAGAAATTAGTAACTTTACTTGGTGGATGGGTATGTTCCCATAATTAGACCAACCTGTATAGAGAAGTATCCTTTTTTATTTATATATGATTACGGAGGATTCTCTGTTTTTTTCAATCTTTATATGGGCGCCGTCAGTGATGCCAACGATTCCAGGAAATCTATATTTATTGTAGAAATACCGCTTTGTCCTATATGTTTCTTCTTTTGTTGACCATTTTATGATTTCTGGTGCCAGACTACTCAAATATTTGGTTAATCTGGATATAACTGCTTGCAAGGTACTCACGAAAACATTGAATCTATCAACTAAATCCTAGAATATGGCTGTTCGATATCCAGTAAACCAGAAAAATGAACAGGTTTCTTTATAATACGGAGTTAGCTTTCCATAAGGCGCTGTCTGATATTTAAAATGGTTACCACGACGGAATTTCACTGAAATTTTTTCTGCGACTGTATTGCTCACTCAAAAATATTACAAAAACTCGATGTTGAAGTTGTGGCACAAATTCTTCCACAAAATTCAGGTTTTTGGGTTTCATTCCCGGAGTATTCGCTGCTTGATTTATCGCTCATAGTTTTTTTCACACAGAAGCAGCCGCGTAGGTAAAGCCTAAAGGCCAGGGCAGCGAGGCTGCTATGAGGAGCTTCAAGTAACTTTGTTAATCCGATTTTTAAACTGCCTAAGGTTAATAGAATTGGGAGCATCCCCTTCACCGTCTCGATATACTATAAGTCAGGCGGGTACCTATCTGGTAGGCACATCGCGCGGCGGCATCATCGAGGAGAGCTCTGAGGAGCAAATCTTAGCGGTAGAAGAGAGATAGATGGCCGACGGCCCAACGGTGCGAAAGTGTCCCCAGCTAAAATTGGAGGCCGTAGTCAGACGGGTCTGCCTGGCAGGCACACCACGCGACGGTATCATAGAGGAGAGCTCTGAGGAGCAAAGCCCCTTGGCGTAGCGGTAGAAGGAAGTTAGATCGACCACGAGCCGCCGGTGCTACAGGCTCCCGAGACTGTCAGCGAAGAGTCAGCGATCAGTCGTACAGCCCTTCTCTGAAAAGCATCGAGCATGAATAACGTAGTCGGGGCGGCAGCTCTCCAAACCTGTGAATAATACTCGAAGCTAGGTCTTGTCTGGGCCTTGTACAGAGTGAGGAGGAAAATTTGGAGAAAAGTACTTCTTAGTCCTAAACAAAAACCCTATCTTTTCGTCAACAGCTGCCGCTATTGACGAGATGTGTCCCTACCAGATCAAGTGCTCGGTGATCTGGACTCCGACCGGCCGGAATGAACGGCTCCTTAGTAGAATGCGGCCAACTATCAAAACCGGATGGGAGCTGGGACGCTTCTTATTTGTCAATGTACAATACTGTGTTTTAGAAGCAATAAACTGTACAAGATTGTTGGGTCCCCAAGTAGCGATAACCTTCAGGTCTCTCATCAGAAAGGAAGCCGCTGCTATCTGTTTATCACTCTGAATTCCTTTATGTAGAGTGCTGTCATCAGCAAAGTCGTGGATTGTATTCATCGTATAGGAAAAGAGGTCGTTGATATTGAAGAGGAACAATGTCGGAGCTAAGACCGATCACTGGGGAACAACCGCGTTGACGTTATGGAATAAATTACCTCAATTACGACGGATATTTTGCGGCCATAGAGAGAGAGATCCACCCATCTGCAAAGCTTCTCTGCTCTACATGAGGTGTATTGTACAAAATTTGAATACATAATTTTTCCAAGAATTCTGAGAATTCCTATATCACAGCCAGGGACCAATATGAACCACCACCAATCCATAGAGGCTTGATCAACTAGCTATAGGTCAAGCGTAACTCGTTCTGTAGATACTTTTTACAAAGATTCTTTACAAAGATCTCTGAAAAACAAATAAGTAGCAGTGAGATAGACAAACCTGAAGTGCATCCACAAGTAGATCCGTATGTACAAGAGTTACATTCTGTACATTCTTCAGTACAGTCTTCATAGGTGGATCGACAATCTTGACATTGCGTATCATTGGTATTATCACAGGTTGCTCTACCACAGGAATTGCCCTTACTTGTTAAAGGGTTCTGATTTCCACTTCCATAGCCTGCGCGACAAACTGTACATTCTCCGCTACATGAACTTGTAGTACACTGATAATTGCCTTCAGAAAAAAAGGTACCAGATAAATTATATCTTTTCCAACGCCCTCATAAAAAATAAGTTTTGCATAACATTCTGGTAACAAGCCCTTCGGGTTCGTTCTTAAGCTGGTCTTAGACGATGTAAATACCTCTAAGCATTCAAGAGCATGGGGTGAGGCTGAACCTTCTGCCGAAGGGCAAAGTGAAATCTGAGTCCTACTTTGCTACAGGTATAAAATGAATTGAAAATTCCCAGGTATAAATGAAACATAGGAATTATTAGTTACTCAAAGTATTTTGTTGACTGTTCAACATGATCTTATCATAGGTTATCATAGAACTCTTTTGTAAAAGTATACAATAAATTAAGGCCGCGGTTATACTACGAGATGGCGGTGACGCGTTTTTAGATAACAGGAAATAGGTGGCAACTGACCATTTATACGTTTTGCGGTTTCGCCTCTTGGCTGCAAGTTGCAGACCGAACAGAGTGCAAATCGGAAAAAACGTCGTGCGCTGTTAATCTCAAATGATGGTGGTTTTTATAGAAGAAGGACGATAAGAAAAAAAAGAAAGGAAACATCTGAAACCTATCTATCCCCATGTTTTGCAAACGTTTAAAATTCTTCTTTATTATTCGATGTTTCGATCTCAACGGTTACTCTCAACTACAATTGACATTTATTTGACAATAGATAGACTATTGTAGTAACACACTGAATAGAAATGTGAAAAGGAGAGGAAAGAAACAAACGAAGTGTTACCTGGAAGACAAATAAAATATATTGTCAAAAAAGTATTAATTGTACTTGAAGAAGGTCACCGTTGGAACCGAAGCGTTGTACAATAAGTAGGAATTTCAACCATACGTGGTTTGATTCAGTCAGACAAACCGGGAGGGAAGGGGGTTAAGGAGAAAGGAGTTTAGCATTCATAAACTAAGTGTATTTACTTTTGAATTGTAGCGAGTTCTTGTCTAAATAGTAATTGTTTTTGTGGTTTGGATCTAAATCATTCTAAATTGCAGGTCTTGACTGAATTCCACTTATCAAGCTCTCCATCACATACCTTCTTTGGAAACAATAGAAGCCATGCTGATATAGGCGCCGAAGAATGCAAATCACTAGGATCTACAAATATATATTTATATATTATTATATTATATTGTCGAACCCAGCTCACTGGTTAATACTAGTGTGATCGAGAATCCGTGTTGTTTTAATGTGGCGTAAATGCCATTTGAATGGGGTGTACTCGTATACCATAAATATAAGCAATAAAACTTGAAATTGTGGTTTGGTAGAGGCTTGATTCAGATGGTAAAAAACGAAATAGAATGCCCAAAAAACAACAAGGTTTTAATTACCCCCAATAAATGGTCCAGAAAATGATGCACTCTAAAAGTCCCTTCAAACTGGGCTAAATACGATAGTTATGGATAAGAAGTATTGTATAATGTACGATATGTATGATAATAGCTAAATGTATGATAATTTTGCGAAAGAACTTTTTTGACTAACTAACTGTCTATTATCGAAGTAGTGTTACGTCCCTTCGCTCTTCAATTGACACCCCCCTTTCCTCGACAGAGATCTTCTGCTTGAACATGACCCCAGGGGACCTGCGATAATTTAGATGTGTTTCTACGATTATTTCTCACGACGAATTTTGCAACGCTGGGCATCGCCCTATTTGTTCGATTTGTTATGCATGGGTTAGTGGTCAGTGCATGCTGCAAAAGCATTAGAGATTATATCTAGTTATTTAGGTAACATCACCCTGAAAAGTAGTTTTATCACAAAATGTGTCCCCAATATTTTCTCCTTACGGGCGGCTTCATATCGTATTGTGCTATTTTAGTGATTCAAAATCTATCTAAAATCTAAAACAGGTCTAATAGCTCACTGAACACGTCACCCATTTTTGACATACAAAAATTATCTTAATCGTATTTTCAACAGTCTGTGCAATGCAAAATATCCTGGAAGCTTACTTAACTTGCGCAAAGCAAGTTTAGTCACCAGATTCAACCAGTTCATTCACAATATTGAAGAAACTGCAAAACTTTTTAAGCAAAGTACCATTCATGGTGCAGATATAACTTCTAGTCTAGATCTACCGGTATAGTTTTATTCTGAGGAGGCTTTAGAAGCTAGAAATAAGAATATCAGGTAATTCAGGAGTCTTTATCTCTTGTTGTTAGTGTTGAACAAGTTTTAGAAAGTAGTGAGTATCTTTTCAAAAGAGCCTATTTCAGAGGTATAACACTATGTTAATCAAGTAAAATTTATTTACAGAGAGCAAATAGCCCAAAAAATATCTCGGGATTCATGGAGTACTTGTTTTTTATACTCAAAGCATATTGACAGCAAACAGAAACCTCCTCATATAATATTCAAGTAGTAATTAAATTTTTATAAAATAATTTCGAATGAATAAATCTAACAACAAAGTTGAGCTAATTGACAAATTTTATTACGTGTGCATTGTCTAATAGTATTGAAAGCGCAGTATTATGCGCAAATTTTGTAGTACTCACTACTTGAGAAGAACAATTTTCGAAAGAGAATAAGGCTCAATTTTCTCAATTTAGCCTCTTTACTCACCCCTTACTGTACCAAAATTATGAAAAATGGACTCGGCACAAAACATGGGAATGGACTTGTTTACTAACAGGTTGGGAATTTTCTGCCAGGCTTTGTAACCCTCTGGCTCGGCACTATTGTATCGTATTACTCCACCGATGTCGAGTATAAACATGTAAGTTAAAACCAAATGCAAAACAATTACAAGCGGCGGGGCCAGTCGCGTACCACCCGTCATCTGACACTTGCCACCTAGGAGTGTAATTGCGGTCTTAAAAATACTGACTACTGTTCCGTTGGCACTCAGAGCATAGCTGGGTGCAGGTGACACTGCTTGTTTCTTCCATTCGGCTGTCGCTTGATGTATAAGTCGCCGATGTCTGTATTTGACTGCCAACTTTGTCTGGAGGAACGTTTGAGCCGCTGAAATACGTTTTGCAGGCGTGACACATCATAGAGGCGACTTCCTACAAGTATAAATTAATATAACTAAGATCATAAATTCTAAAAAGTTAAACATAAATACAATGGAACATACGTTATTAAAAACAAGCTCTTATTTAGATGTTTATAAAATGAACTGAAAATTTAAGAATAATTTTTATGATCGGAAATATTTAAATGATAATGAAGCTCCTGCATCTCAGGTTTTCAAATATAGGCGTGTTACGTTTTGACAGCAGTATTGAAAAGGGGTGTAATAAACTTCTATTTGAAAACTATACAGAAAGGAGCTTCAGTTTGTTATTGAGAATGTACTTTTCCATTTAATGTATTTCTAAGTGTAAAACATTATAAAGTTTTAAACCTTCCACTGAAAGAGATTTTCCCTTGGTTCTCGTTTTGTACCTAAATGTCTTTTGATCGATTTTCGTATAACTCCACACCCACACTCTTTCAACATAAATTTGTTAAAATAAGTTGTAATTTATATACTTCAAGTTTACCTCTTATATCATTTCCTGCTCTTTCAAAAACCGTTGTCTCATAACCTCATTTGGTATGTTTTAAGTATTTACTAACACATAGAAAACGGATATTTAATAACACTCTGAAACATTCAATATAGTAGGTGCCTCTGCTTGTCTTTTACCGAATTATCGTATTATAATTTTTTTCAAGGAAATTTTGCACCTGATCTGATTTGCAAGTATTTTACTCATTCCTCATAATTTTGTTCGCATTATGATACAAACGAATGGGCGATTTTCCATCTATATAATATGGGTATATTTTTCATATTGCATTCCAAGGAATTATGTGGCAGCTGATGGAATTTCCACATATTTTTTAATTTAACAGGAGCGTTGGAGATTTTTAATATATATTATGTTATTCCATGCTTTATGCCGGATAAGTGACATGATTTTGCAAAAACCTTTCTCCCTTCTTTGATTGATCTGACTAATTTAGACAACCACTATTGCAACCTCAGAGATTCATTTTTTAACCTTCTACTTCCTACTTTATTAATAGGCTCATGCCTGTCTTACTCCGGTTTTTAGCCTCAATTGATGTTGAATGACCATCTGTTCCTCGGTCGTCCCATTGATCTCCTTCCATTTGGCGATTTGTCTCTTGCTATTCGTACTGTTCTATTTTCTGTCATTCTTTCTATGTGTTGTTCCATTATATTTTTCTTCTTTTGGTCCACAGGTTTATTTCCTCTATACGACATCTCGCTCGTATTTCCTCACTTCTTACTCTCTCTCTTAAAGTTTGGTTTGTTATTTTTCGTAAGACTTTTATTTCTGCTGTTTCCAATTTTCCAATAATCTTCGTTTTCGCCGTATCTGCTCTTGTCACCGCTGTGTCATTATAGGTCTTATTGTTGATTTATATATCCTAGTTTTCGTTTCCGTTGTGAGGTATTTGTTTCTCCAGATTGTATTGTTGAGACATCTTGCTGGTCTGTTCGCCATGTTCACTTGTTTTTGTACTTCTTCCACTTTTCCAAAGCTTGACAGTTTGATTCCCAAGTATTCCGTTTCCATCACTTGTTCTATTACTTTGTTATTTACGACCAGTTTACATCGTCTCGGTTCCGCTGATATCACTATCAATTTAGTGTTCTCTGTTGAAATCACCATGTTGTATATGAGTGCGGTATCTTCGAATTCTTTAATTAATCTTTGTAGGTCATCTTCATTTTCGGCTATTATTATGGCATCGTCGGCGTAGCATATTATCTGCATTTCCTTTTCTCCCATTCTATATCCTCCTCTTTTTTTAACTTTCTTTACGATTTCATCCATAATCAGATTAAATATTAGTGGGCTCAGCGAATCTCCTTGTCTAATGCCAGTTTCATACTTGATAGGTTGCGAGAGTTTTCCTTTACATCCATTTTTTACCGAACGATAAAACATGTCAAATTTTTATTTGTTCTGTCCTGCTTTATCTACCCTAACCATGTTTTTGTCAAAGTTTGCCACACACTCTGGACTTTACTGAGAACATCGACAAATCACGAGAGGAAGAAGATGTTTGAATGATGTTATAAGTTTGTCCAATTTTTATGATGAAGAACAGTAAGAGACTACATAGCCCCATTAAATCATGACGACTTAAATAAGCCGACTGGTAAGGATTATAAATTTTACCAATACAACAATTATCGTTGAGAAAAGCTCATTGAGGCTGAAATATGAAAATAATCAAGATGAAGGTGCTGGGCATGCGTATCTCATAATCTTCAAGAATCTGATCGATTCAGTTTCACGAACAATGTTGGGTGACAATGGCTATGTATGTAAAACGTATTTGTTGGCAGCAGAAACTAATCCATAAAGCACAGCTGAATGGAGAATCAAGAGAGTATACAAATGTACATGGAAAATAATTAAGAAGGCATTTGGAGCCTGGAAATGCAGGTAAGCAATAGCTGCGCTACACAATAGAAGAATACAATATCAAGATACTGCGGATCCTGAAGAAGAAGCTGAGAGTGACATAATTTTGACCTGCTATAACTCAAAATATACTGAAATATCCATATAAAATATATTGAACAGGAAGTTACTTTAGCTTCAATACTACACATGAAAATAAGGTTGGTTTCATGAACTATGTATTCAGAAGTAGATAAAAGATTAACATTAGAACAGTCAAAAGGAGAATTTGGAAATCACAGCGGCCAGTATCACTTACGTGCTTTTGGTATCTCCTTTTTTGTCCTGTAAGATATGTAAAAATGTACAAGCGATTTGATTGCTAAAACCATAGAGCATACTTATGTTTCATATTTTCCCACAGCTTCTTCAGCTGCTTGGAATACCTTTGGATCACTCTCACTCTCACTTCTTTCGTATGGATGTACCATCGGCTATTATGATTCGATAATGTCTTTGTATTTTTTGAATTGCGCTGCATAATAGGAAGTTTCAGCTTCTGAATAGTATTTTCGTTCTTCAGTTCTTTGATCTATGTAACTTCAAAACAAATGCCAAAACCACAAACATCCAATAGGTTAACAGAAATTTGATTTAACTTTGTCAGATGATGATGTCGCCAATTTCGAGTACTTTAGGAAACACATGAAGGTCACTTCGTTGATGTGCACTCAAGTCTACTTCTGAGGGATGATTAGGAATATGACCCTATAATATCTTGAGTCAAGAAAATAACTGCTTTCCCAATTTTATAATTTACGGCGGTTAAATTTCTTTTCATTGAAAAATGTTATCGTGAAACTGACCTGTGAGCAGCTATTGACCTCATATTTGGACATACTGGTCTGGGCTCGGTAGATACTCTCAGAAGAATCAGCAATGGCAGTGGAGGACCATTGTTGCTCTGTCGGACAGGGACATGGATCATTCTCCCTTGTAGGAGTTTCATTCACAGAACTGTCTGTTGGAAACACCATCGACGTCCTAGAGTCAATATGGAATATGAATCAATCGATAAGACAAAAAAAAGACCTGAGCGTGGCAATCAATATTAAAGTATAAGGCAACTATATCCACGGTGATGGGAAGAATGCCTGAAATATCGGACAATATAAGGTGGTGCATTTTTTTGCTGATGCTATGAATGAATATTTCTGTCACTTGTGATCCAGATATTGACCTTGACGAGGTACAACTGTCTCGACGATAAACCAGGAGCTACTTCTGGATCCCTATTCTTGAAAACGATAGAATAGAATCATCGAGAGAGAATGGGCGTAGTTCTCTTCCTTGAGCGATGATTCCAAACACTGGCAATTGTTGACATTTGTCGAACAAATTTGTGAATGCATCAATTTTTGGGGTTTGATTCTTGAATGGGGAAGTAGAATAACTAGGAGAAAGTGGGCGTGCTGCTGTTAAATTTTGGAGAACTGTATTCCTGAACACTGACAGAAGAAGAAGAGGAAGTGGAAGTCTCGCCCTTGTTTATCAGTTTCATCTATAAAGAAGAAGTTAACTTTATTCGGCGTCTCTACAAATGTTTGATGTGCGGGTGCGTCAGCGTGTTCTGAAGAGGTAAGCATAACGGACATCGAATTTGGCTTGAATTATTTTCATTAGAAAGATTAAAAGAAAAGAAATCAAAGAAAAGTCAGCATTGCAAAGTAGTAACAATGACATCGTGTTGAGAGCCATTGACCTCATAATTTTATTTGACAGACCAGCTATTGACCTACTTGATCAACTGAAAAGGTCTATTCATGTCAGGAATTCAAATTACTAAGATTGTGATCGAGTTCCTACTGAATCGATAATCCTTTGTATATCTTATTTAACAATAAATAATTTAATTCATTGTATGAATTAGTCTTTGTTTCCTTTTTACGCTTATAAGGAACTAGAGCGGCAAAGTTTCTTGCTGCTGAATTAAACAGCTCAAAATAATTAATTCTTCGACCAGTTCAATTGAAATAAGTACTGACTTGAGCTAAATGGAATTCAGTTGAGTTGTACAACACTAGCGGTCAGTTGGATCCAAACCAAATTTTACATTTATTCGTCTTCAGGGCACAAGCGATAGTGGGGGCGCACAGCTGTTCCTGTTGATATGATAGGAATAATGCTGACCATGCCACTAATTTCCTAGAGTTTACTTTATTGTTCTCAACACATTTTACAGTCTGTCAGATTTGAGCCTGTATACTGTTAACATCATAATAATATTGTAATTAATATGTAAAAGTACATTTTTGAGTTTTGTAATTTCGAAAAATAAACATATTTAAAAAGCAATCTCGAGACACCGATCCTATAACTCAGGTGAACGTGTCGCAAGTGCTTGCGGAAATTTTTCGTTGATTTGGGACCAAAAATCGACACTCGATTGGCACGGGTATTATGTAAGAAACCTATAAAACGTCAAAAAAAAAACCTAGAAAATGTCATTTTGCAGACTAGGTAATTTTTAAGGTGCACTCATTCCACGATTGCTAACTAGGATCATTGTGAGCGTCCATCGATGGAGGAATGTCTCTCTCTCTCTGCACGCATTGTTGGTTGCATACTCGTATGTTTTGTGAAGCCGAGTAATATCTAGTTTCTATCTCTGAGAAGCAAGTTGGTTGAATAGCAAGATCGCATCTGGATGATATATGTTTTGGTCTGCATGTGTATAAAATCAGTGATATTTGCTGTATGAGAAAATCATTACTGAATATGTGGAATATCTATCAGCTGCGTCCGACGGGTTATTTGTGTTGTGCTTTCTGAAGAGAGGTTATGTTCAAAGTTATAAATTACGAAAAACTTTGAGGAGAATTACGGGAAATCACTACCGCGCCCGCGTTGTGTGTAAATACTGTTAGCATGTATATGGCTTGTAATTCGATAGTGTACAGTGAATGTAATTATTTCTCATCTCTCTCATTTTTGAAATTCAGCAAATTTGCATGTGTAATTTAGAGAATGGATAAGAAAAAGTGTTGAATCTCAAGTAAGTGTATTTGAGACAAGAATACAATGGAACTACCATCAACATACATACAACTTACAGCTTAGGCCTCTAGTAATGCCATCTCAGAAGCAGTTTTACATCACATCAGAGCCAAAGATTGATAACAAGCCTCATGACGTTTAGGCAACACGTACAACTAAGTGCTAAGTTAACATCTTGTAGAAAAACCTACATAATGTAAAAAAAACAGTATAATGTCAAAAAAATTCGGCATAATGTCACTTTTCAAGATAAGTAATACCCGTGCGGATCGGCTACAAGCGCTTGCAAACTTACGCATACCAAGTCAAACACTCCTATCACACTTTTGCGTTTCTGATGACTTGTTTTTCCAAGCGTGTGGACGTGGAATTATGATGGAACATTGAGTGGTATGAAGAACTACGAAAAATATTTCACCGAAAATGGATACATTCACAAACTTGTTTGAGATATGTCAACAGCTGTCAGCACAGTCACTTTTTGTCAGCGGTTCTACTAAGTCGTTTTCAAGAACAGAGGTCTTGGAGTAATATCAGTGCTAGTAGCGCCACAAGTGACTAATATTCACCATCAGACTCTTCTTTGAAAGCTCTCTCATCTAACAGACAGAATCTTATAAAATTCCTTTATTCCATAAAATGAAATTACTAAAAAGACGCAAAAATTATTCGAATTCAGCACCGATCTTGCGGTACACGAGTGAATACTTTTGAGACTACTCTGATTACAAAGACATTTGGTGCAATGACCACCTTCCTTTGCTCTTGTTAATATTATCTGCTTAACCTTTTTATTGCCACAATACCTCGTTGCAAGTTTTATAGATGCAACAGATTGGATGAATCCACTGACTGACTGGAGGGCGAATGGGCAAGACCACGAAGAATACATTCATTACCTGATGGTGTTGTTGCTTAGGTTCAAAATGGACTTGGCGTTTTCCATTACGCGTTGTAGGAAGCTGACGGGAATGTTCTTTTCGCTGGTTGAGGAGATGTTGGTGGACTCGTACGATAAATCACACACAGGCTCATCAGCCCTCTGGACGAATACTTTGGGAACTGGACTTTGGAGACGACTACTGTAAACGAAGATTACGATTTAGTATCACAACGTTTTTGTTTCATATGATATAGAATCATCAATCAGCTTATATTCTGAGAAAGTTAGAAAATGTTTTGAGGGAAATCAAGTGCACAAATTATTTGACAAAAACTTGTGGGGAGGTTTGCTCTACGAGAAAAATTGTGCAAGCATCTTTTTATCAAAATTTATATCCTGAATGCCTGAATACGAGTATATCGTATGTTTTGATATTTATAATTAACCGGTGGCGATATTTTGGATATCTAAGATCATCTACCAGCCCACCACTCACACTTGTAACAGGTTGGCGGCTATTGCTATTCATCAGTGAAACGTAACTTAGCTGATTAGTCAAATGAATTATTTAATTAGCCAAGTCGGTCACGATGAAATTGGATAATCTCGATGTCAGTTAGTATAATCACCGGGATAGACCGGAATTCGAGCGGATATTCCGTTTATAACTTAAAGTTCATGTTATTGAGAGTTTGGTGCGGTTGGAGCTGAGTAACGGAAACCGTTAATAAGATGAATATCAATTTATCGGGTGATTCGAGAGAAGGATGTAAGGTAACTTACCTATTCACTATCTTACGCTGAGGACGCTTCTTAAGACCGGCGCGCCCCAAGGTCATTTACTTAGCTGATTTTATACTTAGTTATATAGCCAATATTTTCAGTATTCAAAAGCTTATCACTTTAGGAGTGTTCTAGATACTTCATTCTCAAGAGTGGCAGACTGGAGACGCTCAATTAAAAGTCTGACACTCGGTTGGGGTTAAGTGGAGTTAAACTACGTGACTACGAAAGGAAATAACTGAACTGAAAGAACTAAAGATATAAACTAGATGAGTAGTATAAGATCAAGAGATTGAGCTCGTTTCATTATCAAAAGTAATAATGAGATGTTGAAAGATACTAAATTGATCTAAAATAAAGTCACTATTATGTCAACAAGAATGTATGTTAAGTAGCCACTGAATGACTAATTATTGGAATCATGACCAGAATTAAATTGAGAAGTTAAGTGCTGAAGAACAGAAAACGTACGAGGTATTCTCCTCGAAACTCAAGCACAGAACTGCATACCTGCTCATTCCGAACGATCCTCTTGGACCGATAGGTCAGACAGATGGTCATTCATCCAGTCTTGTCGCATATAAAAGTTATAATCTTAGAATATGTACAATCAGATCAACAATGATTTCCTCAAAAATGTTTTTGGTGAGTCATTCTATCAAACACCTGCCAATTCGACAGGTAGGAGAAATGGACAGTCAACGTTAAAGTGAGAGCAAGCCGATATCAGAGGCAAACTCTACCAAAAATACTCTTTCGGCTGTAATTTACTTGATGTTTTCAATTTCTATTAGACTTGAATATTTTATTTTATTACATCTCTATTCAAACAAAGATTTAACTTCTACGAGCTCTTTTTGTGTGTTTATGTGTCCCTATGCGGCGCTGCTCCCATTCTCAGGATACAGTTTTTGTTGGAAGGCTGTAAACCGGGTTGCGGTGCTTCGGTTCACTTCCAAATGTTTGACATCTTTTCATTATGTAAGCCGCCCTCATTTTTTGATAAAATGCACAATGTGTCTCCATATTACACACTGGACCTGGAGCTAATGTTCTCCCAAGTAGACTATAGAATGGACATTTATTATACTCAATAACAATGATTGTAGAAAAATAATGATCAATCAACAAAGTCAGAAATAGTTTTTCTATATTTCATTAAATCACGGCGAGATGAATCTATTTTACTATCATGCAGCTACAATATCTTCTCCACAAAGCAAGCACCAGCCGACATTCGTAAGACTATTTTCCTTCAAAAAATTTAAGATACTTTAATTTGGAATTTATTGTGCTTTTATAACATGTCGGAGCAAATATTTGTCACAGGGTTGGAGGTCAGTGTCGTGCAAATAACGGGTGATTTTTTAAGGTATAGGATTTGATTTTCAAAGAAAACACAAAAAATTGGAAAAACGATTAAATCTTTATTTGAGTCGATAGAACTGTCGATATAATTTAATGTTTAAAGATTATTTCATGTAAATGTTGCTCGCGGCTCCGCGAAATGCTTCAATATTGGCTTCCAGTGCGTAAACCGTTGCTGGTTTATCCCTGTAGATATTAGCCTTAACAAGGCCCCACAAGAAATAGTCCAACGGCGTTAAATCATACGACCTAGGCGGCCAATTGACGGGCCCCAAACGTGAGATAAACTGTTCACCGAACTCGCCTCTCAATACGGCCATTGTTTCGTGTGCAGTGTGGCATGTGGCACCGTCTTGTTGAAACCACATGTCAGCCAAGTCCAGCTCTTCCATTTTGGGCAAAAAAAGTTTGTTATCATCGCACGGTAGCGCTCGCCATTCACAGTTACGTTCCGGCCATTGTCGTCTTTGAAGAAGTACGGCCCGATGATGCCACCGGCCCATAATCCACACCAAACAGTGATTTTTTCGGGATGCATTGGTAGCTCTTGCAATGCTTCTGGCTGGTCTTCACTCCAGATGCGGCAATTTTGCTTGTTAACGTACCCATTCAACCAGAGATGAGCTTCGTCGCTGAACACAATTTGTCGATAAAAATGTGCATCTTCCTCCAACTTTGCCAGCGCCCATTCACCAAATTGGAAACGTTGTGGGAGGTCGTGTGGCTTCAATTCTTGCACCAGCTGTATCTTATAAGGTTTTACACCCAAATCCTGACGCTAAATTTTTCACGTAGTGGAGTAACAGAGGCCCAATTGCTGCGAACGGCGGCGAATCGACATTTCACGGTCATCACTAACACTGGCGGATACAGCCGCAATATTTTCTTCAGTCCTCACTCTACGTCTGCGTGTTGGTGGTTCAATGTCCAATAATGTAAACTGGGTTCGAAATTTAGTCACAAGCTTCCGAATAGCTCCCTCAGTAGGCCGACCAAATTGCCCATAAATTGGAAGCAGTGCTCGATGCATTCTCTTAACCGAGCATGAATTTTGATAGTAAAATTCAATAATTTGCAAGCGTTGTTCGTTCGTAAGTCGATTCATGGTTAAATTATAGAGCAAACTGAACAAGTCTTACAATGACACAAGACACGATTCACGCGTCATCTGTCAAAAACGGTGTTGCCAAAAAGATACTAGCAAAAAAATCACCCAATAGAAGTGATCAAGATAAATTGCCTGATTTTTAAGGATTTATTGCAATAGCTTTGAAATTCTTTGCCCGATTATGGTGTTCAAAAATTTAACTTGCGAGTGTTCTAGAGCTAAAAAAGGAACCAAGGTTCATTCCGTTAGGAATGAAATAACTCGATGGAAAAAATAAAAAATATTTTAACCCGATTTTTCGCAAGAAAATGGAAGCGGAACATTTTTTCCTGACACGACCCATACTTTCGTTCAGTAACCCTCTTCACACGTTTTTACCAAACAATTTGTCCACTTACAATTCTCCCGAAACTTAGTTCGATTTTCGCTATTGTTTTTTAAATAATTTTTAATCTGTTTTTAACTTGTCTTTTCATATTTTATATAATTTTGACCATTGTACCATGTATCCAGCTCTCGCCATGTTACTGGACGTTTCCCTAATCCTATACGTAAACAACAATTAGCAACATCCTCACATACTACTCTCCTGATGATGATGGCAAAGTCCATTGAAAGCTAGAGAGAATTAAAAAAAGTATAAAGAGTCCTCTGCTTAAATTTTGTCGAAGTACCCAACAAAAGGCGGAAGCATTAATTTTTCACCTATATACATATATATATATATATATATATATACTGTTTCAGTATATCTCCAGGTACAAGTCTCAACTTTTTAGACCCTTGCTTCTGGAAAAGATACATTTTACTTTAAGTAGCTTGATTGTGGGTACTAAGTCATCAGAAACCCGTACAGTTTCAATATTTCAGACTTCATAACTAGTCCTTAATAACAGTTGGGCAAATCGCATGCATGCTTTTCACCTACTATTACTGTGGTAGGCGCAACACGTAATGAGCCACTTTTTTTTGGCTTATTCTCAACTGCTACTTTCATCATCGAAGTGATACCTACCTTTGTTTAGACGAAGAAATAAGATTATCAACAACAGCAAGCTTCCCTCTAATTTCCATCTCCTTCTCCTGCAACGTGGCCGTCTGCCCTTCGAACTGGGTCTTTAGGTATTCCCAGTATGCTGTCGCCTCTGGGGAGGAACACGCACAGCTCCCACAGGGCTCCATTTTACGATGGATCTCACATCAACACAAACATTGAATTTAGACAAAAATACACGTTTTGACACGGATAAAATTTCACATCGACCAACTCACGTCATCTTTGACATCAGGTGTCTTTGATTTATTTAGCAGATAGGTCGCAAAATCTATCTGATAGTCTACTTTGTTAGTAAGCGAACTTTGTACAAAAATTCAAAATTCACATCAGAATAATCCTGATCAGTCTGGAAGCAACTACAAACGTTGTACAATATTCAAGGATGCATAGCTTAGGTGTGACTAGAAATGGTGGGAATAATTTTCCATAATATGCAATATTTTCGAGATAGTCGAGTAAAATCTATTTTTTCAATAAAAACACGTTTTGGATTATAAATTTATGGACAAAAACATCGCTCTACTTCCCGTAAACAGATTCTACATGCTTCATGATGACAATATCATTTACCTTGTATGACCTAAAAACCATGTTCTGGGAAAAGAACAACTAGTGAAGAATTTCGGCTCAAGTTGAACCCTATCCTGTATAGAATTTTGTTGTATATAAAAGCTAATGAGTACTTTTCCAGATCTTTTCATATGGTCTTTGTAAAGGATCGAAAGTCTCAATTGCACTACGGTCCTAAGATCAGCGGTATTCGCGTTACTTGGTGTTCTAGTTAAATGATGATTTTATGATTTCTTCGGTCGTTGATTAGATACTTAGTAGCTCCTATAATGCTGATTTGATCCATCTATTGAATGTCAATTTTATGACACTAGATATTTGTTTTCATGTGCCACCGGCGAGGAGTATTGTAATTGCGAAACATATCGAAAATGAACTACCATGTTTTTTTTAAGTTATATGAAATGCTCATCACTGAGAACGCAACTCATTTCCGTCTGTCTGTCTGTCGGCTAATCCTGGACCCCAATATAACCGTGATAGTTCTGATCGGATAATTATGAAATTTTCAAACAAGGTAACTACGCCAAGAAAGAAAGAAAAATTTATAGTTTCTGAAAATCGATCTGGAGCTAGAAGCAGAAAAATTAGGAAAATAAAAATCACTCAAACTTCGTTTTCATACGTTTGAGAGGATCTCGCCCACTTTTGAAAATATTTTTATGGGTAAAAAATTAGGTAGTAGGGGCTGTAGGTGGGGGTGGGGGAGGGTATATCTCAACTTTGGTTTACTTATACGCTTGCAACCGCGCTGATTCTATGCACGTGTCAGGCATATTTCGGTCATCATAGATTGCCTCATACACTTATCCTTAAAACGGAATAATGGAGAAATATTTCCGACTCTCTTCCATCGATCATACATATTTCACATAATTAAACATAATCCTTTATGGATTCATGACACTGTTGCCTAGGAAGAGCAGAGTCGTGCTACTTGACGCAATATTCACACATCTTTGATCGCATTAAATCATCACAATTCTCATGGATAATCAATACCAGTCGAACTAGCTGCTTTTTTAGTATCGTTACGTGTGTACCAAATCTTGACTATTAGTCAGTGATTTCATCTAATACTCCTAAAAGTTCCATGATATTTCATTTCGTCCGTTTTGAACCGTCAGAGTATCTATGGTTTCCCAGTTACCTTGGGTGTGTCATAGGGATATTGATAGAAACTAGTTCATGGTAAAATTAGCAGGAATTTTAGTAAGTTATTCTCCATCCGATTTTATTCAAAATTATTCTGGAATGACCGGCTCTCATATCAATTGTTTCCGAGTTAGATGGTGCGCAAGTGTAGCAAATTCAAAGTGATGATTTGGTCTCATCAGGCGTTGATTAGGAAAGTAATAAATAGCTACTTAAGTTGATCGAGATGATATCAGCTAGTTTGACTGGAATTTATTTACAATGAGAATTATAATGATTTGATATCAGCAAAGCGTGCGTAAGAAACGTGTCTAAAAGTTGTCAGATATCCAGTAGATGGTTTAAACTGGCAACACACCTTTTTCGGATTCATTAAGCCTGTACATTATGTATCTCGAAAACATTTGATATTAGGACCGTAATGCTATTGAGACTGGAGATTGTTATGGAGAGCTGAAATTCCAGCCAGTTTGAGCGCGAGCCATTTGGCATCAGAACAGTTTAGCTTTTTGCCAGCTTTAAATTACCCAACTAGCAATTTTTGGTCTTATAAGAATGGACTATGTTCAATATGAATACGGAAAAATAATTGACATAAGTCTAGTATCCTAAATTATGCAAATTGCAGCTATCGTTTTGATTGAACTCCCAATAAACAGTTTATGTGTTAATTAGTTTAAGTTTGTGGGATGGAGATCAAATACCTACAAGCATCATCCTTGACTTCAGAAATCTTTTGTAGTGTTTACCACAGGAAAAATCCTAGATATGCTTTGTTATGAATCTGCCACTATTGTCTATGGGAACTTTACATCTGATGCATTTGTTTACTTTTAATATTATGGCTATGCGCATTATCTTGCACTCGAGACGGTATAAAAAGTGATCGGTCATATGGTATATTGTAGATGTATCAGCGAGAGTGTTTAACCAAGGTTGGGGATATCTAGATGAATATTGTGGCGATACTTTTGCTAGCAGTTGGAGCTGCTCATGCCCATAGTCCAGGTAAGTATTAATTTCAATTGAACGTAACTACAATTTGTCTATGTTAAAGAATGTGCAACTACTAATTCATGTGAAATATCCATGTCTTGATGACCGCCAAACGAAACTATATACAGAGTTCATTTGAAAAATTCCCACAACGGATTTGTCGAAAACCACTGATTAAAAGAAAAGACGCCGAGACATGTCAAAATATTTGTCGAGGGGGACACCTTTTTAATCAAAAACTACTTCATCCCCTTTCTCTCTCTGCCGCCCAGGGTCATCCCTTGAACATTTCAAATGACAAGGGTATCGAGTAATAGCTTGTTTGAAAGGTGCTTCGAAGTCCTTCATTTTGACGTTTGATTTGTTAAAATCGGTTGATTCGTGTCTATCTCAATAAGTGCTCGTTATTGGCCAAACAATGATGTAGGCGATGTACAAATTCCTGATGGCATTTGCAAAAACATGTTGTGGGATATCATGGCAGATTTCGATGATGCGTTGATGAAGTTCACCAAACAGTCTAATGGCGTTAAATCAGGGGATCTTTCTGGCCATTCTATAGGCCCTCTTCGCCCTACCCATTTATCTGGAAACTCGTCGTCTAGCCATTGCCGAACCGGAAGAACATAGTAAGGAGGAGCGCCGTCTTGGTGAAAATACATTTCAGCCATAGGGTTTCCATCCTCTTCGATTTGCTTTCCAATGGTTTCAGTGTTGAGCGGATTGATGGTATTTTCCAATATATCCAAATAAATGTCTTCATTTAAATTTCCATTAATAAACAATGGCCCAGTCACTTTGTTTCCTAAAATGCCTACCCATACATTAATTTTTTGCCTTCTACAAAAGCATAAGGATTTTCACTGCTCCAATACCTGCACTTATGCTTATTACCAAATCCATTTAGATAAAATGTGCATTCATCACTGAAGCAGATATTCTTTACATGAAGGGTATTATCACTAATCGCTGCAGTCATTTGTTTACAAAACTCAACTCGCATATCGAAATCATCTTTGGTTAACCCTTGCAATATTTTCGTTTTGAAAGGATGAAAATTATAGAGTTTAGTAACAGTGTGTACAGAGCCTAATGAAATACCAGTCGCAGCAACAATTTTGCGTAATGAAGTATTAGGATTTATTCCAAAATGACCCAAAAGTTCAAGTTGAGCGGCTTCATCCAAAAGTCTCCGATGATCACGTTTTTTATTTGCAACAGATCCAGTTTGAGTAAATGTAGTAAGAAGGTCCAAGACATACCTATGCGAAGTTATCTTCCCTGGATCTCTGGCAGTTTGCCGAGCACACTGATTTTGGGCGACATAAAGTAAAATCATTTCTACTCTTTCGGCTAGTGTGTAAACCATTTTGGAAGTAAAATTTGAATCAATAAACTAATTTTCACTATCACAAGGTTGTCACAAAGGTAACTGACACAAATTAATTCCTTTCTTTCCCTTAGCAATAAATAACTGAACAGGTATAACAATAACTAACATTCGCCCAGGATATCTGGGTTGATGTAAGGAATGCGGAAAAAAATTCGGGTTGTTAGTTGGTTGTTGCCACGTTTAATCTTCCGAATTGCTGTTTATGTTGGTAGTTTTTGTTTTATATTATAAACGAATTGTAGATTTGGCAAACCCTAACGGCCAACATTTTGAACACTCCTCGAAATAAAAAGTGATATTTTCGTGTGTTTTTGTTTTCTATCTCAACAAATTAAGATAAATAAAGATTTTATAATTTTCTCGAAAACGAATCGGCTAATTTTAAAAAATCTAACGTCATAACAAAGGACTTCGAGTGACCTTTCAAACAAGCTATTACTCGATACCCTTTGTCATTTAAAATGTTAAAGGGAATGACCCTGGGAGGCCGAGTGTGAAAAGGGGTGAAGTAGGTTTTGGTTAAAATGATGTCCCTCTTGACAAATCTTTTGACGTGTCATGGCATTTTATCGATAAATCCGTGGTGGGAAGTTTCCAATTGAACACCCTGTATGTAACATCTGAAACATCCTGTTGCTTTCATGTCGATAATCCGCCATATTTGTCTGGCCAATCGAAACCAAATGTGTTGAAAACGTAGTGTTTATTGTGAATGTTTCGATTACAATGGTAATCAGTACAATGACCATATACAGGGTTATCCAAATTAAGTGTCCACCATTAGTAACTTTGTTATTAGTGAAAATACAAAGTTGTTTGAATTAGCAAACTAGTAGCATTTTTAACGCTGGTAAAAATGAGAAATAAAAAAAAACAATTGAGAGTCGTTATTTTGATTTTTTTCAGTAAAATAACATTTTTTTAAATGGAAACCCCTGTATATTATATTTTTTTCTGTTAAAGCATCAAATTTTAAACAAAAAAGCTTACAATAACTTTTCTCCTAGGTTACAAATTGTTGAAGTTATGGCCTCCAATCTGAAACAATTAAATTGTATCGACAAACTTTATTTTCAACATCAACTTGTAATCTTACAAAATACAATAACAATT